TCAGAGCTGAAGGTAGCACCATCCGAAATCTATCAACATCTTTCATCATTTTTTGCACATAAGTAACTACCCACAACCAAATAGTAGGGACTGCATCAGGTCTCCAATCCATATCCCTAGGACTAGGCTCAGAGGCTGATTCAAACATAGGTTTCGAACTCAAGATGGGAAAGACAACCGCACATTCGGTTGGTTCTGCCTGCAAATGAAACATAGCCATGGAAAAGTGACCATAAAATACCTGGCTACAAGTTTTTCGCCCCAAATCATCTCCAATGATTGTCTCCAATGATTCCAATATATTCCAATATTGTTGCTGTCCAGGCAAGTCATTCTTGGGCCCAGCGATCTGAATGCTGGCCGTCAGGAAACTCCGGGATGGAACCAGCCTGTCGAAGCAACGTTTGGCAGACACGTTGATCCGCCAATGATCTCCTACTAAAATGATCTAAAATGTAGGCTATGACCATCTATGACCATCTATGCCCGCCCAGCAAGCGAAATAAGGCCAGTTCTGAGCTTGCAATGAACAAACCAACAGCAACTGGGATGGAAAGGACTGACTGATTGACTCTTCACAAATCATTCGCCGATCCCAACATTTCCAACCAGGGGGTTGGAGCCCGAGCATCTGAAAGGTAAACCCAATCAACAAATTCGACCCGCACTGTAGATCTACTGTAGATCGTTTATTGATCTTTATGGATTTCAAATCATATCACCTGATGATGCGAATCATCTGACAGCATAAACTTTATAAACTGCTCATCTCAGTTTCGATCAGCAAACATCACAAGAACTGGTGCGCATCTCGCGCACCGTGGCGGCAAGGCATTCAGCACCCGGTTCACCACCAAGGACAGCACCTCCTGCGTACTGCACAGTTTTTCCAGTCGCGGGTTAAACGGGTGAAATGGGTGAACATCTAGACATCTAGATGCCACTTAGATGCCCATGGCCATAGTGAAATCATGTGACATCACGTGACATCTAGACTAGACATGGCCAAGAGATTTGCTGCGCAGCCCAGTTTATCTTGAGCAAAGCATAGAGCATTGCACTGCATGTTGATATGTTGACTGTCAACCATTGAAAAACGGGGTTTCTCGGGTTTCTCGGGTTTCTCCAAATTTTGGAACCCAAAGGTGGATCCAACATCCGGAAGCACACCGCTGCGCCTCTCCAGTTACGTCAGCGACAGCACTCATCACCAGAGAGCATATGCCCCGTGGGGCAGATTGGCACAGCTTTTTTCAAGCTAAGTTCCTTGTTGAAAGATTACACTTCAGATCATTTTCAGACATTTTGGTGTGGCACACTATGGATCTTGGCGTTCAGTTGTAAAATCCCTCACGGTTTCTTTGAAATTCTGAAAGGTCACTGGCTAAGAGTTGAGTTGTCACAATTTTGTCATGCCTGGCATGGTTTTTCCATGGTTTCGCCATTTGCGCATTGATTTGAAGGATAGGGTTTGGCTGCTGTAGTGGCCAATGATCCTGGAGTTTGCGTAAAATCACTATGTCTGATACGTCCTATCCTACACGATCATGCAGGATATGACTAACGTTATCCAGGTTGCACCGGTTCCATGTCTGAAATCTAGGGACGAGGTCAATGACCTCAGCTCAAAAGTACCCGGAAGGTGAGCCCAGGCGGGAAAGGCAGACACCGTCTTGATCGCACCACACCATGAAACAACACATCGCACCACACACTGCGTGATCCACCTCCAGGTCACAGAGAATTTCATTTCGATATATTTCGATATTGTTCCATTGTTCACTTTGTGTTCACTTTGGACGGCAGCGACTTTTTGCTGAAAAAACGGGCAACAACTGCAAGAAGCCGCGTTTCACTGCGAGATCCTCCGGAACCTGGTGCAACTCATGGCCAAAAACTGTGACCCAGAAATGTTGAACCAGTTTAAATATCAGCCGTTCCTGTGTAGATCTTCCATGTGTATCAAGCACACCCACAACTAAGCTAAGCTCGCAGAGAATCCACTATCTAAGAGCCGATCATTGTCAATTTTTTTAAGCCAAAAAAAGACCTCACTGTACAATTCCACTTCGATTGAAGATAAAGCAAACCCAGAATCAATCTTTCATAAACTCCTGAAAAGGCTTCACGGTAGAATGTCCATTGACCATGCCTCAGAGTCTCCTATCAAAAGGTAACTTCAAAAAAATCAATAGTTTATAGTCATCCCAGTCACAGATTTGAAGAGTATTTACAGACTCCCAGTGAAAACTACGATCCTATCGATCCCAAACACACACCCGTGGCACATGCCCATCAGGTTGGCAGAGGATTTGGCTCCATACCTTGGCGGGGAATCTTATGACATCTGTGACTCAAATCAGGGATCGGAGAAAAGTGAGGGAAGAGTCAACCAGTACAACCGGTTTGTTCAAGTTGGTGGAAATGAATGGACATGAACTGTTTTCCGATCTAGTGTGGATTGCTGTTTAGTTGATGGGGAGCTTTTTGTCATGTGTTATACATGTTATACTATCTTGTGATCGCCTCTAGACAAGACATTCAACCGGGGGTCAACGGGGGTCAACTGGCCACAGCTCGATACCCAGCGGCTGTCGCAACAATTCGATGAGTCCCCGGTCCCCGATGTAGGCGGCTGCATGCAGTGGAGTGCCCTCCAGTATCATCGCCTCCGTTGAAAAAGACCCAAAATGGTCATGGGTGAACCTGTTGTTCCAAAAAAATGAGGGGATCACAATCAGATGTGGTGGCCAAGGTGGCTGTTTCTTTTTGAGGCTTTGTAGCCCCAGAAGTTAGAGCTGGCAACCCAGTATCTCGTGCTAAGTGAGCAAACAGGACATGCAAAAAATATGAACATCATCTGCCATCTGCTTGTGTTCCCATGTGTTGCTAGCTTCACCATTCATCTGCCAAATTTGTCAGTGAACATAAAACATCCGAAAGACCATGCTTAGGCATTTATCCCACTTGGAAAATGGAAGGTACCCATGAGAAATCACTCCAACTGGGGGTTATCCCATGAAAACACCGGTTTCACCACAGCTCACCACGATCCGTGGCCCAATTGCCTTGCTTTGGATCATCGTGGAGCAGTGGTTCCATCCATCGCTGATGATCTTCTGCAGGGCCTCATGACCTGTGCATATTACAAGTACCAAAAGGATGCGGGGCTGTCAAGCAAATAAATAAGTGTGTATATATATATATACATAATATACCACATATGTAAATATGTAAATAGGTAACACACGCACACATATTACATGTATGTGACTTTGCCAGATATTGGGAGGTTTCATTAAACCACACTGGTTGGGGCTGTGGACTGTTCTCTGAGCGAGAGTAATATGCATATCTCAACATCATCACCAAACATGGCTCCAGTCGCTTTACTTTCTGGAATCCTTGTGTGCTTGCAGAAACTGTGCGGATAAGCATTGGATATCCAGGATATCCATATTAATATGTCGAAATTTTCGAATGCAATCTTATCCAGTTCGATCCAATCCAATCTGTGAAGAAAGACACACATCGATACTTTTTCTGATCTGTAGATTAAATCAATTGGCAACCAAAAGTGGCTGAAGAGATCTCACAAATCTCTCCATATAGGTGTCCGTGAAACAACCTCTCTGACTGTTACAAGATCTCTACATAACACCCAGTGGTCCATACTGAGAATCGAAGTATCCCATAGATTGCCCATAGATTTCCCATAGATTGCCCAGGTGCGACCGCTGCGACGAGGCACAGGACTCGGTTTCCTCATCGCTGAGGCGCGTGCGGCCGTTCACCACGGGCCACAGGCTGTCGAGACCGTCGAGACCCTCGAGACCATCGGTGCTGCGCGCCGCATGGGCTGCGTGGTGCAGCAGCGAACGGAAGTTGTGCAGTGCGAAGGGATTGCCGCGACTCTGAAGAATAGGCAGTTGCAATTCACCTCTGAAAGTCAAAACATTAGAAAGTCAAACAAGCATAGGGAAAATTAGGGGAAGGGCATGGAAGGGCATATCCTTTGGTGTTGCGGTATAACTTGTATCCATGATATTGTCTTAATTGAATGGCCATTCATGGACCCAGAGACATCCCATTCACAGCTGTGGGTTGCAAACTGGCCAGCAATTTTCTGGTTGTGACATGTTGTGACCATCGGGACGGGCCAGGATCAATATCCCGGATGGAGCATGAGCCACATGCCATATCCATATCCCTGGCGGTAAAATCCCCTCCCAAGCCACGCCTTCACCAATGGGATCACAACGCATTTCCTGAGAAAGCTTGGAGGAACCTTTCCACTTCGTGTGAAGAACCCTGGGAAAGAGGTTGATAGGGGTGGAAATCAACAGTGAAACTGTCATCCTTTGTGGTGTTCAAGATATCTGAGGTGAACATCGTTTGTTGCAAGTGGTTGGAGCAAAAACGGTGTGGATGCTACAGTATCACTTAAAAAACAAAAACACCAGCCCTGACAAAACCCAGATCCTGAGGTAACTCGAGACCCCGCATTCAACCGTTCTGAGCATCTCCTTGAATGGCTAGTGAATTCTGGATTTCAATCATCTAGCTAACACATCACAACAATCATAACCTGCAGGGCGTGGCCTGTTGCAGAGATCCGTGGTTTTATCTGGTTACCGCAAATCTTTCTTGTTTGTTGGTCACATACCTTACTTGACATAGCCCCACTCTTAACCTGCCCCGTTTGTATGAGTGGTCCCAAGAAATACACTACCAGTACATCAAGGTACAACAAGTACATCCCCACTTTTGTTTAAGGCCTAAATATCCGGTCGTCTTGGTTCCAATACCCATCATCCATCATCCCCGATCATTGTTGAGTAAATTATATGAAACCGTGTGAAACCATGTGAAAAATGAACATTAAAAGCACATTAAATTGTCAGAATATCACCCCCAAATGGCAATTCTAGCAGAGAACATGATGCTGAACCATGGGGATATGGGCAGTTATGGGGTCGCTATTTTCAAATCAACCATGATCAACCCATCTCCATCTCTCCCAGAGTTTCCAGCAGCTTGCACAGCGTGGTCAACGACGCACGTGCCGCGCAGAGCTGCAGAGGTGTCAGCTGCCGGCCGCTGTGCAGATCCGCGCGGGCATCAAACAGGACCTGGACCTGGGATCGAAATAAAGAAACGAGAAACACAAGTTTGAAACTGATGTATAACTGATCTATAGCTGATTTAACTCATGAAGACATTACATATAGTGAAATAATGATTGGATCAAAATGATTGGATAAAAGGGTGCATTTCACTCGATTTTATTGCTGGATTTCACGAACGATGGGTGGATTGGTTCGGATTGATGCGAACAATAGGTACGGGACCATCTTTGTAACATCCAGCTGCGTCAGCTATTTTGGCGAGCTAAAGGATGTCAGGGTTTTGACCCATGGCCATATTAGCCATATGAGATCTATATGAGATCTATATGAGATTTATTTGAGATTTGGTGTGATTGAGAGGTGATTGATCATGTCAGGGTTTCAGATTGTTTCAGGCTCTGGGGAACAGTGATTCATGATTTACAGGCAACAAGCAAGGCAATGAGTTGGCACAACTCTACCAGGTTACCATCCTCTTCTGGATTTTATGCATGTATCGGTGTTATATATTTCTAATGATGTTTATCCATGTTTATCATTTATGGATTGCTTTCGGATCTCTGGCAGTCTTTAGGTGTCGTGCTGGATGTACAATTTTTTTGTGGGACTGCACCTCATCTGGATCCCACATGAATTCCGTGAACCAATTGACAAGAATAGAATCTGTCAAGTCTTTCCACATCCGACTTCCCATTTTCGAATCCATTGAATTCGCCATAAGCATTCTCAACACCCAGTGAATATCCAGTGAATCCAGGTGATCTGATCGGGGTGCGCCAACCTGGCCTGTTCGGGACATCGTGCAGAGGCCATGGCAGTGTTGCCCTCGATGTCGCGCAGCGTCACATCGCAACGGAGCTCCAGCAGCCTGGTCAGCACCTGGCAGCGCAATCGAGTGGTGATATGTGGTTTCAACTCATGATACATTCATCACTCATCACTAATTCATCGCTGAATTTTGTCAATCATCAGAAAATATTCATCGGACGAACAGTGAAACACTGCTGAAACCACCATTAGATAGACATTGCAGAAGGCTTGCAGCTGGAAAAAGACTTTGTCAGTCATGCTGAGTCATGCTCTTTTCACCTTTAAAAACATCTCGCTAAAAGTTGCTGAAAAAGTTCCAAACGGCTTTCAGACTCCAAAAATCATTCCTGCGGCACCTCTGCCGGCTGGCAGGACTTGGCGGCGATCATCAGAAGCGTTTGATCCTTCTCGAAACCAAACTCCTCAAGTGACATGTGAAATGGAACTGTTGGAAACTTTGGACTTGGAAAATAAGGACCGAAATGGGGTACCATATGGTACCATGGTGTAAGAATATGGAGTACCTTACCTGAAGGATCTGTTGAAGCGTGACCCAGGAGAGGAAGGTGGCCCAGTGCATGGCCCAGGGTCGGTCAAAGAGGACACGCGCTGGTTCACATCGGCCCGGGAGTTTGCCAGCACGCGTATCATTGCAGTGTCCCCCGAGAGCCTTGGTGTGTCCCAACCCATGCACCACCATAACAGATCAAAAGCAAAATAAGCAGCCTCCTTAAAATTCAACTTTCTTCAATGACGCAATACCAAAACCGCTAATTTCCCCGAATCAAGTCTACAAATTGACAAGGCAGTGAACATTGCCATCCGTGCCAAGAAAGAGAACGTGCAAGAAGTCATGTCGGCTTACCATGTTGCTCTGTGTTGCTGTCTAAGGATCTACACCTGTCTAGGCCCCTGTGTTACTGATTATTGCTGTGCAGAACATGGCAGAACCAATCTCTGAGCCATCCAGACACCTATCCAACCACCCAACATTGAATCCAAGTTGAGACTCCGACTGGCACAGGGCTAAGATGATGAAACAATGTGGTTCGCAGGTGACTGGAATTGTTGGGATACCAAGAATCTTTCTGTGAAGATGTGATGAACAACAACTATCTTCTGGAAAAACCAAAAACGGAAGAACCTCTGGTGCGCAACGCGCTAAACCCCTATCCAAAGCTATCAAACACTTGAGACTGGAGTAAGTTAAATCGACGAGGGTGCCCTGCCAAGTGATTTTGCCCCGACCATGCATTCGGTTGCCTGCCCATGAAGAAAACGTCAAGTGAAGTGCAACTCTGAACTTGGCAAGGAACTTTCTTCCACACAGTGAGTGACACTTGCTTATGTTTTGTTCTTTCCTCACACTTGCACCATCACATGTCTTCTCTTTCGGTACTGCAATTTACTTTAGGAGTTGATGAATCATTGATGATGTTGATTTTGAACACTTTACCCCCTGTCCAGTGTCCCAAGTGAGCTTCTGAAGTCCACAGATTTGCTTTGCTCACCGTAACTTCATTGACTCCACAGGGCCCCGCTTGCCTGCCCTCAACATCCCGCTTTCCAGCGACCTTTGAACCATGGCACGTGGCACAGAGCAAACCGTCTGCATTGACCGCAGCCGCCAGGTTGGGAAAGGCGAAACTCCGCAGAAAGTTGGTGACGTCCCGGGCTTCACGGGGATGATCTAACAGTCCTGCAGATGAAAATAGTGGAAAATGATAGCGGGAATTGAAGTGAAAGGGATAAGCCACAAATTCCGCCAAAGACATGGAGTTGAACATGAACAAACAGTTGAAACACATGTTAAGATGTTGACAGCCTGGAAAACCTGAAAATCTCTTGCAATCCTTCAGGGGTACCAAAACAATTGCAGGATACTTCGGCCAACGTTAGGGTACCAAAAATTATCCCAGGACATCTTCACATCTTTGGAAACCATTTGTGATTTCTGACCAGTCTGAGACCTCACCAAACTTACCAAGCATCTGGGCTTATTGGCCACAAACCACCGGAAACTGCACAGTTCCGGCCCCAGAGAAAGCCTTTGGATTTTCCTTGGCAGCATGGGGAATACTTCGGAATACTTTTGAACCCATGGGAAATGGAAACGAATGGTGCATGAATCAAAACTGAGTAACCTCATGGTGAATCGCAATGCACTTGGTGAATCCATGGTGGAGTTGCTTGTGGAACCTGTTCCTGTTGTGGGTCTAAATAACAACCCACATCAGCCAACTGTTCTTTTAAGACACATCGGCCACATCGGGAACAACCTTCACTAATATTTCTGAAAAATGCAATAGTTACTTTGGGAGTTGAGCTTAAATTTTTCGCAGCAAGACGCCACTGTCAACTTCCTTGCACCCAGAATCCCAAACGACATCCTTCAACCATTGCACACGTTAGCACGAATGTTCAAAGGGACCAGTTTCCAAACAAACAATTTTTCAAACCTGTTTCGTATGGGTTTCGAACTCTTATTATAGTTTGCCCTTATATCTGACACATAAACCATCCAAAGTTCAGGAATCATCCGGGTGGTACCCCCAAATCACCATCGCTGCGCATGCACATAGCGAGCGTCTCTTTCAACACCTCTTCTGCTAACTTGGATACCGTGAGACGGTCTGCTTCAACCGTAAATTGCCCATCCAACACCTGCTGGGATTCAGCTCGAGACATGAGAATTATAAAGCATTGAACACTGGGATTGATTTGACATGATTTGATTTACCACCAAACATGAGGATTTAATACGTGGATTAAAGGGCTGGCCTATGATTAAAAAGGGATTAAAAACGACAAAATACCATGCCTTGGGCCTATTGAACCTACATAGTGTCCAGGTGGTCTCAGGACTTGGGCAAAGCAACAGCAAATAAAACACATGCTAAATGCCCTACCTACTACCTAGTAACAGGCGCAAAAATTTAGAAAACCGGCAGATCTTCCAAGAAACACGATGCCGATGGCTTTGTGTTTTCCTTTCTTGTCTTGGCTACCTGAATTAATAATTAACCGTTCATATCTGGGGAATTACATTGTGGTTACACATGATTAACAAATCATTTTGGAAATTAACATTGTGGTTTTAACATATTGAGGTGAACCAACTTTAAGTTCATTATTTTCTTTGAGTTATTTCATGTTATTTCGGTTCTCCCATGTTATCCCTCAGGGTCGCTCAGTTACTGGATCATCCCATTGGTTGATTCATCCCCTAGGGCTATGTGTGGTGGGGTACAGCTTGGAAGTCTGATGCTTTTCCAATGTTATACAGAACTATACAGAATTATACAGATTAAACACATGATTCTGATGATTTTTTTCATGGTAGATTAGATATACTCTGATGTACTTGTTCATTGCGGTCGCGTATGGGTGCTGAAAACATGTCGGCATTTTTCCTTGTTTTCACCATGATGCTCCCTTTCACTACGTCCCCGCGGCTTCCACAACAGGCCAGGGCACGCTATTGCTTTGCCAATCTGTGAGATACACATGTTTCACCTTAGCTTCAAGTGGAAGTCACCATGCTGAATCATCTGTTCCGAGACTGGATCGATGTTCTCGCAGCAAATCAATAGGTGGGTCGATTGGGTCATATGAAATCAATCGATTTGCTGATGTTTGACTGGCGTTTGAAATGTATCCATAGTGGGCCATAGTTGGTAATAAAGCCAATTATCGAAGGAAGTTTAGAAGTCAAACTTCCGACAATATGGGCAGATGGAAAAGCACAGGTGGGAAGAGTCAGAGAAGAGAAGAGAAGAGAAGAGAAGAGAAGAGAAGAGAAGAAGATAGAAGATCAGAGAAGAGAAAGAGTCAGAAGAAAGAAGATGCAGGCGCGCAAAAAAGGTAGGAAAGTCGCACAACTCTGTGTTTTTCCAATGATTTGCGGCTCCGGAGGGTCGAAAAGTAGGCTCGCTAAAGCGGCGGGTGCGGAGCCATCTGGCCAGATGCGCGAAGCATATTTCCAAGTCCAAATGTACAAAACACCTCATGTTCGGACCACTTTTGGAAGTTGAGATGTCCAAAAAGTGCACGCCGTTGTGGCGCGAAGCACATTTCCAAGTCTACATGTACAAGACACACCAGGTTCGGAGCACTTTTAGAAGTTGCGATGTCGAAAAAGTGCACGCGGTTGTGGCACGAAGCACATTTCGAAGTCAAAAGTGCAAAAAACTGAGGGGTACGGAGCACTTTTGGACGTTCAGATGTGCTTTCGCGTGGCAGGCGCAAAGGATTGTGCACCTTGTCAAAAGTGAGCAAAACGTGAGGGTTTTGTCGCATTTCCAAAAACCATGGCAGGCGTGGGACATGTGAAGAGGATCTGCGAAGATGCATTTTCTGTGGCAGACGCAGTGCAAGAGACATGTCCATCAGAGATGTTTGGAGGTCAGGGCGCTGATTTCCTGAGAGGGGTTCCGTTTTGGAGCATCAGATCTTCAGGTTTGCTGAGATGATTTTGCGTGACAGGTGCAGAACTTCGTATGACCTGGCATCACCTTTTCGTGGCAGGCGCAGTACTTTAGACAGGTGGAGTGGAAAAATCGCAAAACGCATTGGCACGAGGCCGTCAGCTCTGCACTCAACTTTCCATTTTTGAAGGAAGTCTCGCAGAATTGTTTCGCTTTTGATGTTGTCAACTTTGAAAATTGAAGAAGTCTCGCAGACTTGTTTCGTTTTTGATATTGTCAAGTTCAAAAATTGAGGAAGTCTCACAGAATTGTTTCGTTTTTGACGTTGTCAAGTTCAAAAATGGAGGAAGTTTGGTTTTCAAGCTTGCAGCTGGACAGACACACAGACAGACAGAAAGGCAGGTAGGCAGACAGACAGACAGACAGACAGATAGATAGATAGATAGATAGACAATTGCAACTACAACTAACACTACACTAGACTACACTACACTACACTACTGCTACAACTACAAATACAAATATACTACACTACATTACGCTACACTAATTAATTACATCTAATTACGCTACACTACGCCAATTACACTAACAACTACAACAACAACGAGTACCACAACTACAGCTACAACTGCGCTACCCTACACTAATTACACTCCAGCACACTATAACTACAACTACAACTACAACCACACTACATTACTACACTGGTTACATTGCATTACACTACACCTGCAACTGCAGCTGCAATGGCAACTACAACTACCACTGCATTACACTACACTACACTACGCTACACTACACTAATTACACTGCACTACACTACAACTACAACTACACTACCTGACACTAGACTACACGACGCTATACCACACCACACTACACGACATCACAGTGCACGACATTACACTAATTACACCACACCACGACTACAACTGCAACTGCACTTGCAAATACACCCACTACACTACAGCTACAGCTCCACTACACTACACTACAACTACAGCTACAACTGCAACTACAACTGCACTACTCCACACTACATCCAGCAGTTGTGGTAAGGTGCCCACTGCAAGCATTGCAACCATTCAATTCCAAAAAACACAACTCCAACCATCTGTCGGTCCATCAGTGGATTCGCTCTGCCATCCGTGACTCACAGCAACCAACCTCTCCTTTTTCGGTTTCCTATTTTTGAAACTTCCGCCACCGCCTTGTGCGGTACTACTGGGAAGTACACTGATGTCTCAAACCACAGCTCAATGCTCCAATCCCGTCTTCAGTTGAGGAGAGCGGCATCCCGGCTACCATGGATGAGAATCACGCGGTTGTCCTTTTTACCTCGTAGCCACTGCGATGGTCAAACTTCTTAGGACATACTAAAGATGAAGGCGAATAGATCTAGTAGAATGCTTTGCAGCTGAGATATATGAACAAACACGGCATGCAAAAGGAAAATCTCCAAATGCAGTCGAAATCCTGCCAAAGTTGAAGCTCCCGTCATTTTGCTGTGGCTAGGCCAAAAAACAACGCTGTCTTCTTGCCAAGCGACTGCTAAGAAGTTGGCACCAGAGCTCTGCGAGACACCAACCTCTCTGAAGAAATGAGGTGAAATTGCAGTAGGAACCGCTGTCCTGTTTGGATGACTTTGATCGGCGAAAAGCCGAAACTATGATGAACTAAGCTTTTGGGAGATTGGAGAAGTCTAAGGGTCGCAGGCTGGTTAATGATGGTTGATAACTATCTGCTCCTCGTCATGAGCATCCCACGGTTGCGGGAAACATCTACTTTTTAGCTTTACATGATGAGCTCGAGATATTGTCTTGGGGTCGATTGACACAATACTGCCAGCGTCTGAACAGTTGAGGCGCTCATTGAACCCCATTCTCTCAAAACTGTATCTATACAGGGCACCCGAAGCTTGGGTAAGACATTTCGCGCTGACGCTGACGACGCATTGTGACGACACATTGGCGATGTCCCCGGCCCCCTGACGACGCATTGTGACGACACACTCCCTGACGACGCATTGCCCCCTGACGACGCATTACCCCGTGACGACGCATTGTGACGACACATTCCCTGACGACGCGTTGCCCCCTGACGACGCATTACCCGCTGACGACGCATTGTGACGACGCATTCCCTGACGACGCATTGCCCCCTGACGACGCATTACCCCCTGACGACGCATTGTGACGACACATTCCCTGACGACACATTACCCCCTGACGACGCATTCTGACGACACATTCCCTGACGACGCATTGCCCCCTGACGACGCATTACCCCCTGACGGCGCATTGTGACAAAAAAATACCCTGACGACGCATTCCCCCCTGACGACGCATTGTGACGACACATTCCCTGACGACGCATTGCCCCCTGACGTCGCATTGTGACGACACATTCCCTGACGACGCATTGCCCCCTGACAACGCATTACCCCCTGACGACGCATTGTGTGTATATTATTGCCTGACGACACATTGCCTGTTGACAGGCTAGGCATGACGAGCAAGGGCGCAGGCGTACTGTATTCTTTGTATGTGGGAAGATAAATAGAGGAATGTAGAGAGGAAGAGGAGCCGGAGGGCAGATAGGGATTTGGCCTGACCACCAAGGCTAGGTTATGTCGAAATATAAAGCGTAGAGGTAATTATTCAAGATCGTGTGGCGCGCTTTTGCAACCTCAGTTGAAGATCCTTGAGGCAAGGATCAATCATTAAGTTGAAGTAGTAGAACCTTCTTATCTTCTTACCAAACCCAAACGAAGAGAGCGCCGGAGTGTTCCAGGAGAAAGCTCACGAAGTTCAATGAAAAAGTATTGAGCGTGTAGCATTGAGAACATGCGGGAGTTGAGCGCGTAACATCAAGAGCCTGCTGGAAGTTCCAAGGCTAAAAGCATAGCACAGGAGGCTAGCATCAAGAGAACGCTGGCAGTTCCAAGAGGAGGTCAAGAGCGTAGCACCAAGAGCGTGTTGGAAGTTCCAAGAGAAACCTAAGCGAGCAATACCAAGAGAGCGTGTTGAGGGACCAAGAAAAACCTAAGAGTCTAGCATCCAGAACGTGTTGGAGGTCAGAGCGTAGCACCAAGCGAAGAACAAAAGAGCGTAGCAACTAGAGCGTCCTGGCGTGTTCCAGAACAAAGCTAAGAGCGTAGCAGGAAGACCGTGACTTTCTCCAGACCGCAGCGTCAAGAGGCGGAGCGTAGCACCAACAAGAGCGCGTTGGAAGTTCCAAGAAAATTATAAGAGCGTATCATCACGATTGTGGTGGACCGTAGCGTCAACAGCATCTTGGACTGTTCCAAGACGAGGTTCAGAGAGTGTCAGAGCCAGAGCCAAGAACGTAGCATCAAGAGCGTGTTTTAATTCAATGTGTCACAAAAAGAAGCAAAAATAGGGCGCCATGCTTCAAGAGAAGCCAAGGGCGTAGCGTCAAGAGCGTGCTGGCACGTCCCAGGACAAGGCAAAGAGAAAGTGTTGGAAGATAAAACACACCAAGAGCGTGTTGGAAGTTCCAATAGACAGCTAAGAGCGTAGCATCAAGAGCTTGCCGGACTGGCCCAGGAGAAAGCTAAGAGATGCTCAGAGCGTAGCAGCAAAAGCGTGTCGATTTGGACATGTTTTAACCCTGTCTGAGATGATAATCCCCATTGGCTTATGTAATTTGGAGTTAAAACCAATCAGATTGATAGTCTTTAGGTGCCAAATAAAGGTGATTTGGATTCAAGATCAGAGATTGGTATAACCATGATTGATTTCAAACGTCTTTTCCTTATTTTCCCCCTTTCGAAAAATGGCAGGCAGTTCGGCGACACTTTCCCAGGCTGGGGATTCAAGGCGTCAACGTTCCCTGGCAGCATCATGGTCAACATACTTCCAGAGTGGGATATACCTCTACGACCTATACGCATTATGCTTAAGTTATAGTTCCATGATATATGATGTATATTTATATGCATTTATCTATGCTTATATTTACATCTAGTAGAATGGTTTATGATGTATCTTTACATATTTATATCTAGAAAAATACATCAGCCATTACATCTGCCAAATATTTCTTCCCAGGGTTCCCTTTGAGGCTGTCCTGCTGACACACGGCCATGCCGATGCCATCCTGGGTCTGGACTCCTTGCGCGAGGCGAGTCGCGGTCGTGGCGGGCCACTTCCTATGGATGGGCAATGATGGATAGATGCTACATAAGACATATATACACAATCAATATACATACATATATACATATTATGTATATATGTATGTAATGTAATGTAATGTAATGTAATATACATATTATGTATGTATGTATGTATGCATGCATGTATGTTTGTATGTATGTATGTATGTTTGTATGTATGTGATGCATGCATGAATGTATGTATGTAATGTAATTTAATGTAATTTAATGTAATTTAATGTAATTTAATGTAATTTAATGTAATTTAATGTAATTTAATGTAATTTAATGTAATTTAATGTAATTTAATGTAATGTAAGTAAGTATGTATGTATGTACGTACGTACGTATGTATGTATGTATGTGATGCATGCATGGATGTATGTATGTAATGTAATTTAATGTAATGTAATGTAATGTAAGTATGTATGTATGTACGTACGTACGTATGTATGTATGTATGTGATGCATGCATGGATGTATGTATGTAATTTAATGTAATGTAATGTAAGTAAGTATGTATGTATGTACGTACGTACGTATGTATGTATGTATGTATGTGATGCATGCATGGATGTATGTATGTAATGTAATTTAATGTAATGTAAGTAAGTATGTATGTATGTACGTACGTACGTACGTATGTATGTATGTATGTATGTATGTGATGCATGCATGGATGTATGTATGTAATTTAATGTAATGTGATATAATGTAATGTAATGTAAGTAAGTATGTATGTATGTACGTATGTATGTATGTATGTATGTATGTGATGCATGCATGGATGTATGTATGTAATGTAATTTAATGTAATGTAATGTAAGTAAGTATGTATGTATGTAAGTACGTACGTATGTATGTATGTATGTATGTGATGCATGGATGTATGTATGTAATGTAATTTAATGTAATGTAATGTAATGTAAGTAAGTATGTATGTATGTACGTACGTACGTATGTATGTATGTATGTGATGCATGCATGGATGTATGTATGTAATGTAATTTAATGTAATGTAATGTAAGTAAGTATGTATGTACGTACGTACGTATGTATGTATGTATGTGATGCATGCATGGATGTATGTATGTAATGTAATTTAATGTAATGTAATGTAAGTATGTATGTATGTACGTACGTACGTATGTATGTATGTATGTGATGCATGCATGGATGTATGTATGTAATGTAATTTAATGTAATGTAATGTAATTAAGTAAGTATGTATGTATGTATGTATGTATGTAGTTATGTAGGTATGTAGGTATGTAGGTATGTAGGTATGTAGGTATGTAGGTATGTAGGTATGTAGGTATGTAGGTATGTATGTTTGTATGTATGTATGTAATGTATGTAATGTATGTAATGTATGTAATGTATGTAATGTATGTAATGTATGTAATGTATGTAATGTATTAATGTATGTAATGTATGTAATGTATGTAATGTATGTAATGTATGTAATGTATGTAATGTATGTAATGTATGTAATGTATGTAATGTATGTAATGTATGTAATGTATGTAATGTATGTAATGTATGTAATGTATGTAACGTATGTAATGTATGTAGTGTATTGTAGTGTATGTAGTGTATGTAGTGTATGTAGTGTATGTAGTGTATGTAGTGTATGTACTGTATGTAATGTATGTAATGTATGTAATGCATGTAATGCATGTAATGCATGTAATGCATGTAATGCATGTAGTGGATGTAATGTATGTAATGTATGTAATGTATGTAATGCATGTAATGCATGTAATGCATGTAATGTATGTAGTGTATGTAGTGTATGTAGTGTATGTAGTGTATGTAGTGTATGTAATGTATGTAATGTATGTAGTGTATGTAATGTATGTAATGTATGTAATGTATGTAATGTATGTAATGTATGTAATGTATGTAATGTAATGTATGTAATGTATGTGATGTATTAATGTATGTATGTATGCATGCATGCATGCATGTATGTATGTATGTATATATGTATATATGTATATATAAACGGATATGCTGTGTATATTTGGAACATGAGTAGTCCCTTTTGACCCTCATAGTATCACGGCATTACCTTGCTATATCGCGATAAAAAAAAGACTTGGCCAGGTACAGTTGGCCCGTGAACCTCCTAGCCAGTGGGTCTTGAAAGCGAAGACTCCCATCTTTGCCAGCAGAGACACAGTCAAAGAGGTGGCAATGGGTAGGACTGTTGGGACATTTGGATGGAATGATCCAAGGAATCTGTCCTTTGGCAATCAAATATACCAATGGAAAATCACTTTGTAAATGTCCCATTAAAAAATTAGCACATGTTGACTCATGAAGTTTTCCAATTCCAAGCCACTGCAGAGCTGAGAATGCTTCATTGTCATGCGATAGTTGATGCCAGGCATCAAATGATGGCTAAATTCTTTCAGGGGTATGATTCACTCACAACCGCTTTCCGATATGCAAGTAATGCGGTGAAGCCTCAACCATGAACATAGTCGAATGATGCAATCATAAATCAGAACCGCGTATCAACAAGATATTAGATCAAAATATTGATGTCCGCAATTCCTACAAACATATTAACATGAATCTTATTGATTCATTTGGAACTATTGAGAAATCATAAATCATAATCATATTGACCCAATCAATAAGTGTATATACACGTGTATAAATAAATATATATATATATATATATTCCAAAGGGCAAACTTGGCTCGCCCAATTCCAAGCACATCACATCGCTAGGTCTGGAGCCACTTCCACTACATGTTGCCGGTGGGCTCTGGCTCGCCCTCTCTGCGACGGAGGACCTCCACTTCTCGGAGCCTTCGGCGCACGTGTTGAAACCGCGGCCGAAGGGAAAGCTTGCTTTCGGAAGTTGGAAATTCCCCAAGCATCAAAGAACTTGCCAAAGTGATTTCTTTTTACGCCTAATCACCTACCGTCTGCACATTTGTTTAATGGAAATGGGTCAACCTTTCTACTGAGTGCTCTAGAAGTTGGTTTTGAAGCCTGCAACGCTGCCCCATCGTCACGTTGATTCAAGTTGATTCATCCAATTCACAGTTTTGAGCCATGTTTTATCCCATGACATGATACAATTTGAAGCTGTTTGAAGATGTAGCATTTTTGGCACTTCAGTCCGGGTGTCTGAGGATCGCCACTGGACTGGCGCCCCATCGAGTGGCAGACTTTCAGAAGTTTCAGCCACTGTCAGGCCTAACGATCCGGATTCTGCAAGAAAATGATGGGTTTGGCACTTTGGTGCCACAAATGTTGGTATAATGGCTATAAATGAGTATATCACCAATGCAAACTGCTGTTTTTGTTTTATTTTGTTTTCATGCGATTTGCCTTCCACGTACCTGGCATCATAATCACGATTGACTTTTATTTTTGCAGTGTGGCACGAATTCCAGCAGCCTTTCGACTTGCCCATTTTCAGAACGGGTGGCTCCACCAACCAGTTATTTTGCTGAAGTATTGACGGTATTTACTACCATTTCGACTGATCATTCCTAGGTATGTTTCCAACTTGCGGGGAAGCCAGCCATAGTGTCACAAGCTGTTGTCCCAAAGTTTGTTTCCAGGATTGCAAGTGCAACCTTTGCCGGTGCTACACGGTGGAACCTATGTCTGCATGGGTTTTCGTTTTGGCGCCAAGGGCGAGTTCATTTATTTGTCCGTGCCTTGACGCCGACACCAAGTTTCAGGGTGGCGGTGGTGAGATTTCCGTCCTCCATCTCACTTTGAGATGGGAAGCCTCTCTTAATCATCAAACCACGTGTTATTCGCAAGCTTGCCTGAAACATGACAGCACTTCCTTTCAGTTTGCACTACACGGTCAGGAGTTTCCGCAGTTGGGCCCACAGCCCTGGCGCCAGGATGTCAGCAAAGTTCCTGACGATACCATGGCAATATTGAAATCTACTCAGGCGGAGGCACAGTCCGGTGAGTCCAGAAGCAGACTTCGATTCGCTTTACACAGAGTTTGAGCTTAAACCCAATTGGTCAGACACTGCAAGTGGCCGTGCGAGAATGAATTTGCAGGACTTTTGTTTGAGAATTTTCTGGATTGTTCTGTCAACTCTCAAGACTTTAACTTACTTTGACTTTGTTTTACGACTGCATTCCCTTTTGCTCGACGCACTCAGCTCGTCCCTTTCAGGTCCTAGTGGTGGATGCCTTGCTGAAATCAGGCGGAAATTCCGTGCAGGTGTCACAAGTGGACAGTGCTGTCAGTGGACAGCATGGGTTCCAGAACCCTCCCCGAATTGGTGCGTTGATCTCTGCGGGCAGGTCCCCACTACTCACATTTTGGACTCCCGCAAGCGCTCGAATTGGTGGGGTGCTCAGCTACCGGTCCCGGTGGTTCACAGCTTCCTGCGCACTTCAGTCAAGTCATTTGGATTCACGAGACATGTTGACAAAGCTCACCGCTCAGCTACCGGTCCCGGTGGTTCACAGCTTCCTGCGCACTTCAGTCAAGTCATTTGGATTCACGAGACATGTTGACAAAGCTCACCAAAGTTCCCAGAAACAATTTGTAAACCAAGTGCCGATACTGACTGCAATGATCTTGCAGGGACATGTCCATTGTAGAGTCTCCTCGAAGCCATCGATGTGAAGAATGGCTGAATAGCTGGGAAGTCCATTCGGTCCATTTCCGTACATTTGGAAACAGGTTGGGTTGCACGATGAGTTTCAGGTTCGTTTACTTCGACCAAAGCGAGCGTTGCTCATTGGCATGTGACTTGGAGCATTGCAAACTTCCGTATTGGAAACAGGTGGTGAATTGCTATCCTTGGGCCAAGCCAACTTGCTGAAGTTGGCAGGGATCTAAACGATTGCTTGACAAAGTGCTTGACAAGCTTGATTTTGAAGTGCTTTGGTATTGCTTATATTGCTTGCCTATTTGCATGTTGATGATTTTTTGGGTCGACACAAGCTCAGGATTCATGCACCTCAGCGTGCAACGCATGATTTGATGATTTGGGTCTCACTCTGAGGTCCTGCCAATTTGATCATTTTCATGACAACCAAGAGCTCTTCAAACTCCGATCTGAAGGGCTGCATGTGGAATTAAGTGGCTTGGCACAGCCCTCACTGCCCTCACTGAATCGGTCTGCTGGCACCACATCCTTGGAACTTGTTTCTTTCCAAGATTATCATAGTTTGGATATGAAGAAAGTCTTGCAAAACCTGTCACCTGTCATATCCAAGCCACATACATCCTTCCAGCGCTGAACCACAGCTTTAGGTTATGACGGTTTAGAGCTTGAGATGAACCTGACACTGGATGATGATGTGCCTCTGTTGGAGGAGGTACGGTTCAGATGAAGTCTCAGGGGGAACCATGCGATGGAACAGGGCGAAGAAAAGCTGCAGATCTTAGAAGAAAATTGTTTGTAATTCCAACTTAGATGTGGGGTCATTTGCTCTGGCCAGTTGACTTGCTCAAAATGATTTCATGTTTCTAGGGAAGCCCGCAGAAAGAGCAAGAAAGTTGAGATTGTGCCTTCATCCAGCTTCCAGACCGTTCCTAACATTTGGTACTTCCTTGAAGTTGTCGCAACTTCACGGTTTCTCTGGGCGCCAGGAGACCTATGAATTGCAGCTCCCACCTCCACCTCCGAGTCGTCTTAGTCGTCTTCGAGTGCTTGGGCGATGCCTTTGCTGAGTCTTGGATTGCAATACTTGCGATGATTGCGATACGCAAAGACATGGCCAATGGTGCCCCAAATGGATGCAAATGACTTGATGATACTGAATGAATCTAATATTGTTTTGCTTCAGTTGTTCGAGGTTGACCTGCTGTTAAAGACCACTGCAAAACCTGACGATTTAATCAGGTAGGATCAGAAGAGTTGTGACGGGCCCTTGGATATTGATTGCAGAATTTGTGGGTGCAAGCCAGACCCTAGCCCAATACAACCCAGCACACCGCTGAGCAGTTGCAGGCTCATGATGACATGTGGCAAGATGCGTCGCTGCCACATCATGCTGCCACATCATAGGTCACGTTCGATTTTGAAAAGGCTTTGCAAATTGTAAAGGGTTGAAATTACGGCACATCATCCTGAAATGAGGGGAGTTGCCGAATTTTTCTTTGCCTGCTTCTTAAAAAAATATTTATAAATGTATATTAAAATATAAAAATATATATTCGAAGGAAGTTTAGAAGTCAAACTTCCGACAATATGGACAGATGAAAAGCAGAGATGGCAAGGGTCAGAGAAGAGAAGAGAAGAAGAAAGAAGATTAAGAAAGAGAAAGTCTCAGAAGAAAGAGGATCCAGGAGCGCGAAAAGGTAGGAAAGTCGCGAAACACTGTATTTTTCCAATGATTTGTGGCTCCGGAGGGTCAAAAAGTAGGCTCGCTAAAGCGGCGGGTGCAGAGCCAGCTGGCCAGATGAGAGATGAAAAGTTGCATGCCGTTGTGGCGCGAAGTACATTTGCGAGTGAAAAAAATTAAAAACACGTCACGTTCGAAGCACTTTTTGAAGTTGAGATGTCGAAAAAGTGCACGCCGTTGTGGCGCGAAGCACATTTCAAAGTTAAAAATGTACAAAATACCTCAGCTTCGGAGCGCTTTTAGAAGTGGAGATGTCGAAAACGTGGACGCCGTTGTGGCGCGAAGTAGATTTCGATGTCAAAATGTTAAAACCCTACATGTTCGGGTCACATTTAGAAGTTGAGATGTCGAAAAAGCGCACGCCGTTGTGACGCGAAGTACATTTCGAAGTTAAAAAGTGTAAAGCAACACATATGTGTGCCTCTTTTAGACGTTTGGATGTCGTTTTGCGTGACAGGCGCAAGAGATTGTGTACCTTGTTAAAAGTGAACAAAACGTGAAGGTTTTATAGCATTTTTAAAAGCAATGGTAGGCGTACGACATTTGAAAAGGATTTGCAAAGAAGGCGCAACACAAGAGAAATGTTTATTAGAGCTGTTAGGAGGTCCGGGTACTGATTTCCGGAGACGGGTTGTATTTTGGAGCATTAGATCTTTAGTTTTGGAAAGATGATTTTGCGTAATATTAGATTTGATGTTATTAATTTCGAAAAATTAAGGAAAATTCGTAAAATTATATAGACCCGGGCAAGCCGGCGGCGGAAGTTTCCCAAAAATAAATGATCTATAATTTAAAAACAACCTGTCGCGACCGTGTCCTTCCCTCGACACTCTACACCTCATACTACACACTGCACTCTTCGCACTCCAAACTTCACACTCCATACTTCTTACTTCTCACTGCTTCCTTTACACTCCAAATCTCATACTTTACACTTCATACTTTACACTGCGCTCTTCACACTCCAAACTTAAACTTCACACTCTACACTTCGCACTTCACACTTCTTACTTCTCACTACTTCCTTCACACTCCAAACCTCATACTTCATACCTTACATTTCACACTGCGCTCTTCGTACTCTAAACTTAAATTTTACACTCCACATGTAACCACAGCACGAAGCAACCTTGACGTAGCTATTACAATGCGAACTGTAGAAATTGGGTTACAAAACACAATAGAACTACGCGCAACAGCGTCGGAAATTATAGCTCCAAAACCGGATCTCGATGCCAGAGCCAAAAACACAAAAATGAAGCACTTTTTCAAAGGATTTTTAGAAGGAAAATTATTAGCGTCAAAATGGTGACAAATCACCGCAGAAAGCATCGCCCCGAACCAGAGGAAGCAGAGGGCAGCCCTCGGCGGGTCTGGGGTGGAGGATCCAATATGTAGCCAAAGGAGGAAGCAACCTTGACGCAGCCACGACAATTCGATTTACAAAGACTGAGCTGCAAACCGCAATCGTATTTGTATTGCGGGAACGATAAAATCTAATTCCATCGTCAACGCATCCACTAGCAACACTTGCAATCCCATTTACATTGCGGGAACGATCCTACAGTTACAAAACAAAATGGAATTCCATAGGCAACTCATCCACTAGCAACACTTGCAATCCCATTTACAGTGAGGGAACGATCCTACAGACACAAATCACAATGGAATTCCATCGGCAACTTATCCACCAGCACCACTGCAATCCCATTTAGAACGATCCTACAATTACAAATGGCAATGGAATTCTGTCGACCGCAATGCACGAAACACAGGTGAAACCCCATTTACAATGTGCGAACGATCCTAAAATTACAAATTACAATGGAATTCTGTCGACCGCAATGCACGAAACACAGGTGAAAGCCCATTTACAATGCGGAACCGATCCGGGCGTGATCCGAGAATGATCCGACCACATACAAGACGGTCTTGCAACCGTCGCACCGCAGGTGTAGATAATGGAGATTCGCGAAAGGAGTGTGTATGGAAAAACAAACCGTTTCTTTCGTACATCTGCTATCTCTCAAAAACGTATTTCGTGCGAGACTTCCTTCAAAACTTCATCGGCAACTCCTCCACCAGCACCACTTGCAATTCCATTTACAGTGAGGGAACTTTGCTAGAGTTGTAAATTACAATGGAATTCCATGAGGACCTCATCCACCGCACCATTTGCAATCCCATTTACAATGAGGGAACGATCCTAGAGTTGCAAATTACAATCGAATACTGTCGACCCCAAATCACACACGAGACCATCTCGCAACCGTGTGACGGCAGAGGCAGATCATCGAGGTTCGGGGACGGATTTTGTGTGGAAAGCAGAGGTTTTGTGCATCTGCTATTTCTCATTTTACATTGAGGGAAGGATCCTACAGTTACAAATCAAACATGATGATTTTACACAAGCCTCCTAATTGTCCCTCCCTGCCTTGGGCCGGGTGAGTTTACACTTCTTTCCTATTCTTGTCTTCCACGCTTCTCTCCCTTTCTCGATGTCTTGGGCCGGTTTTATTTGTTTCCCACTTGTCCCCAGCACTTGTCTCCCACTTGTCTCCAAAACTTGTTTCCCACTTTGAATGGCTTGGGCCGTATGATTGTGCACTTGCCTCCCACTTGTCTCCCACACTCTGGACGCCCGGGGGCGCATGAGCTTACACGTGTCTCCCATACTTGTCTCCCACTCTGGGGCTGTCTTTATACTTGTCTCCGATTTCTTTCCCATACTTGTTTCCGATGCTTGTTTCCCACATTTGTCTCCCACTCTGGGTTCTTTGGTTCGCATACACAATATAATCAATTTTTTTGTAGCTGTTTGGGGTCATCACTGGTACAATTTTGGAGTTAGATAAAAAAAGAAATATTTTAATAGTAATTATATAATTCAATTATAATTAAAAAATATTTACTTTATTAAATTATATAATATTTATTTTTTTATGTTATTATTAATTTTGCTACTATTATTATGATCTTTCTTATAAACAATTATTATCATTAAAGATGTATTTTATTATAAAAATATTAAAATATATATTATAATTCCAAATATAATTATAATAATATTCTTTTTTGTTTATTATTAATTATATATACTAAGTGCATTATACGATATTAGAAAGATAAATATATTTTAATATTCCATTAAACGAAACTACATTGAATTGCCGTATAATATATAAAATATATTTTTAATTATAAATATACATTACACTAATTATACCACAACTACAATAACAATATAGTAATTACATTATTCTAATTCTAATTATAATTATAATTCCCCCTATACTTATATAATTTTACAATAATAATTATAATAACGTTAATATATTAGTTTTTTTTTGAAATAACTACTATAATAATTAAAAAATAAATATAATTTTAATGATTTTTGAATTTATTAAAGAAATTGTTTTGCTATTTTTAAAATAAAATATAATAGTTACACCCTCCTATACATTTCTTATTTATGAAATTTTTATTTATTATTACCTTATACGATATTATTATTTTTATTCACAAAAATAAATTTAATTTATTTTTTTGATTTTCGTAGAATATAGGTGGATGAATTTTCAGTTGAAATACCTCCTGAAAAGCATAGGGTACAAGGAGCTTTCATAATATCGGCAAGTCAAGGCGCCAGAAAACACCAAAAATAAAATATTTTGAAGAAAAATTGAATTGACCAGATAATTAAATTTTAAAAAAATCGAGCCAAACCTAGAGCAAGCCCATAAAAACAAAACAACCCCAAAAAAAAATTAAATGGGTAACCAACCATACACAATATGGTTAATTTAATGTAATTCTTTCAAACCAATTTTAATTCTGATTTCCTTTGGGGGAGGAAATGTTCCTAATAACAATTGATTTGTCTCCAACTGGAGACTTACTTGTCACATCAATTTTTGCTGGGGAAGTATCTTCACGAGTGGAGCCTTCTAGTGTTGCGCTGGCATGGCACTGAGCTACATTAAAGCTGCTTTTTTGCTCCAGCTCCTGACACGCCCGTCCTCCACAGCAGTTAGCCAGTGCTGTAGATTGCTACCTTCCACATTCTTTTGTCAACCATCATTTCTCCCACAAAATTTTTTCACCACAATCTTTCACACAAGCTACTGGCTCAAGTGTAACTGTGATCAAAGAAGCGTTTCCTGTAACGTCGTAAACGTTTACCTTTTCTGCTGCGTTCGTGCGGGGGGCCCCTTTCCCGGCTCTTCTACCTCTCAGCGATTGGCTTTTCCTTCCTGCTTCCTTGGGGCGGTGGCCCTCCACCTCGCAGCCGGCATGGCTCTGTCGCTGGCACTCCGTTGGGAGGGGAGTTGGGTCGCCGGCGCAGCCTCTATCGTCCAGGAGCCGGAGCTGCCTAAGAAAGATAGGCCCGCTGGTGGTGGACGCTTGTTCTACAGCAGCCGCCCGGTGCTTTTGCCATGTTCCTAATTGCCCCTGCAGCGGGATGGGCAAACATCGGGACCATGAAAGACCACATTGAAGCACTCCTGTCTGGCAACCCATGTGGCGAGGTGCCTCCAGAGTGGCTCCGGACCGATGCTTGCACCCGCTGCTGGGTTTGTGGCCTCAGAGTCTCTGTGCGCGGTGCACCTCACCTGCCGACGCAGCCAGGGCCCCCCCTGGAGAATACTTCAGCAGCCTTTTCGCCTCCGGCACTTCCTGCGATGCAGGAAGTCCATTGGGGCAGGAAGCGGACACTCCGTCACACCCCAGCAGAAGCACGCTACCTGTGGAACAAGACACTCACCCGAGCCAGCGATGGGATGCTGCTTAACGGGCTGAGCCTTTAGGGGAACAGGCAGCAGCCTTTTTCACGGCGCGCGCCGCGCCGCACTGATGAAGTGCGGCGCGAGCTGGCTGTCGGTCTAGCCCGCGAAGGCTTCGATGTCAAAGAATGTGCTGCCCTTCTGGCAGAGGAGCTCTGTGCTGAGGCACCAGCATCAATTGCAGCGCTTCATAGGTTGCACCCGAAACAAGCCTAGTGACAGCCCAGGAACTTACTGTGGCGCCCGAACTCTCACCAAGTGATGTCTTCAAAGCATTGCAAACCTTTCCAGCCACCAATGTGTGTGGGTCCTCCTGCGCAGCACCTCCATGAAGCCTCGAGACAAGGGTCGGTGCAAAAAACTCATCGTAGTCGTCAACCTCCTTGCCCAGAGGCGAGCCTGCCGTGCCGCAGCCTCAGCATTGGCCGGGGGCCAACCTGGTGGCTGTGCCCAAGCGAAAAGGCGGGTGCGGCACATAACGATAGGAGAGCTTCTGCGCCAGGTGACTGGCAAGGAGTCGGTGTGCTCGCCAAGACACGACATTTACATTGTTCCACGAGGTAAGAAAAGAAAGAAACTGTGGATTGAATGTAATGAAAAAGGATCTGACATCAACAAGAGGTGGTTGGGGGAAGCAATGGGAGAAGGTGACGTTGGGAATTGCGATGGGAATTAATGACCGTGCGAAGTGGTGACGATGGGAAGTGGTGAGGATGGTGAGGAAAGAAATTGAGGGAAGCGGTACCGTGGCAGCCGGCGTTTCGGGGGGTGGGGTCGTTCCGGGCGCTGGGGTCGTTCGGGGCGGAATTAATTCCTTCTATGTGTTTCGCTACAAGTGGTTGTTCTTGTGTGCGTGGCACTGTGCGTTTCTTGAAGCTGTGGGTGTTATAATGGGTGAATAAATGTTACAATATTTTGGGAACGCTGCAAGACCACGAAGAAAAAAGGCAAGAAGTTTTCACTATCCACAATGATTTTGTGGGCCCAAGCTGCATCTGCTTGCGACGCCCCCAACCAACAGGCGCAGAACCCATATGTAATGTAACCGAAAAATACTCTTGCGCTTTAGGTTGGGATGATAAGACAATGATAAAACACAAATCAAATCACGGTTGTACCCATTTATAATACATTGAATTTTTGCAGATATTTTCTATAATGGTGTACAATAATTTTTTTATTCTTGGGGGATACCAACTTAAATAAATTAAAATAAAAAACCAACCAAGAATTTAAATACACCGTGGAAGCCTCCACTGTTACCGCCCAAATAATAGTTTTTGCTCGTCCAACCGTAAGCATTTACTGCACATTTTTAAAAACCATAGATTGGAGTGGCAGTTTCTTGGACAAACCCAAGAAATAAAGTAAATTAATAAACTTCGTTTTTTTAATGGTTCATTAATACTATCCCTAGTAAAATTACGATTGTAAATCGTAGAATCACCAAAGTTAAGAAAAAATTTCTTTATATCCAAAAGGCTCTCAAGGAAAATGCTGGGTCTTGTGCCCCGGCTTCATACTAAGCTTTGGGCCGAAAAGTTGCCACAAACCCAGACGAAGTATAGCGCAAAAGAAATAAAAATTACCCTTAAAATACAAAAACCTCCTTAATAATATATCAATACTTGGCACCATAAAATATATTTTAAATATTATATAGTTTAGAATCGACATGACTTACGCTCAACCTTGCTGACGTGCAGAAGTGACGAGATAAGTTAAAAGGGTCAAACGCAAAAAAATTTGAGCTGCGCTCAGATGACATGAAATTATCCAAGAAGAACGGCACCAGCTTCGCACAAAGCACGCACGCACAGGCCTGGCTGGCACTTCCCGCATGCAAGTTCCTTTCCAGTAACACCGGCAAATAAATAAAAGCTCAGATTACATATGAGAAGAAATTAAAGAAGAAAAGCGGATCGGGGATGGTCAGCTGACATAAAGTATGGGTTTGAAGAGTGCATTGTGCAGTGTGGGGCGTGAAGAGTGCAGTGTGAAGTGTGAAGTGTGGAGTGTGAAGGACGTGAGAGGTGTGGACAGTAATGTGTCAAGTCTGGACTGTTAATTGTGAAGTTTGGAGTGCGAAGAGTGCAGTGTGAAGTGTGGACTGTGAAGTATGGAGTGTGAAGTGTGGAGTTTTAATAGACAGTATGACGTGAAGTGTGTGTTGATTGCGAAGGGTGCGGAATGCAATGCGGTGTGAAGTGTGTAGTGTGAAGACTGTTAAGTATAAAGTTTCAAGTGGAGCTTGAAATATAAAATGTAAAATAAGACACCAGTTTCGCAGAGTACATATACGCACGGGCTTGGCGTACGCACGGGCTTGGCGTGCGCACACCTCATGCAAATTCTATAGATAAGAACCGGACTCCGAACCCCTGGCCCCCCCCAATGATATGGTCCGCCAAGCTCACGCTCTCGGGAACACGGGACACGGGAACATACAAACATATATACATAATGCATCCACCCATCCACCCATCCATCCATCCACCCATCCACCCATCCACCCACCCACACACTCACCCACCCACCCATCCATTCACCCAGCCACCCATCCCACCCACCCACCGACCCACCCATCCAGACATGCAAACAAACAAACAAACATACATACATAGACACGTACCTACACACCTACATACGTACATACCTACGCACCTACGTACCTACATACAAACGTACATACATACTGCATGCATGGATGCATGCATACATAGATACACACCTATCTATATATCAACATACCACCACCACAGGCCACCGGGGGGGGAGAGAGGAGCCGTGGGAGTCCTGGGTTAAATATTATATATATCCTTGAGGCAACTTCCGCCCCGCCTCGTCCGGGTGCTACTGGTAATTACAACAAATAATGAAAATAACCACAACAATTACAACAACGACAACAACAGCTATAACAACCACAACAACCACACTACTGCTACACCTACAAATACAAATATATATTACGTTACATTGCAACTAATTACTAACAATGAAAGCACCGGATAACCCCACAAGGGAGGTACCGGAGGATCGAAAAGTAAAACAAAGATGGTGTGGCGAAAGATGATGTGTGACAATGGTGTCTGTGAAGGATGGTATGGTGAAAGATGGTGCGTGACAGATTTGTATGTGAAAGATAGTGTGTGACAAAGAAAGGTAGTGTATGTAAAAGAAAGATAGTATGTAAAAAAATTGTGTGTGAAAAATGGTGTGTATGAAAGTTATATGTGAAAGAAAGTGTATGACAAAGTTGTATGTGAAAGAGGATGTAGAAAAGTGAAGTGTGAAAAATGGTGTGGCGAAAGATGATATGTGACAATAGTGTGTGTGAAAGATGGTGTGGTGAAAGATGGTGCGTGACAAAGTGGTGTGTGAAGGATGGGGTGGTGAAAGATGGCGCGTGACAAAGTGTTGTGTGAAAGATGGTGTGAAAAAAATGGTAAGTGAAAAATGGTGTGTGAAAGATCGTGTATGGCAAAATTGTATGTAATAAAAATGGCGTATGACAAAATGAAGGTCGATGTCGCCAAATGCCACGCCTGTCACGCAAAACGAAGGTGGATGATATCACCTAGTACCACACCTATCACACAAAACGAAGGTGGATGTTACCAAGTGCCACGCCTGCCACATAAAACGAAGGTGGATATCACAAAATACCACGCCTGCCACGCAAAGTGCCGCAGCGTTACTGGCGACCAATCCAATCCATGCGCGCCACCAGAGCCAGCCCAATGCCCGCCCCAAGTACCATGTCTACCATACGAAACGAAGGTGGATGTCACCAAGTGCCACACCTCATGTAAAACGAAGATAGATAACACCAAGTGCCGCGCCTGCCGCGCAAAGTGCCGCGGCATCACCGGCGATCAATGGAGTCCAAGCGCGCCACCAGAGCCAGCCCAGTGCCCTAAGTGCCACGCCTGCCACGCGAAACGAAGGTGGATGTTATCAAGTACCACGCCTGCCACGTAAAACGAAGGTGGATATCAAAAAGTGGCACGCCTGTCACGCAAAGTGCCTGGCGTCACCGGCGACCAATCCACTCCAAGCGCACCACCAGAGCCAGCCCAGTGCCGTACGTACCACGCCTACCACGTAAAAGGAAAGTAGATCTCGCCAAGTACCACGCCTACGACGTGAAAGGAAGGAAGATGTCGCCATGTGTCACGCCTGCCAGGTAAAGTATAAATGATGGTGTGTCTGTGTGTGTGACAAAGTTGTGTGTGACAAAGTTGGATGTGAAACATGGTGGGTGACAAGTTGTGTATAACAAAGTTGTATGTGAAATATGGTGTGTGACAAGTTGTGTGTGACAAAGTTGGAATATGATGGGTGACAATTTATGTGTGATAAAGTTGTGTGTGAAAACTGGTGTGTGACAAAGTTGCGTGTGAAAGATATGTGTGACAAAGTTGTGTGCGAAAGAGAGCGTGTGACAAAGTTGTGTGTGAAAGAGGGTGTGTGACAAAATGGTGTGTGAAAAATGGTGTGGCGAAAGATCATGTGTGACAATGGTGTGTGTGAAAGATGGTGTGTGACAAAGTTGAGATGGAGGAGGCGGAGGAGGAGGCGGAGGAGGCGGCGGGATACAGAATCAAAAACAAGAACCCCACACAAAGATGTGGGGAACTACAGCAACAACTACTACCACAACTACACTGCAGCACACTACAACTACAAATACACTACCTTACGCTAGATTACACTACACTATACCACACTACACGAGGTGAGGTGACCACTGCAACCATTTCAACCATTCCAGAAAACACAACTCCAACCACCTTTCGGTCCATCAGTGGATTCGCTCTGCCATCCGTGAGTCACAACAACCAACCCTTCCTATAGGTTTCCTATTGTTGAAACTTCCGCCACCGCCTTGTGCGGTACTACTGGTATACAAAATACTTACTGTAGATTTTGGCGTGAAGGTTTTTTGCAATTCTTTTCATTCTGAATGCCTTTTACTCACTCGGAGGGGGTGCAATTTTTTGTTTTATTTGTTCTAACATTCCTTCAGCTGAATAGCTGCTTGTTCCTCCAGTGTCAGGTCGCTTTTTTTTTGGGATCCGCTGCGGTTCAAGGCCAGGCATGTCTTCACCTGATGCACAGGCCGGCAAAAAATCACAACGCCAGAAATCAGATCAAAGTACAAATATTCCGCAATTCAAAGACCCGTACCTGCATCATCCACGCCCTCAACCTTAGTTGGAAATTGATGTCAACGGGATGCCCTGTGTGGCAAGGACACATTTGGTCTGCGGACTGCACCTCTTCACCTTCGGCGTTGAAGCTGCTGACGAACGCCTGCGCCAATTTCGGGCACGGCACCGAATCAGGACCACGAAGAGATGAAGAGAAGTGAACACAGGATTCACAGGATCCACGAAAACTGTCCTGCGGAAGCCACGAAGCTCGTCGACCTGGCACATACTCAACCGAGAAAAATCTTATCTGAAACGTGGCCTTGGCCTGGCCTTGACATTCTTTGTTTTCTTCTTTGTCTGACTGTTTGCTTTCAGGCTTCACCTGGCATTCAGGCATTCAACATTAGCATCACATCATCCAGCTATTGCCAGCTGTGCACGCAGGAACTTATAAACCCACATTAAAGCACTGCAAGGCAAAAGCTTAAACACCTACCACTATAGCAATCACTCCTAGATCAATTTTTTTCAAAACAATTTCCGCCGGGCACTATTCTCCACTCTTATGGCTCCCAACATCTCCCAACACACTTTTGCCAGTCCACCCGAACGATTATTTTTTTGCGCAATCAAAAACTTCACAAACATACCAAGTTTGGCAAAAACTCTTTTGTGCCTAGATTTTGATCGTTTCGAAAAAAGTGGCTGAATGAAATGTCATGAAATGCCTCAGAATTCGACTTGGGGAAGTGTGAGGCGACAACGAAACAGCAAAGGATCATTTCGCTGAAACAAAAACATGAAGACCCTGCCTGTCGAAGTTGTCCTGTCAGCAAGGCAAACTTCAATGATGCCACAACACCAAGACGTGACATCTAAAAATACTTGTCCACCACCCTTTAGCTCCTTTGTTTGTGTGGGCTGAATTGGGTGCTGACGTGACTGAAGCAGCACTGACTTTCATTGCCTCAGGACATTTGCTTCATCATTTCCAGAGAAGTGTTCCCAAAGCGACGTTTCTGTAGAAAGGATCAACGTCGCACCTGAGAAATGGCTTCTTGTAAGGCGCCATCACCTTGGCCTTGGCTTTCCTGCCAAATTCCAACAGATTCCAACAGATTCTGACAGCTTGGCAGCGGAATCTGTTCAGCGCCTGGGAGGCCCATGCCACAAGCCGTTCCCGGTACGTTGGGACGCCCTCAGCGTGGAAGGCTTCGTGGCTTCGTGGCTTCGGCCGCAAGGTGCTGCAACGCGCTGACCGCGCTGACTTCGGAGTCGCCGTTTTTGCTGCGTCGCGTGAGTTGTCCAAGGCAGGAATCCAAGCAACAAAAATGGAACTTGCATGTCACACATGTCACACATGTGCTGAAAACTGCGAGTACTTTGACGTCATTTGACATCAGAATTTCAAGAAATAATTGTTGCTTGTCCTCTGCGATTATGGGGTGGTCGGCGCCACTTCCAGCTTTCCAGACACAGACTTTCTGGTATACCTGGTATGCACTTCCACTTTGTCGAGTTTGAAGTGGAAGAGGCACCGTAGTGTATTGGTGAAACATGATCTACTTGAGATCAAGTCTGTGCACTGTCTGACACTCACAGCCGCCCCGAACTGGGGAAGTATGCCGGGAACACGATCTTCTTTATGTTTCTTTCCTTTTCAAATTCCAGGCATTTTGGCGGATTTTTTGGCTGGGTCGTCTATTGAAACTGGCCAGTGCAGGTGGTTGGGCGAGGCCATGTTTGGAAGCCAAGCTTCGGAAAATCATGCGTCTCTGATCCACGAAACCCAACTCTCAAGCGTGGCCAAAGTCACGCCACACTCGTGGGCAAAAGCAGGGAATGGGAAGTGTGAAACCAGAATGGAAATGGTGGGCTTTCCATCAAGTTGGGTCTGGGGTGCTCAATGGGAAACTTGTGCTGGACACAAAATCCATTTTGATGTTCCCACTTGCATCCAAACAACATTTTTTACATGAGTCTGCATCCTCAAACCCACTTCCCCTGCTGTCTCTAAGCCGTTGAGACCCATCAAAGAGGTCCAAATTCGCAAGCCATGACCTGAGAAGCAAATCAGAAATTCTAGTTTTTGTTGTCAAGAATTCAAGAATGTGCAATTTTCCTTATTCTCCATGAAACGCAAAAGGACCAGTTGAGGAGTTGAGGTAGCTTGAAGGTTCAACGTGATGCTCAAGGGTAATGGAGCCCTTGTGACTTGGGATTGAATCCGATTCTATTCGCAACGAGCTACGCCATTCACGTCAGCGAGGAACGGCGAGGAACGGCAAAAGACACCTTGGCAGCTGCAAATGGAACAAAATTACGGTGATATCGCGTGATATCTAGCCATCTTATGCCATCTTTAATCTTTGGACATAGACAATCTTCAGAGGATTTTCATGGAATCAATTTCAAACTCCTCAGCACTGTCGTTTCATTCAACTAGCCGACCAAGGAGAACTCGACATTGTCATTGACGGTGCACAGAAATTGTCAGACCCATTGCAAAACAGAAAGGCTATCTGCACATTCAATTGATCGTTCTGGATCTGGCCTTGCTGAATTCAAGGCCGTTTCTCTGAAAAAATGACCTTGGCGCAGGGCTTGGCTGCAGGGCCTTGTCTGACTATCACATCGGCTTAAAAATACACACACCACATCACCATATCACCATTACCACGTGTTAGATGTGTTAGATGTGTTAGAAACATGTCGAACTCCAATCCGGATTTTCCTTCCATCCCATCAAGACTTCAAAGTATTTCTCAGGTGTCTATGGGTTTTCACCAATTCCGATGCGGTCGTGCTACATGCAACGTCGAAGGTGCTCTCACACGTCACACCTTGCACTGTGGGCTGAATCGCTAGTGGCATGGGATCTGGAGTACAGGGACGCTTGCCCCATCATAAAGAAACATCTCCTCATGACCTTGAAAAAAGCCGTGCGCATGCATTTCATTGCATATCATTGCATTTCATTGCATTTCTTCATCTTTTGAACGTGCAAACATCAGCAAACAAACCTTTCAGAAGTACTCCAGGCCGAACGTATGTTTCGGGGGAAGATTGGAGGAAGGAACTGTTGCTTCTAGATCTTCTAGCAGTTCGCGGAAGGGATCGAGCCCCAAGAAACATCAAAATCATCTCAAAGTGCCCACGATTCATGGTGATAATGACGGGCTTCTTTCCAACAGTTGTTGCTGATTTCCAAGCGACTGCCCATCTTGAGATGTACTGGCAGTGGTCGTAGTGAGGTCATCGGCTGCCTTGAGCATTGCTGCCAGCAAGTTGATGCAAGTTGATGGGAACAAAGGAACCTGTGTCCCGCAACAAGGACAATAGAACAACAAGAGAATGAATACATGATAATACATGTATCAAATTGTACCAACCAGCTGCCTTTCATTGTCCTTTCACCAGAAATCTTCTTGGCGCATCTGTTTTCTCCCTTTCGGCTGACAGCCATGACCTATATGATCTAAACCCGAGATTGGAATCCATAGCTGCTATACCACTTAGAGGTATTAAAGGTCTTCCTAAAAATCTTGAAGTCATTTCAAAGTATTTTCAAGGTAACTTAAAAGTAATTTCTGTGAAATTCTGAGGCTTTCAGCTTTCAACTTCCGTGGCGTCTGCCAGTTTCTGAGCCCCAAACGCCATCTGCCTTCAAGCCCTTGAGACCTCCAGGTTCTACCAGCTGCGGTGCAATGTTGGTGCAATGTTTTCAGCAGTGCAGACATCAAGAATTGGGCAACTCTTTTGAAGATCAGCAAGCTTCCGTTAACCCATAGTGACTATCATAGCGACAAGAGCGTCCAAAAACGTTGTTCTCAGCTTGATCTCTTTCACAAATCTTAACAAAACAGCTGTGCCAAAGCCGCGCATTTCATCTTGAAATTTGCCTGGTAGTCGCAGAATGGCAGCTTCAGAAAGCTTTGGTCGAACCTGGCAGAAGCTTGGAAAAATAGGCATCGTTTGCTGCCATATTTTTCCAAGCTTGCCCCTCCCACAGGATATTATTTACCTGGAACAACAATAAAAAGCCAGGTCACCAATTGAAGTTTGCTTTAGCAGTGTCTTCCCAATCCATGTCGTGTACCGAAAGGGTACCTCAAAGGCAATCCCCATCGAAGTTTTCTTGAGTCTATTTAGCCATGTCATCCAACTCCTGCCTTGGGATCAGTTGCTCAACCACCAAAGCGTTGTGGTAAGTGGCAACTGTTGAACCATTTTGTCAAAACCTAGAAAGGGATGCGACAATGGATCACTCATTCCAAAGATTTATCTTTTCACATTTGCTGACACTGGGCATCTCGAGCGATGTTTGATACTACAGAAAATGTCAAAGATATACCGACTGAAGTGCTGAGTCATGCCTTCCAACATCTTGTGAAGATGGCCGTCCCAAGCGATGTTGCTTACCATGAAGAAACTCAAAGACAAATACCAGTGGTGTCTTTGCAGCAATTGTTTGTCAAAAAGGCCATCCGAAGCGATGTTTGTTACAGAATAGATTGATCGAAACTATATCACTTTGAAGTTGTATTGAGTCTTGACTGGTGCCTTTCCATGTTCCAAGTACAAATGGTTAGTTTTTCTTCAAAAATCTATCAAACATATACCTCAGCGAGGTTTTCTTTCATGGGAGACACCAATTGTGACAGGCTTAGGAATCATGGTGCCCTCAGTGCCCTCCCTTTCCGGAAGTGCCTGTGCCGCTGTACTGTCAACGGCTTCGACTGTCCTTGGGGCCGTGGGTTAAACAAAAACAAGTTCCAAGATGTTCCAAGATGTTACAAGGCACATCTTGGATTTGGGGGCTCTGCCCCTGTTATCTGTTTCACTGATTATCGAAAAAAACCGAAAGAACAACATCTGAGCTTGGCGCTGCAAATCTGACATCAAGCGTCTCAGTGTGGCGCAAGGGCGGCTGGAGAGGGGAATAAGCCTCTGATCTAAGGTGGCAGCCTTATAATTCAAAACTACTCCAGACTGAAATGTAGATTTTCGGTGGAGCTCCTTGCTATGTTGATTTTTTAAGATATGCACCTTGGAACTGCAGAAATACATCAAGATACCACGTGTGAATTTGAATTATCTATGCTAAAGTGCTATGTCTGGAAATGCCCCTCGTTCCCAAAGCTGAAAAAACAAATCAATTTACTTCCCATTCCCGTGGTAAATCCTTGGCATGTCAATTCCCTGAAACTGACGTACTTGCTTTGAGTTGAAAGAAAAAACAGTCGGAACTACCATCATCCTATAGTGAGTCCCTGAGTTTTTCTGAACACGGCACATCTTAGCACACCTTAGATCACCTTAGCACATTTTGGCACAGTTCCGCCCCCATGCAGCTTGAGTAACTTCAAGAGATCGAGCTGTACCTTTTCCTCCGTCTCCTCGGTTTCCTCGGGCTCGGTCTGCTCCGTCTTGTGCTCGGTTGGATTGGTTGGATCAGTTCGCTCCTTCTTTTCTCTTATCGGCACCTCAGGATGTGGCCAGGTTGTGAGTGCAAGGTGCAAGGCATTGCAGGCCACCAAGATCTTCTACAAGATCCTCTACAAGTCTTTCAGTTGATGCATTTTTCATCATTTTCCAATTTTACAATTTGGTGTTTGGCGAACATTCTTGTGCCAAATCTAACTCGATGAAATCTCACCTTGGAAGCCGCACAGCTGAGGTGTGCACAGATCCGTCCCACCATGAGACTGGGGGGGGTGGGCGGTGTGGGCGGGGGCGGATTAGCCCCTCTTTTTCTTCACGTTCTCGACATTGACGCTTATCCTTTTCCTCGGAGAGAAACGCGGAAGATACACGCTCCTACACTTTGGTGTGCTGTTTATCATATATACAGCTGTATGGCTGTATATACAGCCTTCAACAGGCTGATGCCGTTGCCGTCAACAAATTTGCATGCAGGTAAACTTAGTTTCTGACGCTGAGGTGAGGTTGGAAACACAGCTTTGAGTGCAAATTTCATTCAAAGGCTCAATCCTCCTTTTCAGTTCTTTCCTCTGTTTCACGTAGGCTGTCTCCTGTCATCCCCTCCAATACAATTCACAACTAACTACTGGAAGGCTCAGAATTATGAACCACGAAGCAGAGGAAGATACACCAAGAAATCCTGTCGTAAATAGCAATGGTTCTTGACAAAATATACAGGACCTGCCAGAATTACGGTTTAGATCCTGATATCATGTTGTGCATCAGGATGTGATTTCGTTCCCCAGGACGCTACGGACGTTTGATGACGTTTGTACTTTGAGATGATCTCTGTTGATCTCTGATCAGCCTCCTTCGGTCGCCATATCACTGGGATCGTGGGATCCATGCTGCGCCTGACGGTGGGGGATACGGGGGATACCTTGTAGAGAAACAAAGAGAAACAAAGAAACGACCAAAAAATGACACGTCATGCGAAAGGAGTATTAGATGACACATTCAAAATGCCTTCACAATTTTCTGCACAAAGAGTTTCAAGGTGTCTTTCAAGAGAAACATTTTGACAGAGGAAAACGGAAAACATGGGAAACAACTATATAATCTGCTATCACAAAGCTCACAATGGAAATATGGATTTCGATTTTGGAATGAACCTTTTCCCTTGGCTCAGATTGCAAGACAGAGCATTGTGAGCTTATCGATCATTCAGCAATGGTGGGTGTTTATGCACGATACCATGATACTCTTCATGTTGGTTGTACTTGTTCTCCGCTGAAACACAGACTGACGTCCGTTTGCGACTTTGCTATCTAGCCAAGGCCGGTTCAGTTGATCTCCCGGCCTCTGGAACACTCGTGACAGGCACGGGGGCCGCAGGCAGCTAAAGCTGGCTGGGCCAAGGGCAAACACCGGAGAAGCAACCTCTACTGATGAAGTTGAAGAGAACAACAGCTGGATGATGATAACTTCATCACATTCAATAAATGAAATTTAAACACATTTCCGAATTCAGGAGATCGCTTAGTTGATTCTTACCCTGGGTCACGTTCTTCCCAAATTCAATCCTACACTATCTTACATCATGTTACGTCCGCACATTTCTTGTAAAGTGTTCCCTGATATTCTGACTCTCTGGCACACGCGAGTTCCAAACGTGATAGGTGCCGCCATGCCTACCTGAGAGGCACACCAGTAGAAGCTCAACCTCCAAGTAGGGTGTAGCACCTATTGCCACCTGAAATCCAAAGAAATGTCTGAACGCAATGTCACCCAAATTCAGAAACTCATGAACAGTTCACAGCCTGAAATGGTTAACTATAGCTAAACCATGTTGAACCATTGGAAGCGGAACATATTCGACACTGGAACCAGAATGAACGGAAGGGATGGCTCAAACTGATGGAAAAAATGGATGGACAATGCCGCTAATCTCTACCGCGGCCAGAACATCCATCAATGCATGAACGGAATAGACAGCTCTGTCTTTTTGAAACATACAGACTTTGAAATTCGGATTTATGTTTGAAGTATAGGATTGATGGAAATCAATTGGAATTCCATGAAGTCAACTTTTTGGCAAAAACATCTTTTTTCATCCTTGTCACTTCCTTGTTGACTAAGGCAAAACAAAACGTTCAGCATTTGGTCCAGGCTGCCCTGCGTCTGCCAAGCAGGTGGCGATCAAAGGACAGTTCTGCCCGGTGCGTTGTTGGTGCGTTGGTGCGTTTGTGTTGGCAAATCTCCACAAAAAGGGTGCCTACCAACAGGAAAGGTAAGCGATAGATGGGTTCATTGTGGCAAGGCAAGCTAAGGTTGATTCATGTTGATTCAGGACCTGTAATACAATTCCCATCCTTTCTGGGTTGGGAAGTGAATATGCATGAATATGTCAATTGTCCTGGGGAGCGAGTCACAAGTGAGATGTCATGGTGAGTATGGCCCAGTATGGCCCAGTATGGAACTATACGACGTAATTATACAAGCAACTCGATATCGACCAAACAACTTTTTACCAGCACATCAGTGACATCAGAATGCTTTTTACTGTATCAAAGATATTTCAAAATGCGCTTGTTCACGCCCAAGCTTTTGCGTAAATTCATGTAAATTCGTGATTCCGCACTGAACCACGGTAACCACGCCTGCAAATCTTCATCAGCTTTTGCTGCAGCGACCTCAGTGACTTGGAGACTTGGACCTGGGTGCCTTCAGATTGGAAAGACCTTGTCAAATGTTCCCTCCGAGAATGGTATGACGTATTTGTGGCTTCGGAAGCTCAACAAGATAATACAAGATATATGGATGTGTATCTCTATATATATATATATATACACATTAATGGCAATCCAAACCTCAGAAACAATGCCAGCCTCAATATCCTCGCAGGAATTTCTTGCCCAAATTGATGGTCCTCCCTCCTTTTTGTCACCGGCATCTGCTTTTTGTATTGGGACGAGCTCTTGGTCGTTCTGTGAACCGAAGTGGTGTGCACATCGTCAAAATCGGTGCAACAGAAACGTCAGAGGAAAAATGACTCAACCTAAAATGTATTTTCCACGCGGGGGGTCTCAGCCAAAGTCAGGACCATGCAAAGCTCACATGAAAAGTCCCATTCCTGACTATTATAGCTCTTCTGTGGCCGAGACCCCTCCTTGAACATAGATAGAATTGAATACGATAATCAGAGTACTCCACTTCATAAAGGAAGGAACCTGGTAAATTTACCGAAGGTCCGACAGTGGGAGGTCAAAATCAAACTCCGCACAGATTCTTGGTGCAGCTCTTGTGTCATACTTTTCAAGCATGCAGCAAACACAGCTCGTTATATTCGGAATGAATCAAACACAATGAACTAAACCTACAAAAGCGCTGCTGATCCGACTGTATATCCTAGCTGCTCCTTCATGCATTCGGCTTTGAAATGTGGAATCGAAACCTGACCAGCGCTCTCATTCTTTGTCAGCTTTGAAGAAGTCGTATCGAAATATTCGAAATTTTCCCATGCGGCCGAGAAGATGCGCGCACCAAAAACCGGACTGGAACAATCTGGCCGTGATTCACAGAGGTGTGGCAACTTGTCATACCCCAAACAGTTTGTTAGAAGTGTGAGTAGTGTGAATAGCGGCTACCAAATGAAGCAAAACGCTGGAATCCAAACCTCTGCATGGCCAGTAGTTACTTCAGCAAACTTCGTAACCACTTTGAGTCGTGGACTTTGAAGTCTGCTTAAGCCGTCAACACTTGTCCCTTTTCTCAGGAATGGAAACACAGGAAATGTTGCTGGATACTAGATCTCGGAAAAAATGGCCCCGAAGTTTCCAATCACAAATAGGAACGCACCAAAGGGATAACGCACCAAGAGAATTTCTCGTTTCTCAATGGAAGTGGCCGGTGAAACTGCACTACGGTGTCCAACAGCTACTGCTCAAAGGGACACCGCAGCCATCTTCCACGTCTGTCCTGTGGGAGCCACTTCAACAACGAGCCAGGTCATAACATATCTAGTCTACATTAGTCTACAACTAAACCGCGACAAACCGTAGTCTAGAGACGCTACATCTTTCCTGGTGGTTTCAAGAGTCTTTCACCGGGTCCAGGTCCAAATCAATTCCAGCTTGGAATGGAGAGAATTCCTGGACTGTGTGAACACAATGAGGCACAAGCCTCTGCGTCAGCCTCTGCAAGACCATCTGGAGAGCAAAATCTCGCCAAATGGTTGGTCTCCTCCACTGGTCTTTGAATCAACCCGCTGTAAGTTATAAGCTGTTTGCATCCTGTTACAAGCTGTTGTGAACGGATGGGGCATCCTGTGGTTTCAGTTTCAATCTGGCCTTCTGAGATACGTCACGGTGACCACGATAGCGAATGCGGCTTTCCAAATGGACTGGCTGCGCTGCATCGACTGAATTGGCAGCCTGCTGCTCGCCATTTGGGAGCGGGCCGCAAGATGAGCTGTCGTTTTGAAATCACATTTAACCACACCGGTCCTATCCGGTCTTTGAACATATAAAATCTTTGCGACTTGCAGCTACATACTAAAAAAATACAAACATCTGGCAGATGTTTTGACATTGCCACTGCGACTGTACAAGTGGCTTGGAGGCAATCTGTGAGAAAACGGGCTTATCCTTCTCTTCCTGCCGTTTCTGAAAAAATTGATGCTTTTACCTTGAGTACCCAATACAAATTCCTTGACTATTTTTGGATGTCCGATTGCCGCCATCTCTTCGAATAGCACCTTGCTAGCCTTGGCTGTCTCTGCTTTCAGACCATCGGTGCTTCACCCTTCACCTGCGACCAAAAAGTTGAGATTGGCAAGACCCTTGGCATGACGATTCCAACGATTTTACAGGTTCACCATGGTTCACTTACGTCTGATTGAGATATTAATACTGAGATATATTGAGATATATTGAGATAATCTACCACAAAGAAGACGGGTTTCGATCAACTTTGAAAGAAACGTGTGAATCATGTCACCCGAACCACCCTAATTTCCAAATCCGATGGCCTTTGAAGGAAAAAGGGAAATAGCCACCTGAGATCAACCTGGCAAGGTGCCACAAAACTGGTCATCTCTATGCTTCGCCATTCGGTGCTAAGCGGCAGTTTTGGTTCAAGCTTTCTCAGAAAGAAAGTAATCATTCATCAGATTCATCAGTTTATGCCGCCAGGGTTGGGCTCAGACCTTATATACCACATTTGGACTGGTGCTAAAGTTTACTTTGGGAAATGTAAAATCAGCCCCAAAGTATGGTTAGCATCTTGGGTCCCAGAATCTTGGGGTCGGTGAGTGTCGGTTGATGTCGGTTATGTTCAAGAGATTTCAAGAGGGAAGTCAGTTGAAGTGTGTCAAGTGTCTGGCAGAGTCTGGCCGGCACTGAATCCCCATGAGACCCATGAATTCGTCCCATGGCAGCATAGCATTGACTTTACATACAGCGTCCCTTCCCGGGTCCACGAGTTCAAGAGACCAGGATCACAAGATCAATCACGAGAACAGCTTGGGGTTGATGTCGCCTTCTTCCACCACCTGGCACAGGGAATACAGGGAATACAGGGATAACGTGTGGGACGTCCGGGACGCCTGAACGCACATTTTGCAGGTGCACTTGAAGGGGGGTCGATATAGGTCGATAAGCTACACCTACGCCAGGTGCCAACTGCACAGAGATGAGAGAGGGATAGAGCGAAGACTTGCGAAGAGTGAATTTTGGCGTTCAATCAGTCCTACAGGTCCTAACCCTTTCAAAGGCTTGGTGCACTCTGTTGTGCTGATTTCAACAGTTTTCAACATCTCCATGCGCAACTTTGGGCGTATCTCGCCATACCTGAACGAATTCCAAATGCAAAATATCACAACATATCCATATATCATGTATGTTCATGCATTTTTGTGCTTTGTATCTCTTTGTGAAGTTGGAAATCTGAAAGTCCCACCTGAGACCATTGCAAAGCATCCAACAAGCGCTGAGTCCTTTTCTTTCTTCGGTCGGCCAACTCCTGCGCCGAGATTGGACCCACACGTTGAGTGGCACCCGGTGGCACCGTTGCATTCATTGCATTCATTGCATTCATTGCATTCATTGCATTCATTGCACATGTTTGCATGGCTGATTCACATTGCGATTTGCACTTGCAATTGGCTATCATCCCGAGCCTGATATTTCCTTCGTTTTCAATTGAAATTGCGCTCCTGAACTTGTCTTTTCATACTGGGCTCCCAATTTTTCCATATTGGACTCCCATCTTTGTCCGGTGAACCCAATGCCCTGACACCACCAACTGGCCAGAGTCGAGTCCTGTAGGGATGGTGTGGGCTTGGTGGAAGCGATGGATTGCTTCGAGTGCGTCGTTTGCGAAAGGGCCGAACTGGCCGAACTGGCCGAACTGTCCGAACGGTCCGAACGGTCCACCTTCAACTTCTGGCCCTGACGCGATGAGACACCCAGCGGACAGTTCAAAACTCTGCTGGGTGTCAGTGAGAAAGCACTGAAGAGCATACCTGGATCCTTGTGCTCTCAGTTGCTGTGTCGGGTTCTTCGACCATGTTGAATGATGCCAATAGCTCACTAAGGAAAGATCTCTCTGAGCTCAACCAAACGAACAACCAGATTTGCAATCCGGGGGCACTCACCAGTTCACTTGGAACTACTGCGCTGCAACTTTCCGTGCCAGGCTTAGTATCTCCAGTCTATACATTCTGGGTTGTGAGGATTTGTGGTGCACCAGAAAATTGGTGGATGGAAGCATTCACAAATGACGGTTGTTTTGTGGAATTATGCTATCATTCATACCATGTCTACAAAATACATCGACATGCTTCGCATTTAAGGCGTGACCCAAAGTTACCCAACTGATTTAACATCCCAAGGTCCTCTGGAATGCTTGGCAACTTCAGCGTCTCCATGAGCGTTGCACGCTTCATGCTAGTCTGTAGAACCGCTGGCTTTGTTCCGGGAACTGTTGCAAAGTTGACATGGAGCACGTGAAGTGTCTGAAGTTGTTGAAGTGTCTCATTGTTGTGTAACAAACCCATACTTTTCGTACTTCAACAGCTGCGGCTGGGAAAGGACGTTGTCTGAATCCATCAAGGGAATGGGTAAATTTGTAGTAAACTTGCGTTACGATGGTAAAGCCTTTGGCTTAGCCGGCCAGTGTTGATTGGATTCAATCATGGTATGGCTGCTATGCCTTCCACCAATTGAAACCTCGGTTCACGGGCTAGTTCCCTGCACAGAAACCTGATTGAACATGAGGCCACCCCTACCAGGACTACAAAGTAATGTCTGCCGAACCTCCCTTGCTTCAGCAATCAATATGGACTTGGTCGAAGTCATGCACTCTTTTGGTTGTGTTCAATCCATCCTCTATGATGCAGGATCTATGTGTTTCAAGTCAAGACTTGTATCAAGGTATTATCGCGTTTAAATTCAAATCCTGGGCTTCAATTGCAAAATTCAAACAACTGAACGGAAAAAACAGGTAAATCAAGATCAAGCAGGCCTCTAACTTTAAGGTGACAACCTCTTCTGTCTCTCTAATGGTTTACCGCTTTATCTACTTTATCTTTTTGGTGTGGAACAACTACGACAGCATTCCTTCAGGATGTTGGCATGAAGCTCATCACGCGAGGTCAGCCAAGCTGCAAAGTGCTTGATTCCCAGCAGCTTGTAACGATCCTTAGCGTCACAAATGTCACAAATGTCACAAATCACTCTTGCGCAGGCCGAGAAGAAAGGCCCTTGATCATCGAAGTAACAATGAAAAATAATGAAAATGCTTAGGCCCTGCTTTCTTGAGTGAAAAATGGCAGAACTGCAAAATACTTTGGGATGTGGCAAACACAATTGCGGAGCCAGCGGGCTTCACTAAACATCACAGGAATGTTCAGCAGTTGGTCACAGAAATGATACTGGCACAGCTGAATCTTGGAATCAGCTTGGATAACAAAGCTGACAAAGCTCCAAACTGCAAGAAAGAACACTGTTGAGCCAGCAGCACCTGAACTTCTAAGGAAAATCCATGTGTCTATTATGCTAAGGCTGCTAAGGTCACAAGGACTCAATTACCTCTACAATGGATGAGCAAAAGGTAATGATTTTCTCCAGGATATCATGCCAAATCTTTGCCGCATGCCAAATCCAGGCGAGTCACACCCGAAGCTTTGGCGCCTTCACAAATGGAGACACAGCTTAAGAACTTGAGTATCTGATACAGCAAGATTCACCATGGAGCAGCCACCATGATAGCCAGTTGAAATAGTTGGACGAGATAGCGATCACTAACCGTCACTAACCTTTGGTCTCAGGTAAAGATCTTCGTATAAACTAAGATGTAAATAGGTCCCACATAGCCAAATCATGGGCAGCAAACGCACCCCTTAAAATGACAGGGAGTTGAGCAGAAGGTGGAAGGCAGTGCAAGAAAACCATCCCAAACACAAACACACAAAGAAAGCATGCAGGGCCTAATACGCAACAACCTGATTATTCTCAAAACACCCTTTCTGGCAAAAGTCGTCAAAAGGTTCCAGTCTCAGACTCTTCACAAATCATCACAAATCCAACGCTAATGAAAGGAACCCAAGAAATCCTTTGGAGCTTTCAAAAGTCCTGGTAATTTTTACTCTCTTGCACCATCGTGGCCTGCGCGCGATGGTGGTCGGAACTCACCTAAGCAGGATCCAGCTGTGGGCACGGTTTACCAAGAGAATCGAACATTGATAAAACATGATAAAAAACTTGGGTGAAATCTCATTTGGATTCATTTGGAATTTCTCGAGAGCTGGTCAGCGCAATGGAGAAGCTGACAGCTAGTCAAGCCTTGCAAAGGTGTGGCCTCTCTTTCCACAAAATCACCTTCCTCAAGTACTTCGACCACTAGACACGTTGTCACAGCCAACACAAAAACGAAACTGTGCGCAGGTGCCATCAAGTGACCTCTGGAAACCTTGTCCCGGAGCCTCAGTTTGGGATTTGTCGGGGCAATGTTGGCTCATGTCGAAGATAAAGGATAGCTCGGATAGCTGCATAATGTTGCGTGAGCTTACTGAGAAGTACTCAGAAGTACTCAGAAGTACTGAGACCTTAAATTCCATCACAAACATCATGAGATGTGCGGACAATATCCTAGAAATTGCCTTGGATGCTATGAGATAATCTCTCTAAGCTTTGTCCTCCTGGTGTTATTTGTACAAGATTCGGACATCAAAACAACTTGTGTCTTGATCATATCGCTATCGTGTACCGTATACTTGTTGCTGCCTGTTGCATTCCCATTTCCCCGGCATAAATCTGTTTGTTTTCCCAAAGTTTACCAGATCTTCCGGCCCTGCTTTGCATTCCCAGAGGCCCTGTGTTTGGCCGTCCGGGTCCAAGTTGAGCCTGGAGACATCTGGAGACTCATGACCCAAAGGAAATCCCAAAGGCATGATGTTTGATATGTTTAATATGTATTGTATTGAATATGTATTGATATGTCTTGTGATGGTAATATCCACTTGAGATTGGTTGGAAATCGGTTGCCATAAAAGGAATCGCCATGGTTCCTTGTCGCCGTTGTCGCCGTGCCTTAGCCAATGCTGTGGCACCAGCGGATCCCACTGCATCTTCCAAGGCACAACAGATCAATGCCGCACCGTGGCGTGCGTCCTGGAGGTACAAAAACAATCCAAAACATCCCCAACATGTGCGTCTAAATTTGGATGGGTAGAAATCTGCAGATTGTGCTACGTTTATGTGCGAAAAAGGTAGGATCCATCACAGAGATCCATCACAGATATCTGTCACCTGATTCACATTGCAAAGCTCTGACGTTTTCTCCAGCCCAGGTCATCCAGCACTCCTCTGGTGGAGACCGCCCTCGGGAGACACAACGGTGCGAATTCACTCCATACTCCACCCGTCAAGAAATGATTCTGAAATTCCCCCTCGGATGATTGTTTTCCTTTCCAGCCCAGGAAAGAAGTCACATGTGGCGTTTCTGAACTTTCCACTGAGTTTGGTTCCAGGTCTAAAAGTCTAAAATTAGTCGAAAGTGTGCAGAATGTGCAGAGAATGTGCAGAGAATGTGCAGAGAATGTGCAGAATGTACCCCAAAACCTGGGTCCTGGTGTTTTGCTTGTGTCTTGGGTTTCTCGGCTCCAAAGTTTCCCTCTTCCCAAAATCATCAGTTCCACAACCCCAGGTCAAGGTGAGTCAAGCCTCTTGACAGAACTGCCACCAACACTTCAGGCCTCAGCTTCAGTGGAGAACGGAGTTCTCCAAATTGCGGGGGAGATTGGGGTTGCATGAGTCATGGACAGTCATGGTTGTGGCAGGGCACAGCTCTAATTGATAAGATTTGAGAAATGCTGTCATGGTATGGTGCGAGTAATGGACAATCTCTCCCAAAACTTTTGTTCAAGTTTTAGGAATTGCCAATTAAATCGCATTTGTTTTTGGGTCTTTGTCTCTTCATTTTATGAGCGCTCGTCATCATTGTAATAACTGACTAATCCACAGGCTATGACGGTGCGCTGTGCAGCATGCCTGAATTTCCACTCCACCAAGCATTCACGACAGTTTGAGTCCCCAACGCAGATGCCTGACATGCTAAACTCTGAACAACCACAGGTATGGTGAGCATTGGCAAAATAAACAGGTCAAGCGACCCTGCATTGTTTTTTGACTAGAGCAAAAACCTTTCATCCATCACAACTGGTTCTAGTACCTGCTAGAATTGCTCGCATCTTCAAGCATTTACCTAGCATCATGGTTAAGATATGATCGAGTGACACAATCAGATTGGAGAGCACACGACATCCCTCGCTCATCCTGCTGTGTTGAGCCTGTTGTTCTGCCGCATCTTGCCACCAGGCGTGGGCACAAGCATCACCCACCTGAGTTGAAGAACTTTCACATGGCTTGGAGTGTCAGCCGATGTCAGCCGGGTTGAATCACAAGATCGGCAAATCCCATGAGAAAAAAAGTTTGGGGCATTCCAACACCACAAACCCACCGTTCCTCATGGCATGGGATCCACACCATGCGGCCCCATCTTTGCACCTGGCGGATCAAAATGGTTGGCATGATTGATCGACTTGAAAGCGTATGGTTTGTTCAAATCATCCATGATGCACTTCCGCGCTTGGATGGCCACATGGGGTTTCGTATCTCATCTGGCATCTGCGGGATGGATGCCTCTTTCACAGGAACTACCAGTGCAAGGAGTAATTAGAACCGTAAAAGATTGCGTGGCCTTTCCAACATAGAAAAACATGAGTCGCCGCATTATCAAGTGATGAATTTGCACCGTGCATCTCAAATCATGTGCAATCCTGGTGGATCGAACGAGTGCTGCGCGGCTGCGTTGTTGAATCTCCCAACTAGACCAAACCAAAAAATCTTCATGATTTTGATGAATATCCGGGGATGTCCACCTTCTCCTTTTGCAAACATGTTCCATCCACTGAAGGACCTATCACCAGTGAATTAGTATGCTTGCAATCTATAGAACTGGGATTGCAACTTGGCAGCATAAGCCCAACAGCAGCTGGGATATTGCTACATGTTCATCTGTAAATCTCAAGTTGGAAGGAGTCGGGTGACCCCAACTGGGCTGTCACATGGCAGACATGTCATACTCTGGTAATACAAAAAGTGACTTTTTGTTACTTGGCCGTATCCCGCCTCTGTTTCCGTCGCAAGAGATTGGTGCCTTGGCCGCCCAGGAGGCAGGGGCAACCGAGGCAACCGAGGCCCACGGCTGTCCAAAATACGACGCGTCAAGCGAGACGTGCTCCACATTTTCTCGCCATGGATGTTGTTCATGACTATGACTGAACTGGAGGTCTGGGATAGGGAGTCTTCATCAAAATGTCGGTTGTTGGCGATACAATCGCCAGTATCGTTTGTTTTATACCGAATTACATTGACAAGCCACATTCTTGTCAGCGGAAATAGCAAATACCAGCGGGCATTTTGGTTAGGTATCCATGGCGATTGTGGCCGAGCTGCACGTCAAACCATGCATTGATCAGCGCCTCGACCTCTGTGCTGGGCGGTTGCAGCATGGTTTGTGATTCAGAGCTGAAGGTAGCACCATCCGAAATCTATCAACATCTTTCATCATTTTTTGCACATAAGTAACTACCCACAACCAAATAGTAGGGACTGCATCAGGTCTCCAATCCATATCCCTAGGACTAGGCTCAGAGGCTGATTCAAACATAGGTTTCGAACTCAAGATGGGAAAGACAACCGCACATTCGGTTGGTTCTGCCTGCAAATGAAACATAGCCATGGAAAAGTGACCATAAAATACCTGGCTACAAGTTTTTCGCCCCAAATCATCTCCAATGATTGTCTCCAATGATTCCAATATATTCCAATATTGTTGCTGTCCAGGCAAGTCATTCTTGGGCCCAGCGATCTGAATGCTGGCCGTCAGGAAACTCCGGGATGGAACCAGCCTGTCGAAGCAACGTTTGGCAGACACGTTGATCCGCCAATGATCTCCTACTAAAATGATCTAAAATGTAGGCTATGACCATCTATGACCATCTATGACCATCTATGCCCGCCCAGCAAGCGAAATAAGGCCAGTTCTGAGCTTGCAATGAACAAACCAACAGCAACTGGGATGGAAAGGACTGACTGATTGACTCTTCACAAATCATTCGCCGATCCCAACATTTCCAACCAGGGGGTTGGAGCCCGAGCATCTGAAAGGTAAACCCAATCAACAAATTCGACCCGCACTGTAGATCTACTGTAGATCGTTTATTGATCTTTATGGATTTCAAATCATATCACCTGATGATGCGAATCATCTGACAGCATAAACTTTATAAACTGCTCATCTCAGTTTCGATCAGCAAACATCACAAGAACTGGTGCGCATCTCGCGCACCGTGGCGGCAAGGCATTCAGCACCCGGTTCACCACCAAGGACAGCACCTCCTGCGTACTGCACAGTTTTTCCAGTCGCGGGTTAAACGGGTGAAATGGGTGAACATCTAGACATCTAGATGCCACTTAGATGCCCATGGCCATAGTGAAATCATGTGACATCACGTGACATCTAGACTAGACATGGCCAAGAGATTTGCTGCGCAGCCCAGTTTATCTTGAGCAAAGCATAGAGCATTGCACTGCATGTTGATATGTTGACTGTCAACCATTGAAAAACGGGGTTTCTCGGGTTTCTCGGGTTTCTCCAAATTTTGGAACCCAAAGGTGGATCCAACATCCGGAAGCACACCGCTGCGCCTCTCCAGTTACGTCAGCGACAGCACTCATCACCAGAGAGCATATGCCCCGTGGGGCAGATTGGCACAGCTTTTTTCAAGCTAAGTTCCTTGTTGAAAGATTACACTTCAGATCATTTTCAGACATTTTGGTGTGGCACACTATGGATCTTGGCGTTCAGTTGTAAAATCCCTCACGGTTTCTTTGAAATTCTGAAAGGTCACTGGCTAAGAGTTGAGTTGTCACAATTTTGTCATGCCTGGCATGGTTTTTCCATGGTTTCGCCATTTGCGCATTGATTTGAAGGATAGGGTTTGGCTGCTGTAGTGGCCAATGATCCTGGAGTTTGCGTAAAATCACTATGTCTGATACGTCCTATCCTACACGATCATGCAGGATATGACTAACGTTATCCAGGTTGCACCGGTTCCATGTCTGAAATCTAGGGACGAGGTCAATGACCTCAGCTCAAAAGTACCCGGAAGGTGAGCCCAGGCGGGAAAGGCAGACACCGTCTTGATCGCACCACACCATGAAACAACACATCGCACCACACACTGCGTGATCCACCTCCAGGTCACAGAGAATTTCATTTCGATATATTTCGATATTGTTCCATTGTTCACTTTGTGTTCACTTTGGACGGCAGCGACTTTTTGCTGAAAAAACGGGCAACAACTGCAAGAAGCCGCGTTTCACTGCGAGATCCTCCGGGAACCTGGTGCAACTCATGGCCAAAAACTGTGACCCAGAAATGTTGAACCAGTTTAAATATCAGCCGTTCCTGTGTAGATCTTCCATGTGTATCAAGCACACCCACAACTAAGCTAAGCTCGCAGAGAATCCACTATCTAAGAGCCGATCATTGTCAATTTTTTTAAGCCAAAAAAAGACCTCACTGTACAATTCCACTTCGATTGAAGATAAAGCAAACCCAGAATCAATCTTTCATAAACTCCTGAAAAGGCTTCACGGTAGAATGTCCATTGACCATGCCTCAGAGTCTCCTATCAAAAGGTAACTTCAAAAAAATCAATAGTTTATAGTCATCCCAGTCACAGATTTGAAGAGTATTTACAGACTCCCAGTGAAAACTACGATCCTATCGATCCCAAACACACACCCGTGGCACATGCCCATCAGGTTGGCAGAGGATTTGGCTCCATACCTTGGCGGGGAATCTTATGACATCTGTGACTCAAATCAGGGATCGGAGAAAAGTGAGGGAAGAGTCAACCAGTACAACCGGTTTGTTCAAGTTGGTGGAAATGAATGGACATGAACTGTTTTCCGATCTAGTGTGGATTGCTGTTTAGTTGATGGGGAGCTTTTTGTCATGTGTTATACATGTTATACTATCTTGTGATCGCCTCTAGACAAGACATTCAACCGGGGGTCAACGGGGGTCAACTGGCCACAGCTCGATACCCAGCGGCTGTCGCAACAATTCGATGAGTCCCCGGTCCCCGATGTAGGCGGCTGCATGCAGTGGAGTGCCCTCCAGTATCATCGCCTCCGTTGAAAAAGACCCAAAATGGTCATGGGTGAACCTGTTGTTCCAAAAAAATGAGGGGATCACAATCAGATGTGGTGGCCAAGGTGGCTGTTTCTTTTTGAGGCTTTGTAGCCCCAGAAGTTAGAGCTGGCAACCCAGTATCTCGTGCTAAGTGAGCAAACAGGACATGCAAAAAATATGAACATCATCTGCCATCTGCTTGTGTTCCCATGTGTTGCTAGCTTCACCATTCATCTGCCAAATTTGTCAGTGAACATAAAACATCCGAAAGACCATGCTTAGGCATTTATCCCACTTGGAAAATGGAAGGTACCCATGAGAAATCACTCCAACTGGGGGTTATCCCATGAAAACACCGGTTTCACCACAGCTCACCACGATCCGTGGCCCAATTGCCTTGCTTTGGATCATCGTGGAGCAGTGGTTCCATCCATCGCTGATGATCTTCTGCAGGGCCTCATGACCTGTGCATATTACAAGTACCAAAAGGATGCGGGGCTGTCAAGCAAATAAATAAGTGTGTATATATATATATACATAATATACCACATATGTAAATATGTAAATAGGTAACACACGCACACATATTACATGTATGTGACTTTGCCAGATATTGGGAGGTTTCATTAAACCACACTGGTTGGGGCTGTGGACTGTTCTCTGAGCGAGAGTAATATGCATATCTCAACATCATCACCAAACATGGCTCCAGTCGCTTTACTTTCTGGAATCCTTGTGTGCTTGCAGAAACTGTGCGGATAAGCATTGGATATCCAGGATATCCATATTAATATGTCGAAATTTTCGAATGCAATCTTATCCAGTTCGATCCAATCCAATCTGTGAAGAAAGACACACATCGATACTTTTTCTGATCTGTAGATTAAATCAATTGGCAACCAAAAGTGGCTGAAGAGATCTCACAAATCTCTCCATATAGGTGTCCGTGAAACAACCTCTCTGACTGTTACAAGATCTCTACATAACACCCAGTGGTCCATACTGAGAATCGAAGTATCCCATAGTATCCCATAGATTTCCCATAGATTGCCCAGGTGCGACCGCTGCGACGAGGCACAGGACTCGGTTTCCTCATCGCTGAGGCGCGTGCGGCCGTTCACCACGGGCCACAGGCTGTCGAGACCGTCGAGACCCTCGAGACCATCGGTGCTGCGCGCCGCATGGGCTGCGTGGTGCAGCAGCGAACGGAAGTTGTGCAGTGCGAAGGGATTGCCGCGACTCTGAAGAATAGGCAGTTGCAATTCACCTCTGAAAGTCAAAACATTAGAAAGTCAAACAAGCATAGGGAAAATTAGGGGAAGGGCATGGAAGGGCATATCCTTTGGTGTTGCGGTATAACTTGTATCCATGATATTGTCTTAATTGAATGGCCATTCATGGACCCAGAGACATCCCATTCACAGCTGTGGGTTGCAAACTGGCCAGCAATTTTCTGGTTGTGACATGTTGTGACCATCGGGACGGGCCAGGATCAATATCCCGGATGGAGCATGAGCCACATGCCATATCCATATCCCTGGCGGTAAAATCCCCTCCCAAGCCACGCCTTCACCAATGGGATCACAACGCATTTCCTGAGAAAGCTTGGAGGAACCTTTCCACTTCGTGTGAAGAACCCTGGGAAAGAGGTTGATAGGGGTGGAAATCAACAGTGAAACTGTCATCCTTTGTGGTGTTCAAGATATCTGAGGTGAACATCGTTTGTTGCAAGTGGTTGGAGCAAAAACGGTGTGGATGCTACAGTATCACTTAAAAAACAAAAACACCAGCCCTGACAAAACCCAGATCCTGAGGTAACTCGAGACCCCGCATTCAACCGTTCTGAGCATCTCCTTGAATGGCTAGTGAATTCTGGATTTCAATCATCTAGCTAACACATCACAACAATCATAACCTGCAGGGCGTGGCCTGTTGCAGAGATCCGTGGTTTTATCTGGTTACCGCAAATCTTTCTTGTTTGTTGGTCACATACCTTACTTGACATAGCCCCACTCTTAACCTGCCCCGTTTGTATGAGTGGTCCCAAGAAATACACTACCAGTACATCAAGGTACAACAAGTACATCCCCACTTTTGTTTAAGGCCTAAATATCCGGTCGTCTTGGTTCCAATACCCATCATCCATCATCCCCGATCATTGTTGAGTAAATTATATGAAACCGTGTGAAACCATGTGAAAAATGAACATTAAAAGCACATTAAATTGTCAGAATATCACCCCCAAATGGCAATTCTAGCAGAGAACATGATGCTGAACCATGGGGATATGGGCAGTTATGGGGTCGCTATTTTCAAATCAACCATGATCAACCCATCTCCATCTCTCCCAGAGTTTCCAGCAGCTTGCGCAGCGTGGTCAACGACGCACGTGCCGCGCAGAGCTGCAGAGGTGTCAGCTGCCGGCCGCTGTGCAGATCCGCGCGGGCATCAAACAGGACCTGGACCTGGGATCGAAATAAAGAAACGAGAAACACAAGTTTGAAACTGATGTATAACTGATCTATAGCTGATTTAACTCATGAAGACATTACATATAGTGAAATAATGATTGGATCAAAATGATTGGATAAAAGGGTGCATTTCACTCGATTTTATTGCTGGATTTCACGAACGATGGGTGGATTGGTTCGGATTGATGCGAACAATAGGTACGGGACCATCTTTGTAACATCCAGCTGCGTCAGCTATTTTGGCGAGCTAAAGGATGTCAGGGTTTTGACCCATGGCCATATTAGCCATATGAGATCTATATGAGATCTATATGAGATTTATTTGAGATTTGGTTTGATTGAGAGGTGATTGATCATGTCAGGGTTTCAGATTGTTTCAGGCTCTGGGGAACAGTGATTCATGATTTACAGGCAACAAGCAAGGCAATGAGTTGGCACAACTCTACCAGGTTACCATCCTCTTCTGGATTTTATGCATGTATCGGTGTTATATATTTCTAATGATGTTTATCCATGTTTATCATTTATGGATTGCTTTCGGATCTCTGGCAGTCTTTAGGTGTCGTGCTGGATGTACAATTTTTTTGTGGGACTGCACCTCATCTGGATCCCACATGAATTCCGTGAACCAATTGACAAGAATAGAATCTGTCAAGTCTTTCCACATCCGACTTCCCATTTTCGAATCCATTGAATTCGCCATAAGCATTCTCAACACCCAGTGAATATCCAGTGAATCCAGGTGATCTGATCGGGGTGCGCCAACCTGGCCTGTTCGGGACATCGTGCAGAGGCCATGGCAGTGTTGCCCTCGATGTCGCGCAGCGTCACATCGCAACGGAGCTCCAGCAGCCTGGTCAGCACCTGGCAGCGCAATCGAGTGGTGATATGTGGTTTCAACTCATGATACATTCATCACTCATCACTAATTCATCGCTGAATTTTGTCAATCATCAGAAAATATTCATCGGACGAACAGTGAAACACTGCTGAAACCACCATTAGATAGACATTGCAGAAGGCTTGCAGCTGGAAAAAGACTTTGTCAGTCATGCTGAGTCATGCTCTTTTCACCTTTAAAAACATCTCGCTAAAAGTTGCTGAAAAAGTTCCAAACGGCTTTCAGACTCCAAAAATCATTCCTGCGGCACCTCTGCCGGCTGGCAGGACTTGGCGGCGATCATCAGAAGCGTTTGATCCTTCTCGAAACCAAACTCCTCAAGTGACATGTGAAATGGAACTGTTGGAAACTTTGGACTTGGAAAATAAGGACCGAAATGGGGTACCATATGGTACCATGGTGTAAGAATATGGAGTACCTTACCTGAAGGATCTGTTGAAGCGTGACCCAGGAGAGGAAGGTGGCCCAGTGCATGGCCCAGTGCATGGCCCAGGGTCGGTCAAAGAGGACACGCGCTGGTTCACATCGGCCCGGGAGTTTGCCAGCACGCGTATCATTGCAGTGTCCCCCGAGAGCCTTGGTGTGTCCCAACCCATGCACCACCATAACAGATCAAAAGCAAAATAAGCAGCCTCCTTAAAATTCAACTTTCTTCAATGACGCAATACCAAAACCGCTAATTTCCCCGAATCAAGTCTACAAATTGACAAGGCAGTGAACATTGCCATCCGTGCCAAGAAAGAGAACGTGCAAGAAGTCATGTCGGCTTACCATGTTGCTCTGTGTTGCTGTCTAAGGATCTACACCTGTCTAGGCCCCTGTGTTACTGATTATTGCTGTGCAGAACATGGCAGAACCAATCTCTGAGCCATCCAGACACCTATCCAACCACCCAACATTGAATCCAAGTTGAGACTCCGACTGGCACAGGGCTAAGATGATGAAACAATGTGGTTCGCAGGTGACTGGAATTGTTGGGATACCAAGAATCTTTCTGTGAAGATGTGATGAACAACAACTATCTTCTGGAAAAACCAAAAACGGAAGAACCTCTGGTGCGCAACGCGCTAAACCCCTATCCAAAGCTATCAAACACTTGAGACTGGAGTAAGTTAAATCGACGAGGGTGCCCTGCCAAGTGATTTTGCCCCGACCATGCATTCGGTTGCCTGCCCATGAAGAAAACGTCAAGTGAAGTGCAACTCTGAACTTGGCAAGGAACTTTCTTCCACACAGTGAGTGACACTTGCTTATGTTTTGTTCTTTCCTCACACTTGCACCATCACATGTCTTCTCTTTCGGTACTGCAATTTACTTTAGGAGTTGATGAATCATTGATGATGTTGATTTTGAACACTTTACCCCCTGTCCAGTGTCCCAAGTGAGCTTCTGAAGTCCACAGATTTGCTTTGCTCACCGTAACTTCATTGACTCCACAGGGCCCCGCTTGCCTGCCCTCAACATCCCGCTTTCCAGCGACCTTTGAACCATGGCACGTGGCACAGAGCAAACCGTCTGCATTGACCGCAGCCGCCAGGTTGGGAAAGGCGAAACTCCGCAGAAAGTTGGTGACGTCCCGGGCTTCACGGGGATGATCTAACAGTCCTGCAGATGAAAATAGTGGAAAATGATAGCGGGAATTGAAGTGAAAGGGATAAGCCACAAATTCCGCCAAAGACATGGAGTTGAACATGAACAAACAGTTGAAACACATGTTAAGATGTTGACAGCCTGGAAAACCTGAAAATCTCTTGCAATCCTTCAGGGGTACCAAAACAATTGCAGGATACTTCGGCCAACGTTAGGGTACCAAAAATTATCCCAGGACATCTTCACATCTTTGGAAACCATTTGTGATTTCTGACCAGTCTGAGACCTCACCAAACTTACCAAGCATCTGGGCTTATTGGCCACAAACCACCGGAAACTGCACAGTTCCGGCCCCAGAGAAAGCCTTTGGATTTTCCTTGGCAGCATGGGGAATACTTCGGAATACTTTTGAACCCATGGGAAATGGAAACGAATGGTGCATGAATCAAAACTGAGTAACCTCATGGTGAATCGCAATGCACTTGGTGAATCCATGGTGGAGTTGCTTGTGGAACCTGTTCCTGTTGTGGGTCTAAATAACAACCCACATCAGCCAACTGTTCTTTTAAGACACATCGGCCACATCGGGAACAACCTTCACTAATATTTCTGAAAAATGCAATAGTTACTTTGGGAGTTGAGCTTAAATTTTTCGCAGCAAGACGCCACTGTCAACTTCCTTGCACCCAGAATCCCAAACGACATCCTTCAACCATTGCACACGTTAGCACGAATGTTCAAAGGGACCAGTTTCCAAACAAACAATTTTTCAAACCTGTTTCGTATGGGTTTCGAACTCTTATTATAGTTTGCCCTTATATCTGACACATAAACCATCCAAAGTTCAGGAATCATCCGGGTGGTACCCCCAAATCACCATCGCTGCGCATGCACATAGCGAGCGTCTCTTTCAACACCTCTTCTGCTAACTTGGATACCGTGAGACGGTCTGCTTCAACCGTAAATTGCCCATCCAACACCTGCTGGGATTCAGCTCGAGACATGAGAATTATAAAGCATTGAACACTGGGATTGATTTGACATGATTTGATTTACCACCAAACATGAGGATTTAATACGTGGATTAAAGGGCTGGCCTATGATTAAAAAGGGATTAAAAACGACAAAATACCATGCCTTGGGCCTATTGAACCTACATAGTGTCCAGGTGGTCTCAGGACTTGGGCAAAGCAACAGCAAATAAAACACATGCTAAATGCCCTACCTACTACCTAGTAACAGGCGCAAAAATTTAGAAAACCGGCAGATCTTCCAAGAAACACGATGCCGATGGCTTTGTGTTTTCCTTTCTTGTCTTGGCTACCTGAATTAATAATTAACCGTTCATATCTGGGGAATTACATTGTGGTTACACATGATTAACAAATCATTTTGGAAATTAACATTGTGGTTTTAACATATTGAGGTGAACCAACTTTAAGTTCATTATTTTCTTTGAGTTATTTCATGTTATTTCGGTTCTCCCATGTTATCCCTCAGGGTCGCTCAGTTACTGGATCATCCCATTGGTTGATTCATCCCCTAGGGCTATGTGTGGTGGGGTACAGCTTGGAAGTCTGATGCTTTTCCAATGTTATACAGAACTATACAGAATTATACAGATTAAACACATGATTCTGATGATTTTTTTCATGGTAGATTAGATATACTCTGATGTACTTGTTCATTGCGGTCGCGTATGGGTGCTGAAAACATGTCGGCATTTTTCCTTGTTTTCACCATGATGCTCCCTTTCACTACGTCCCCGCGGCTTCCACAACAGGCCAGGGCACGCTATTGCTTTGCCAATCTGTGAGATACACATGTTTCACCTTAGCTTCAAGTGGAAGTCACCATGCTGAATCATCTGTTCCGAGACTGGATCGATGTTCTCGCAGCAAATCAATAGGTGGGTCGATTGGGTCATATGAAATCAATCGATTTGCTGATGTTTGACTGGCGTTTGAAATGTATCCATAGTGGGCCATAGTTGGTAATAAAGCCAATTATCGAAGGAAGTTTAGAAGTCAAACTTCCGACAATATGGGCAGATGGAAAAGCACAGGTGGGAAGAGTCAGAGAAGAGAAGAGAAGAGAAGAGAAGAGAAGAGAAGAGAAGAAGATAGAAGATCAGAGAAGAGAAAGAGTCAGAAGAAAGAAGATGCAGGCGCGCAAAAAAGGTAGGAAAGTCGCACAACTCTGTGTTTTTCCAATGATTTGCGGCTCCGGAGGGTCGAAAAGTAGGCTCGCTAAAGCGGCGGGTGCGGAGCCATCTGGCCAGATGCGCGAAGCATATTTCCAAGTCCAAATGTACAAAACACCTCATGTTCGGACCACTTTTGGAAGTTGAGATGTCCAAAAAGTGCACGCCGTTGTGGCGCGAAGCACATTTCCAAGTCTACATGTACAAGACACACCAGGTTCGGAGCACTTTTAGAAGTTGCGATGTCGAAAAAGTGCACGCGGTTGTGGCACGAAGCACATTTCGAAGTCAAAAGTGCAAAAAACTGAGGGGTACGGAGCACTTTTGGACGTTCAGATGTGCTTTCGCGTGGCAGGCGCAAAGGATTGTGCACCTTGTCAAAAGTGAGCAAAACGTGAGGGTTTTGTCGCATTTCCAAAAACCATGGCAGGCGTGGGACATGTGAAGAGGATCTGCGAAGATGCATTTTCTGTGGCAGACGCAGTGCAAGAGACATGTCCATCAGAGATGTTTGGAGGTCAGGGCGCTGATTTCCTGAGAGGGGTTCCGTTTTGGAGCATCAGATCTTCAGGTTTGCTGAGATGATTTTGCGTGACAGGTGCAGAACTTCGTATGACCTGGCATCACCTTTTCGTGGCAGGCGCAGTACTTTAGACAGGTGGAGTGGAAAAATCGCAAAACGCATTGGCACGAGGCCGTCAGCTCTGCACTCAACTTTCCATTTTTGAAGGAAGTCTCGCAGAATTGTTTCGCTTTTGATGTTGTCAACTTTGAAAATTGAAGAAGTCTCGCAGACTTGTTTCGTTTTTGATATTGTCAAGTTCAAAAATTGAGGAAGTCTCACAGAATTGTTTCGTTTTTGACGTTGTCAAGTTCAAAAATGGAGGAAGTTTGGTTTTCAAGCTTGCAGCTGGACAGACACACAGACAGACAGAAAGGCAGGTAGGCAGACAGACAGACAGACAGACAGATAGATAGATAGATAGATAGACAATTGCAACTACAACTAACACTACACTAGACTACACTACACTACACTACTGCTACAACTACAAATACAAATATACTACACTACATTACGCTACACTAATTAATTACATCTAATTACGCTACACTACGCCAATTACACTAACAACTACAACAACAACGAGTACCACAACTACAGCTACAACTGCGCTACCCTACACTAATTACACTCCAGCACACTATAACTACAACTACAACTACAACCACACTACATTACTACACTGGTTACATTGCATTACACTACACCTGCAACTGCAGCTGCAATGGCAACTACAACTACCACTGCATTACACTACACTACACTACGCTACACTACACTAATTACACTGCACTACACTACAACTACAACTACACTACCTGACACTAGACTACACGACGCTATACCACACCACACTACACGACATCACAGTGCACGACATTACACTAATTACACCACACCACGACTACAACTGCAACTGCACTTGCAAATACACCCACTACACTACAGCTACAGCTCCACTACACTACACTACAACTACAGCTACAACTGCAACTACAACCGCACTACTCCACACTACATCCAGCAGTTGTGGTAAGGCGCCCACTGCAAGCATTGCAACCATTCAATTCCAAAAAACACAACTCCAACCATCTGTCGGTCCATCAGTGGATTCGCTCTGCCATCCGTGACTCACAGCAACCAACCTCTCCTTTTTCGGTTTCCTATTTTTGAAACTTCCGCCACCGCCTTGTGCGGTACTACTGGGAAGTACACTGATGTCTCAAACCACAGCTCAATGCTCCAATCCCGTCTTCAGTTGAGGAGAGCGGCATCCCGGCTACCATGGATGAGAATCACGCGGTTGTCCTTTTTACCTCGTAGCCACTGCGATGGTCAAACTTCTTAGGACGTACTAAAGATGAAGGCGAATAGATCTAGTAGAATGCTTTGCAGCTGAGATATATGAACAAACACGGCATGCAAAAGGAAAATCTCCAAATGCAGTCGAAATCCTGCCAAAGTTGAAGCTCCCGTCATTTTGCTGTGGCTAGGCCAAAAAACAACGCTGTCTTCTTGCCAAGCGACTGCTAAGAAGTTGGCACCAGAGCTCTGCGAGACACCAACCTCTCTGAAGAAATGAGGTGAAATTGCAGTAGGAACCGCTGTCCTGTTTGGATGACTTTGATCGGCGAAAAGCCGAAACTATGATGAACTAAGCTTTTGGGAGATTGGAGAAGTCTAAGGGTCGCAGGCTGGTTAATGATGGTTGATAACTATCTGCTCCTCGTCATGAGCATCCCACGGTTGCGGGAAACATCTACTTTTTAGCTTTACATGATGAGCTCGAGATATTGTCTTGGGGTCGATTGACACAATACTGCCAGCGTCTGAACAGTTGAGGCGCTCATTGAACCCCATTCTCTCAAAACTGTATCTATACAGGGCACCCGAAGCTTGGGTAAGACATTTCGCGCTGACGCTGACGACGCATTGTGACGACACATTGGCGATGTCCCCGGCCCCCTGACGACGCATTGTGACGACACACTCCCTGACGACGCATTGCCCCCTGACGACGCATTACCCCGTGACGACGCATTGTGACGACACATTCCCTGACGACGCGTTGCCCCCTGACGACGCATTACCCGCTGACGACGCATTGTGACGACGCATTCCCTGACGACGCATTGCCCCCTGACGACGCATTACCCCCTGACGACGCATTGTGACGACACATTCCCTGACGACGCATTGCCCCCTGACGACGCATTGTGACGACACATTCCCTGACGACGCATTACCCCCTGACGACGCATTACCCCCTGACGACGCATTGTGACGACACATTCCCTGACGACGCATTGCCCCCTGACGACGCATTACCCGCTGACGACGCATTGTGACGACACATTCCCTGACGACGCATTGCCCCCTGACGACGCATTACGACGCATTGTGACGACACATTCCCTGACGACGCATTGCCCCCTGACGACGCATTGTGACGACACATTCCCTGACGACGCATTGCCCCCTGACAACGCATTACCCCCCTGACGACGCATTGTGTGTATATTATTGCCTGACGACACATTGCCTGTTGACAGGCTAGGCATGACGAGCAAGGGCGCAGGCGTACTGTATTCTTTGTATGTGGGAAGATAAATAGAGGAATGTAGAGAGGAAGAGGAGCCGGAAGGCAGATAGGGATTTGGCATGACCACCAAGGCTAGGTTATGTCGAAATATAAAGCGTAGAGGTAATTATCGAGATCGTGTGGCGTGCTTTTGCAACCTCAGTTGAAGATCCTTGAGGCAAGGATCAATCATTAAGTTGAAGTAGTAGAACCTTCTTATCTTCTTACCAAACCCAAACGAAGAGAGCGCCGGAGTGTTCCAGGAGAAAGCTCACGAAGTTCAATGAAAAAGTATTGAGCGTGTAGCATTGAGAACATGCGGGAGTTGAGCGCGTAACATCAAGAGCCTGCTGGAAGTTCCAAGGCTAAAAGCATAGCACAGGAGGCTAGCATCAAGAGAACGCTGGCAGTTCCAAGAGGAGGTCAAGAGCGTAGCACCAAGAGCGTGTTGGAAGTTCCAAGAGAAACCTAAGCGAGCAATACCAAGAGAGCGTGTTGAGGGACCAAGAAAAACCTAAGAGTCTAGCATCCAGAACGTGTTGGAGGTCAGAGCGTAGCACCAAGCGAAGAACAAAAGAGCGTAGCAACTAGAGCGTCCTGGCGTGTTCCAGAACAAAGCTAAGAGCGTAGCAGGAAGACCGTGACTTTCTCCAGACCGCAGCGTCAAGAGGCGGAGCGTAGCACCAACAAGAGCGCGTTGGAAGTTCCAAGAAAATTATAAGAGCGTATCATCACGATTGTGGTGGACCGTAGCGTCAACAGCATCTTGGACTGTTCCAAGACGAGGTTCAGAGAGTGTCAGAGCCAGAGCCAAGAACGTAGCATCAAGAGCGTGTTTTAATTCAATGTGTCACAAAAAGAAGCAAAAATAGGGCGCCATGCTTCAAGAGAAGCCAAGGGCGTAGCGTCAAGAGCGTGCTGGCACGTCCCAGGACAAGGCAAAGAGAAAGTGTTGGAAGATAAAACACACCAAGAGCGTGTTGGAAGTTCCAATAGACAGCTAAGAGCGTAGCATCAAGAGCTTGCCGGACTGGCCCAGGAGAAAGCTAAGAGATGCTCAGAGCGTAGCAGCAAAAGCGTGTCGGAAAACCCAAGATTAAGCCAAGAGCGTAGCACCAAGAGCTTGTTCGAACTTCCAAGAGAAAAAATTAGCATAGCATTCAAGAGGCGACTCTCTCCAGAGCGTAGCGTCAAGGGCGTGCTGAAACGTCTCAGGTGAAGGCCAAGAGCGTAGCATCAAAAGAATTTTCAAAATCTCAAAGAGCAAGCCCAGAGGCTATAGCATCCAGAGCATTTCGTTTGTTACTCTTCCCTTTCGTTTTGTCTTCCCTTCTGTTCCCTACGTCGCTCCTTTCGTTTTAACTTCTGCTCCGTTCGTTACTTCCTCCCCATTGTTTCATCTTATTCGTTCACCTCTTTCTCTCATTTAAAGGCGTTCATTTCGCGAAGTCCGTCGTTTCGCTCAAATCTTCTGTCCTGTTCTTCCTGCTCTTCCTTTCCTGTCAACTCGTCCTTTTCATTGCGTCCGTCTTTTTGTTGCAACTCTTCCCTTCCATTCGTTGCTTCCTTCCTTTCGTTTCAACTCTTTGTAATCCCGTTCGCTGCTTCTTTCGTTTCAACTCTTCCCTTCTGTTCCCTATACGTCGTTCCTTCCGCTTTAAATCGGTTTAACTCTTCCCTTCCGTTCGCTACTTCCTCCCCCTCGTTTCAACGCTTCCATCCTGTTCATTTACCTCTTCCTTTCATGTCAATGCGTTCATGTCGCTATTTCCTTCCTTTTTTCAAGTCTTACATGCGGTTTGATTATCTCTTCCTTTTTTCCAAGTCGTTCATTTCGTTACCTCCTTCGTTATAGTCATCATGATCGGTGTTGGGGTCCATAAACCAACCCTTGAAACCGTGACCATGGTTCCGCCAGTTCCTGAAACTGGGGGCCCAGTTCCTAACATGACAGGCCCTAGGACTTGTAGGGAAAATATGCAAGTGAACCAAACAAAGACGTCCGTTATACGGTGAAAACCCACCATGGACAAAAAAATGTCCCTACGGTTTGCCAAAATAAAAACTAGATGCATATATGACATGCATGTAGGCTTTGAGTGTATGCATGCTTTTCTCCCAAGTCGTTGGTGAAAAAGTCGTCTTCGGGGGGCAATTTCGTCTTCGGGGAGTTCGTCTTCGGAATTCGTCTTCGGGGGGAATTCGTCTTCGGGAAATTCGTCTTCGCAATTCGTCTTCGGGGGGAATTCGTCTTCGGGGGGCAATTCGTCTTCGTGGAATTCGTCTTCGCAATTCGTCTTCGGGGGGGAATTCGTCTTCGGGGGGGAATTCGTCTTCGGGGAATTCGTCTTCGGAATTCGTCTTCGGGGGGGGAATTCGTCTTCGGGGGGCAATTCGTCTTCGGGGAATTCGTCTTCGCAGTTCGTCTTCGGGGGGGAATTCGTCCTCGGGGAGCAATTCGTCTTCGGGGAATTCGTCTTCGCAATTCGTCTTCGGGGGGGAATTCGTCTTCGGGGGGCAATTCGTCTTCGGGGAATTCGTCTTCGCAATTCGTCTTCGGGGGGGAATTCGTCTTCGGGGGGCAATTCGTCTTCCGGGAATTCGTCTTCGGAATCCGTCTTCGGGTGGGAATTCGTCTTCGGGGGCAATTCGTCTTCGGGGAATTCGTCTTCGTAATTCGTCTTCTGGTGGGAATTCGTCTTCGGGGGGCAATTCGTCTTCGGGGAATTCGTCTTCGGAATCCGTCTTCGGGTGGGAATTCGTCTTCGGGGGGCAATTCGTCTTTGGGGAATTCGTCTTCGTAATTCGTCTTCTGGTGGGAATTCGTCTTCGGGGGGCAATTCGTCTTCGGGGAATTCGTCTTCGTAATTCGTCTTCGTCTGCGGGTGGAAATGTCTTACCCGCACAGCGGGCTCAATGAATATCTGATCTTTGGATTCGAATCCAGTCAATCCCAAACACATACACAAAACAACAATTTATTTCATGAACATCGGAAGCAAACAAAAACACATTTATATTTATATTATCTACACACACACACACCACATACTGGCCGGACCTCACGGACCCCCCGCAAGCGACTCAAGTCACCCGACCTGATGCTGCACTTCGGGGACCAGCACCATAAAGAGATCTGAATTTTGCACATAGGCCGGAAGGCCTAGGCCACGATGAACACGATGAAATCGTCCACTCAGAACATTTGCTCCGGATCGAATTGTGGGTGCAGTGGAATATCAACTGTTGGAAATGCACAGGAATGACTTCAGAAAATGGGAGATTCATGCTGGAAGCGCAGGGTGCATATACCCAGTGTGCCATGGATGCCTCGGGGTCGCCACATGGCACTACTCCATATCCCCAGACACTGCTGGGGAAATGACCAATGGCCCTTGAAACCAGACGACCCTGCGATGGTCATTCAATTCCCCTTGTCGTCTTCGATTCCCACAATTTGTCGTATGCAAATGTGGCACTCTGTGAATAGTCTTTCTGGTTGGTGGTTTCAACCCCTCTGAAAAATATTAGTCAGTTGGGATGATTATTCCCAATATATGGAAAAATAAAAATGTTCCAAACCACCAACCAGCTATTATCGGGTTTGTAAAAATGGAGGTTTTCCAAATGGTGCCATCAATCTTTGGGAGTTCACCTAGACAAATCGTGGCTTTGCTCCGCAGAAATGGCAGAAATTCTGACGGGTCCTTCGATTACTGGGCTGATCCTCCACGACACCTATATGACAGAGAAGAAGGACCACATAGGACCACCATCATTTTCTGAAGGCGACCATTTCAAAGTGCCAAGCCTTTCATATCTCTTGGATTCTGGGCTCCATATGGCTCCATGATCAACCAAGGATGCGCCAAAACACTCTGGATCGCCATACTCGACTCCGTCATTTTGACACCTGATATGGGCTCTTGGAACTGTCCTAGGGTTCCTTTGTGTATCAAGGGGGCATTGTTGTATGCCTCAAGAATAGGCTACTCATAGACCTACAAATGCCAGGGGTGGTTATCATCAAACCGTCCAATTTTGGAGTTCAGTGGATTCTACTAAAGATCATCCGCACAAATAGGATCCGGTGCCTTTCTCATGCAATGCTTAGTGGCAAAGGACCCAGGTTGGGTCATGCAACCGCCACACAGATCACACAGGGCCCAAACGAGGGGTCCACCAGGATCTGAAGCTGATTATTTCATGTGATTTCAACATCCAATGCCTGCGCCAAGCTGAGAAACGGTCCACGACATCTTTATATGAAAGATGTCGGGGAAAAATGCATCATTTTTTCCTTCCGGGTATGGTCATAATTTTGAATCGCCACGGCGAGTTTGCCAAGCTGCGACTCGAAGAATCAATTTGAGGGATTGAAAACCTCACAGCCCACCAGCACAGACCCTGGACCTGCCAACCGAGGAACGTTGGCCAAAGTGAACCAACGTGAGCCACTGTCAAAGAGAAAACCAGTGTTCAACTTCTGTCGCCAAGGCACCAATCGAAAAATAAATAGCCATCCTTAGCTGCAGACTGGCTTGTCAATCCAGATATGTTTGACGTTGCCCTGATGACGGCTGTTAGGGGCTGGCCAGTCGGTGCAGGGAGGGCGGCACAAAAGGTAGACACAAAAGGTAGAAGCTCCATGGTATGTCTGCTGAACAGAGTGGAATTTTAGCAGTATCAATAATCATGGATCCAGATTTCACCGACCGGAACGGAACAGAGTTGAACAACATATATCAAAATATGACAATGCACACAATAGCGATGTTTCGAAAAATCCGGGAAAACGGCAATCACTGCAATCACAGGTAGCATCCTAATTCCTCGAAAAAAGATCGACGCTGCGACGACACTCCACACATCTCCAAGGCTCTGCCAGTTCTTCCCGAATCTTGGTGCCTTGGAAAGGTCTGCCATGAATTGCCATAGCAGAGAAGCTTAAGTTCTGAGTTCATGTCCTGCAAATCTATCACAACACAACTTGGAGATACTTGGAGCTAAGATGAGCCAAGTGTCCATAATCGTCTCCGTCAGACCTCAAAGCGTGACAGCCATCTGCCAAACATCGGTGGAGACCTAAGGCACCTCAAATGGTGCCCAGATTTTGACGGTAGCCCCTTAGCCATAGGTAGCCCATCTCACCCAAGGCCAAGGGGCTCAATTCTCAGTTTGTTTTGGAGCAACTCCCGCAGCATCTCCCGCAGGGTACAGCTGTGATGTCCCAAGGAATCGCAGTGGCTCTTGCCCAGCCATTGATGGGACACGAAGGCCACATACATCCCTGGCGGAACAGACTTCAACCGTTGGGCCGTCCGGGCCGTTGGGGCTTGACCTGGTTTGACCTCCGAAATAATGGGGGCAGATGGGGGCAGGTAGTAAACCTTGGGGCACTCTAAATTGCTGATCAAGAGACTTCAACGAGAGATACTTCCAATTCCAGGATCTGAAGTATGGTTTCTTTTGTCACTGATTAGCTCCGGAATGCATGCAGAAGTGGCTGTAGGTGGAGTAGGGTTGCCCTGAAATAACAAACTTTTATGTGTGTGACATCGTAAAACACCTACAGATTGAGGAACGCCCATTCGCTTGCTTGACGCAGACAGATTCCTAAAGATATGTCAGAAACTGCTGGGCGAACGTTGAACATCAGGTTCAAAGCAGAAATCGATGTAGTTCCATGTGATTACCATATTACTCCAGAGAATTCCAGATTATTTGGGAAAGCTATGCAGATTCCCAGTCGCTAACCGGTCTTTACTTGGACATCCAGTAGGCTCCTCGCCTGGTTTCCATCGCTGCAACAGGCCCATCGCTTGTAGGGCGTCGTGCGCCAGCGGCGCACCCGACATCTGGAGAAAGTCCGCCACCTGCTATCCAGGCCCCACAGGCACCAAAAACCCCTATGGTTCATCAGTTCATCAGCATTTCATCAACCTTCATACATAAAAGTGGACTTTTGGAATAATTTCACCATCAAAAAGGGTGATTTCATTGGATATGATGGTTTCGTGATTTCATCAACGCGAGCAAAGAAACCAATACGGACCATCAATGATAGTTTTTGTAGATGTATCCACAACATTTTTGTGATAGGTTGATACATTATCAGAGCTGCAAATTCTTTGCAATATATAGCTGTATAATTTGTGACGTGTAGTTATTCCACAACCAAACCGTTAAGGCCATGATTGACGGTGCATCAGCCAACATTTATCAATACTCTCGGCATCAGTTGGTGTGGTTGATACAGTCCAACATTCCAAGTCATCAATGAATAATCAAAGAATAATCGATGACGTTCACATATTTCATTTATATTCAGCGAACTTTGCAGATCGAGCCTTCAGAACGTACATTGGAAAATGCATGTGGTGACCTCAGCGTGCTCAAACTCACCGCAGAACATCAAACTGTCTCAGAGCTTGGAATGTCGGAATGGCCCAGTCACCGCAGCTTTGGGGCATTTTCAAGAAGACATTGACATTTGACATGACAACTGTAGGGAAAGGCTGGTGGCAGATCTGATTCTCATCTGGGAGTCGCGCCCACACCCGCAGAAGCCTGAGAAACGCCGATGCGGATACGTGCTACGTCCAAATCGAGGACGCCCCTGAAACAAACCGGTTCCATCCGGTTACCCTCCCATAATCGCCATGATTTTGGAGGATTTCGGGGACAGTTCTTGGACATGCCCATCAATACCTCAGGTCAAATGGTGCAAACATCAGGAACTTCTCAGTTTCATGTAAGTCAAAGATTGATATTGGATTCCTGCAGGACATATCTGAGTCAATCATAGAGTTTCAATATTTTCCAAGGTGACAAATTCTGGGGATCTCCCCCATCACATCCAGGGGGCCATCCTTTCTTCAAAGCTGAGCTGGGAATCACCTTGGTTTTGAAACAAAAGTGACTGGTCATGGCTGGTCATCCTTGGGACTTGAAACCATCCAGTTTGGGGTCGATCATTTTAAGCCATTGCCAAATAAATTGACATGTTTTGGGGACCAACTGGTGAACAGCTCGTAGCATGCCGTCACTTCCTGGCATCCACCTGGAAAGCCAGCTCTGCGCGGTGGAAAGTGCAACATACTCCACTTAGTCTTGGCAAACCAACATCTTTATTTGAAGCCATTCTGGAAGCGTTTCACAATGGTAAATTTGGAGACCCCTGACATCCCTATCCCCCAGAAACATCCAATCAAAACAAATCAAAACAGGATCGCAATTTTCCAGTTGCTAGTCACAGCTCTCCCAGGTGGGTGCTAGGCCAGATTCGCAGCCACGTGCCGTGTCGCAGCCACCGCATTGACCCATGGCACTTATTGCACGCTATGGAGCCATGGACTCTTGCCACGGGCATGACAAGTACGACAGCTACAGGTGATCTGCAGAGATCCAAAAAAAACAGGGCTTTGGGATATTTTGAACTTTTGGGTGATTGGGTGTGGATTAAAACTTTGTATTCGGGGAACGCTGCCTGAGTCAACACCATAGATTTGGACATCTTCTCAGCACAGTCTTCTGCAAGATTCTGCAAGGTATCTGGAGAATGGGTGCCTTCCAGGCGAACACATTCGATTCTGTGATCCAATTAGCTTGAAGTCCTTGAGCTCTCTGCATGGTCAGGTCATCCTTGAGGCCAAGACTGGTCATCCTTGAGACGTCACAGCTCTCTGCACAAACTGAACACGGAAGCGTTGTGACATGTGGTGATTGTTGTGATCCTTGATTCTTCAGGATCTTTTTGGACCTCCAGGCCATCAATTTTCACCAATCTGGTGATAGGGTGCGTCATCGTTGGTCAATCCATGCTCCAATGAGCTTTCCATAGGTTTCCCATGCAGGATTCCCCCAACCACAGAAGGATAGTCGATGCTTACAGCTTGAGTGTAATCCACAAAATCTGTTGGCTGGTCCCTATTGGCGACTTTTTTTGTCCCACTTAGCGGGAATGGGTTGCGCAAGGCCACATTTTGTGGCTTGCGTAAACTGCCCGAAAGCATGCTGGAAAGTCACTGCCCTTATTGCCTTTTCTATTGGAAAGTCATGCCTACGAGGTTAATAAAGCCAAAAAACGTTTGCATTCCCTAGATCTTGGTTGTTCTGTAGATTTTCACTAAGGGTTATCTGCAGGCATTTTTTAAAAACACTAGATCGTTTCGCATGGTTCCGAACTCTGGGAAAACCAGCTGGTCACTTGGGGTCATTGCAATAAATAGTGGGAAATGTGAAGTATCATTATCATATCATTGTCTCACAGTTATCTCAAACATTCTCAAACCATTTCAACCAACAAAAATGTGCGACAATGGCAGCTGCCAACCCCAATCTACGCACGGCAGCTGGACCATCGACCCATCTTCACCGTCTTCACCTTGCCGCAGGTTGTCTCGATGAATTTTGTGCCGACGAATGGTGATCTAAAAAAACTGAACATTGCTGAACTATTTCATTGCGGATATCTGAGAGAATTAGATTGGAATGGAAGGGACACAGCTGGAAGCAAAGTGCTGGAAGCTTTTGAAACTGGAACAGCGAAGGGCGTGAATCAAAAGTCTTTCAAGATTGAGAGTTCTTTTGAATTGTGACAGTATCATGTCATCCAAGTTGCAACATCCACCGGTTCTCTGCAAGTCTTGGACATGTCAAGATTGTCAAGGCATCCCAATCACCGCGGTGATTCCCATTCTCTCGATAGAATTGTCAAACATCTCCAGGGATCCTCGAATTTTCCCGAAACACCCATTCCCATCATTCCCATCATTCCCCAGCCTACTCGGGGCTCGACCTGCCTTGGCAGAAAACGAAAACTGGGAAAACGAGGAAAACATGGTCATCGGCAGTTGGGAAGTTTCGATTTGTTGCGTTTTTATGCAATGAAATACGGATTTCTTGGTTATGTTTGAAGCGCAGGAGTTTCTGGGGATGATCTGATTCAAGTTTCACTCTGTTAATTGTGTTCAATAAAGACAATAAAGGTGCTAATTCTTTTGCTGTTTTGGTTTTATTCTTTGCCAAAATTTCAGGGCGTGTTTCATTGCGAAGTGAAGCGAAGTGTCCTGTAAACAAAATCATCCTTGCGACACCTTTTCACCAATCATTTGTGGTTCTTGGGTTTTCAGGTCCACTGCTTCGAAGGTCCCATCCCTTTGCAGGGTCTCACTTCGTTGCTCTGCGAGGGTCTCACGTACTTTGTTGTTTTGCTATGACATGCTGGTGATCATGTCGTGTGGCAGGTGCAGTGCCTTGCAAACAACACATAAATCGTAAATCGCACTGGAACTGCGACATTCCAGGTGCGTTCAAAACAAGATGTTTAGCTTCGTCTTTGAGTCTTGATTTGCAAGTGCAGCAATTTGGTGGACCTTGAGATACCTTGGACCTTCAGTGCAACTTTTTGTAGATGCAGTGTTTGGTGGACCACAAGAGTCTGACAAGAGTCTCTCGTTGAAATGTCCTACAAGAGTGACAAGAGTAAGAGAGTGTCTCACAACAGCGGTCTTGTAAAGTGTCTGAGAAGACTGTCTTACAAGAGTCTCTGTCTAGAATGTCCAGCAAAAGTGTTTCACGAATGTGTCACAGAAGAGTGTCAAACGAATGTGTCCTACAAGGATACACTCTTCTGTGACCCTTGCTGTTTAGGCTCCCTTACCAGCGTAACTTCTTCTTGGCTGTACCAACATGGAGAAGCGTGTTCGTATGTGGAAATGACTCTTTTTTCGAACTGATATGTCTGGCATTATTATGCCGAACGATAGCTAGCAAGGGGAACACTTGAAAGCGCTTCCTTTCTAGGAAACATGTTGGATTGGTGGGCTTTTGCTGCCCGTTCAATTATCTCATTCTCAACTTATGAGTCAATGGAACCAACTGATGATCATCCCAAATAAAGATGGAGAGCAAAAAGGTCTTTGGAACCGGCAGTTGGGCAGTTGCCAAGCCATATCCACACCTGACCTAGTCACCCCTGAGATCCTCACACCGGGTCGGAGGATATTGGCGATTTTGACACGTTCCTGGTCAAGTCAGCTTCATTCAGAAAACTCAACAGGAATGACACAGAGGATGGAACGAATATGAAATGCATATGAATATGAAATGAATATGAAATGAATATGAAATGAATCAATATGAAACAATCAATATTGTACCCTCATGTCGACCATGACTATACCGCGACTAATCGAGACTGAAGACTCGATAGCAAAGGAGATCCCAAAGACTCTTTTGACTTTTCTTGGTGTAGAATGCTTGAGCCATTGTTGCATTGTGTTGCATCGCACCCTGGCTTCATCGGTCCTTCTCCATATTCAGCAGCAACCGCTTGACTTTCAAGACCACGAAGTTCCTGGTACTGCTGGATCTACTACTGTTTAACGTGCTTGATTCTCCTTGATGCTGCTCTTGCTTTTTGCATGCACAATGATTGATTTGATGCAGTTTCAGCCCAACATGGCAACAGGACATCCACAATGGGCAATTTCCTCGGTGTGGCCTTTCCAAAACATGGAGCAATGGGTCGCTTTGAACTGACGTGCTCACCGACAACTTGCTGCAAGGGGGTCCTGTCACAGGCCCTCACGTGGGAGTCTTGCGTAGCACCTCGGCATCCCGGACATCCCGGGCATCCCGCTCCCATTTCTGCTGCGTCCCAGGTCGTTTAGTTTGTCCATCAGTGTCACTTTCCGTCCCTCAAATATGGGCAAAATACAGCACTGTGGGTTGGTGCGCAACCAGAATGACAACTCGGTGGAGCAGTGATCTTTTTTATGGGTCACTTCGACTTGGATCATCAGAGTTCCAACGTCTCCAAAGTTGGGGCGGCTCTTTTGCGGTGTGACCGTTCTGTGTGGCATGAACGGATCTGCATCCCATTGCACAAGATGATACCCCAGCTATTTCACTGGGGTAAACAGGGTAAACATCCCATTCATCCCATTCATAGATGGGCCACATCCCAACCATCCCAACCAAGCTGTCCCAGGCACGATCTTCTGCTAGAAGCCACATCAAGTTGGGAACTTCGACGTGATTTGGATCCTGCTGTGAACGGGCTCGGTCAGGAGGGGCCATCTTCCCAGAAACATCTAATGACTAAGATTTAGAGAAAGTCAGATCTGGATGAAACCGATAAACAGATTAAACAGATTAAATTGATTAATGATATTTAATGATGATGATTTATGTTCGAGATTACGAAATCAAATCTTTCCTTGAACGCCACCAAGGATCAAAATCTGTGGGCAGGGCCCATTTGCCGTGGAGCAGCCACTGAAAATGGATGGCACTCAGAATGCCAATTGCCAATCCGAAAGTTCCAAGGGGTCCAACAACTTTTCCGCAACCAAATGGGAATGTCAAACACTGGAAGGTCCCGTCCATTTACCCCATTGACAGTTCAACTCCCGCCGCACAGTGCAGGATTTTCTCTGGCCGTTGAGTAGTTGGTATTCGCTCGAACGTTGAAAGGCCTGGAAAAGAGTCGGAAACTGCGACGGTGCCACGGTGCCACGGTGCCACCATACATCATGGTATGTGCAAAGCATCATGATATGTGCGAAGATCGCCAAAAACCGGATCCATGAAACCAGATGAGACGGAACCATTTTAGGAAAACCAACAGGCACAATTTTGACCAATGGCCCAACAATTTTGAATCGAATCCCCACAGATTGACAGATGCCTCCTCCATGGCCAGTTCCAGCGCCGTCCGTGCGGATCCACTGCGATTGGTGCAGTCCACGGTGGTCACCAGGGAGGGCAGCCACTGCAGCCTCGGGAGATGGCAATGGATTGTTGATTCATGTTGGCAACCGTTGATTCTATAGGCGATACACTGACACCATCTGACACCCAAATATGACATGTATAGCTATATGAATATATATAGATAATATTATATATAGGTTTGTGCAAAAACAGCCTATTTCAAAATCTGGTTTTAGATTCATCATTTTTTCCACATTGCCCTTTCTCATCGTTATTCTCATCACATCTACAGGTGTCCACTGGGCCTCAAGACAAATGCTGACGCTTGCGCCGCAAGAGGCGCTGTGGCACATGCTGCAGGGCACCGAGGACACGCGCAGCAGCCAAGGTGGAGTTCACCTGTGAGATTGCCATTGCGGCCTTTGCGGCCATTCTGACCTTTTCAGTCACTTTTTTCTACCTTTTGGGACACTAGGGGAAAGATTGGGAAAGCAAAGAAAAAAAGATTTTTTTTTCCCGATATGACGTGATATAACTGTAAAACCGTATAACCATGTTCATTTCGGTTTGTGGGTTGTTCTTTGTTTGTTGCACCTGCCGCTGAAATGGGATGAACTTTAAGGCTGAGATGGAAGGGAAAAATGGCACTCTGGTTGTGTGAGGGCTGATTGAGTTATTTTTGGGAATGAAACGGTCTGCGTTTCATTGCGCATCCTCATCATGTCGCTATGACTTCAAGCAAGATTAAATTTGTCTAGCAAGTTGTAGCATTTCAACCCCTGCTGTCGTTGCAGCTCACCCGTGGCCGCCGTAGCCAGGGCACGCCATAGAAGAAGAAACTGAAGTCAGCCCAAGGCACCTGGACAAGGACGGCACTATGTGCCACTTGTGGCCCTCCGTTTCGCGGCTCAACTGCAGTCTATCGGCTTACCCTCCGTCCTCCAATGGCAACAAACCCAACCAGTACAATTTTGATCCCTCAAGTCATGCGGATTGCGGCCTTGTCCGGGAAGGGCAACATTGGCCAATAATCTGATGTTGAAGCAAAGGCTGGAAGACATCCACGCGTCATGGCCTGAAGTCTGCCATCTTAACTATACTAACTGTAAGATTGAAATTTGTTATGTTTGACATCTTCAAAAGGGCTCACACACCCAAAATTTGTATTTTGAAGGGGCTATCTTTTGGAATTTAGCCATTTTTGCCATCGAAATCTGATAGGATGCTGCCACTTTTAGCTGGGTATCCCAAACGTCCCAGAGGCGCTTGGTGCCATCCGCCGTGTCGCCTCGCCTTGGCGGTGTGGGACAGGATGGGCTTGTCCGAAAATGGCCTTTTCTTTGGTGAACCAAGTACAATGATATCATAGTTATCATATAGTTATCGTATAGTTCTGATATACTTATGATATAGCTACGGTATGATGGGATGTCATCTTACACAGCCAACGTTGTAAAATTTGGGTTTCCCAAAATGAGGTATACCGGTATACCAGGTATACCCTTTACCAAACGCTGGATCTTGGGATACCCAGTTTTCGGACCCGCGCCAAGGAGATGGAAACCACCACCATTCGTTCTGTAGCCAATGAGCCAATGGGGATTGGGGAAAGACGAGAAGATAAATCCCAGAAGCTGAACCACCGCAATCCCGAAATGGTGGATCAGTTGGTGGTTCAACCAATCTCCAAATTGATCACTTTGGATTGACCAGCGGGTTTCCGAAAGGACACATCTTGTCATCTTCCCTCCATACTGAGCATTCCGGCAAAACCAAACACACCTAGCAATGGGACACCACTTTGATTCCAAATTGGACTTTGGTGGGTTCTGATTTGCCAATGGAGACATGTGTATTCATCCAGGGGTCCCAGGGGTTAACTACAAAGTGCTCAACTGTTCAGGCATGATTCCGTCTATTGTGTCACGAGTGCAACTTGGAACAAAACAGTTGGACAAAGGCCATAAATAGCATGAATAGCATGAATAGCTGGAGGATACAGCAAGTTCCTGGAGGTTCTCAACTGTGTATTCTTTGTGTTTGAAAAGTGGGCTGATCTCTGCACGTCACTTGGCTGATCCCGCTGTGAACCATCCCACCTCTGAATAGGAATAGATGGTCTCAAACAGCAAGGAATTGAAGACTGGCTGCTCCCTTCGTTCAGCCTCGGAGTTTGATGCAAGGCAAACAAGGTTTTAGTTGTCAACTGGAGTTGGGTGAGACCACATTTCATTGATATCTGCCCAAAGCTTCTTGGGATTTGCTTTTGATTTAGCAGATTGGGTAACTTGAGTGCATCCGGCCTGGAATTCAGGGATGTCTTGGAAGCCGTTCTGGGCACCACCATAGAGCCTTTCCTGGTGGCAAAGAAGGCTCCGGCGAAGAAACAAGCCGGGAGACACAAAGAGGAGACATGGCTTGTCAAAGAGTATGCCAGACGAGTCGATTTCGAACTGGTCACGTACTTCCCACAAGCACATGTCAAGTGGATACATACATTCAAGCACCAAAACATGTATGTCCTGGTGCCCGTAGAGATTCTGACATTGGATTCCAGAAGTTGGAATGACACTTTGAAACATCAACTGATAAGAACAGACTGGATCAGACTGGACTGGATCGGACTAAAGTGCGCATGTGGAAACCAATTCCCGCTGTCTGAGTAGCCCTGGACAGAATCCATTGCCATGGTCATGATCTCCAAGGGCCCACAGAAAATCAGGTACAGGGTTTGAAGACACGCGTCACCAATCAGAGGTAGCCAACATATGGGTCTGAAATAGGGCACCCCAAATCCCATGGTTCCCATGTTTCTGGAACCCATGCCACATAGACTTTCCATCCCAGTCTCCAGTTTCTCGCCCAGGCTACCATCAGAGAAGCCATAGAAAGGTATGGAAAAGGCCTCAAGTGGTCGTGGTAACATGGAACAATCTGGTCATGTTTGGCTTTAGGGGAAGTCTTTGGAAATCGTCGAAGTCAGAACATTCGAAATTTAGATCATGGGCAAACATGGGCAAAGGGGGCACAATGCTGAGATTTCCAAAGAAAGGCCATGTCTGAGAAAATCCCAGCATTTGCCAAGAGGAAGTCCTGAACACCTAGCACAAAGCATCCGATTCACAATTCTACGCATCCATGGTGAAATATGTTAAAATCTCCACCTTATGGTTCAAAGCGGATCTGGATATCAAACTTCCCGACCATGATTGGCTACCCAAATTGACCGCTACTCTGTGGGCTTTGTGGCTCGAATTCAACGGAAAGGCCTCGGGCTCCTGAAATAAGGAAATAGTTGATGGATATGTGGATTTTCATCTTTTATTTTCATAAACCCATCAATCAGTCTACATAGAAAAACCAATTTATACTGTAGCCATCTGTAGCCCAGTCCTCGCCACGTTCGACAACCCATCTTCCGGGGCCTTGCGGAAGTAGCTTCCCCAATCTGGGGCTTCGGCCTGCATTGCCACCCGTGGTCAGCCAAGTCGCGGGATGAAGTACGCATTGTCTATGATATATATATAATTATATATATATATGATGTATAAGATGTATATATTTATCATATGTATAATATGTATAATATAGCTACAGCTACATGATGATTACATGTAAATAGAGTGGTATGCATCTGTGCATCTGTGCATCTGTGCATCTGTGGATCTGTGTATCTGTGTATCTGTGTATCTGTGTATCTGTGTATCTGTGTATCTGTGTATCTGTGTATCTGTGTATCTGTGTATCTGTGTATCTGTGTATCTGTGTATCTGTGTATCTGTGTATCTGTGTATCTATCTATCTATCTATCTATCTATCTATCTATCTATCTATCTATCTATCTATCTATCTATCTATCTATCTATCTATCTATCTATCTATCTATCTATCTATCTATCTATCTACCACTCTATATACATACACGGTCTGCTGTGAATTCAACTGCAGCGCCGCAGCGTTGACACTTCTGTGGGAGGCAAAAAGCAGTCTTGAACATGAGGGTATAAGCAACAAGTGAGGATGCACCCAGCTATTATAGTTGGTTAAAAGCACTGAGATCATTGGGGCTATACTATATAGGTTATCCCAAATATACCCAGTACATTCATGTCTCGAGCTGTTTTCGAACATCTTATCCTTACATTTCTGGAAACAGGGATAGAACATACCAATTGAGCCACTAAAGGAGATTCGAATCAGATTCAACCGAACACGCATGGGAATAGAATCGGCATATGCAACCATAAAAATCCATAAAGCATCACCTCCAATAAATCGGATCCTGAAGATCTCCCATTGATTATATACCAATGATTAACCATTATTAAACATTATTAACCATGATTAATAATCCAATCCATTATTATAGTTACTGGATAATTAACCATTAATGGGAACTATAATCCATTAACCATTAATTAACCATGGATTATTAACCACTATTAACCATGATAGTTCCAATCCGCCGTGGCCTCCGGTACGAGGCGCCAGCGCCAGACTTCTTCAACCCACCAGAAGTTCCAAGGTCTCAGCCGCGGTCAGCGACGAAGCGACGGCAAAAAGCGCTCAGCCGCGATGAGCCGCGGAAGCGTCAGATGGTGAGATTTGGTGTATGCCATATTATATATATAAATATATATATATATTATATATAAATATATATATATGTATATATATATATATGTATATATATATATAATATCATATCATATGTTTCACTTGATTTCACCAACTATTTTGAGCAGTATTTAATCACCAACTAGATAGAACCACATTTTGTCAATGAGTATTTATGTGTTGAGCATGGGATGTATATTACAACCAACATAAACAGGATATAAACTTGCCAGAAACATGTGTTGGTCAGTAGGCAACCAATCTGGAAGGAGAAGCCCAGTCATTTCTGGGTGGTCTTTGGGATTGGGGCAAGATGATACCAGCGGTCTGAGGTTCACCAAGGAGTCACTAGAAAGGCACCACCCTTAACAAACCGATCATGTTGGGATGTGTTCTTCGGACACCATCTAGTATTGAAGAGGCATGAATTGGTGGCCAGAAATCGATACAAGAATCCAATATTTTGGGGACAAAACCAACCATTTCTATCCACCAGCCAGATCCCGGTGTTGTTAATCCATCGCTTCTGCAGATCCCAAAGGGCGCCCCACTTGTCTCCCTCAGATGATGCCTGGCTGCTTGACATCCAGGGCTTGGGCTTGAACAGTTAAACAGGATTGAACGGGATTGAACGGGATAAAGGAGTTTGGGAATTTTCTTGACCAGATGTTGAAACACAACCTATGCCATATGCTCCAGGTGTCAACTTCTGGATTCAGGCCTCAAGTTAGAATCACCTTTCGTTAAAAGAGATTCACATGCCACATGGTATACGAAGGTCTTACACAGCCTTGGTGTTGGATCTGGAAATTCTAATCCAAAAATAAATATCGAATAAATTGAATAAATGAAACAAACAGACATCCGTTCGGAACAACTTGCACACGTGCGCCTGGCAGGTCTCATATCCTCGCCGCGAAAGAAGAAAGGCATCCAGGATGGTGCTGTTGCCTCCAAATCTGGACATTTGCAAACACGTTTGTTTAACAGTGGTTGTTACATGTTGTTTAACCGTCAAGTTTAACCAATGTTTAAGCGCCGAAATTTTCCTGGGTTAGCTTGGCGCTTGAGCCGTATGCCAAGGTACCATCCAAGGCCCAATGCTTGGCAGTCCAGGGAGCAGATTCATGCCACCCATCCTGACGAGCTGCAAAAAATGGGGCTCAAATTCTGGAAATTCCTGGTCCCCTGAAGTCATCTTGTGGGTGTTGACTCATGCAGGTCAGACTCATATTACTCATGTTACTCATATTCTTATCTTATGAAATCACCCATGCTGAATCATGCTGATGAAATGCCTCATCTGACATGAACCCAAGGTGGAGACGTTCAATCCACAGGGCCTTTGTTGGTAGAAATAAAGTCCGAGTGGGTTTCATTCGTGAACTATCTCGACCTTTGCCGGCACAGGTTTATTCACTCACGGCTGTCCTCCAGGTAGCAATTCAACTCTTTATACTCTTTGCAGATCAGTTTCCAAACATTCCGAAGCAAACGCCCTGGTATGTCCCTGCAAAATTTGGGAAACGTTGATTTTTACGTTACGACGTTGGTGTGACACGTGTGACATGAAGAATTTTGTACCCTAGTCATCCCAGTCATCTGCCTCTGTCCGCAACCAACGTTGGCTGTCACAGGTGACGTTGAAAAATGCCTGGTGCCACTGCAGGCCTTCCTAACTGACTTTCGGAGGGTCATTGGGGATGAACTACGACTTCAAAAGTGCGGAAGGGATCGATGAAAATCAACTTGTAGATATACAAAACGCATCATTTATGATCGTTGACTTCTCATCTTCAAGCACAGATTTGGGAGACATGTGGAGACATACAAAATCTATCCGCCATCTTGCTGTTCGTGCTTGGCATCCCCCTGCTTTTCAGCTGGAAACGCACATCCCATTGGATCAAATGATGTCTCACCACCCGAGGACAGTTCTCATGATATGGCCATCTTGCATTCAGGAACATTCAGGAACTATCCTCAAAAAAGCACAAGTTTCTACAACTCACTCTCCAAAATTACCTGGCCTGCCGTTCATCGAACTTGGGGCCTATGGCACCGACGTAGCCTCAGCCAAAGATGATCACAGTATCTCCGAATTTTCAGCCCAAATCCACCAAAATCCACATGTCATGCCTTGTTGTGAAAGGAATAGACTTTTAGATACTTTTAGCATAGTTTCCAGATGTTTCCATCTACCTTCTGGCGATGTCTGGTCGATGTTTCCACTTTTGAGATAAAAACCGAAGGATGTACAAGTATCATCAAGTATCATGGGTCACTTTCGCATACCTTCGCCATGGATGTTGGGGTCATTTGGGGTCCCCCGACTCATTGGAATACGAACGAGTTGAAGGCTCCAATTTCCAACGATTCCATGGTCTTGGGACTAATCTGCTAACGATCCTTATCTGGTTGGTGGTATACCTACTCCTCTGAAAAATATGAAAGTCAATGGGAAGGATTATCCCATATATTATGGAACATGAAAAATGTTTGAAACCACCAACATCCACCAAGATCCTTTGCCTCTCCTTTGCCGTGCGGCCGATTCGAAAGCGTCGGGGATGGGTGAGACGAGGCGCCTCGACTGTCAGGACGGAAGAGCAATGCAGCGGAATATGAAACGCACGTATGTCTCCCATGTACTACACATTACTACACTATCTACTAATACACATGGGAGACATGCATCTAATACACATCTAACAGACTCACATATGGATACAATTGAGATCAATTAAGGCTTTTCAACATCAATTAGCTTGCGGATGAATGCCAGGCATGATCTTGTAAGTGAACAAACTTTCATAGTTGGCACTCCTGTGGGTTCTATACGCGTACAACGCAAAGAATGGCGTTTCCCAGGCAATGTGCTTTTCTTTGGATCATTTGTGGTTCAGGGCGCCATTTGTGAAGCCCATGCACAAGCCCATGCGTTGAAGCAATAGCTGGAGATGGAGGTGATCAACTTGAGTTCATTGCAAGACAATGGACGGGCGGATGAATTTTGCAGAAAACGACATCTGCTTTTTCGGAAACCAACTTTGAGCTGAGATGTATGTTGGCTCAAACTACATCACCATGCTATCCTTGAGATGGGTATCCTCCACTGTACCATGTCTATTTGGGTCTTTTGGGTCTGTCTGAAAATGGTGTAGACCCTCCAAAATGGTTCTTTTATGTTCTTTTAATCGGGAACATTGTGATTAACCAATGGATTTAGAGGTAGCCCATTTTCAGAGAAAGCCATTTAGCTCCCGGGGCCCCCAACCACGCCGCGGTGACACCGCAGGCGTGAAGCATGTGGCAGCAGCACGAAGCGGCTGCGTAGACCTGGGCGCCATGGACCCATGCTGATCATTGTTGATCCGCATCCACTCCAGCCAGGTTGAATTGAAGTGGTTTTATGATGTTTTTATCCTGATGTCTTATGTAAGTTATGTATAGTAATGTCCAGTATTCAGGAATGTTGGGCAATGTTGGGCTAAAAACTTTGATTTATCTCCTATTCCCCCCAGGGTTTTAAATGACTCTTGTTCAGAGTTAGTTTCAAACTCTTCACTTTTCGATGGTCCTATGAGGTTTGGATCACCTCAAGGATTCCTGTCGATCATGTTTCGAAGGACACAACTTTGAAACCATTTCGAACATTATCAACATATATCAACATATTAACATATATTAACTATTGAAATCAATAAAGTAATGCATATTTCCAAATCATCTGACGCATCGAAAAAATCATTCAACATACTACCTGGATAGTGGCATTTCCCTGCCCGCATCCCAATCTTGATTACTTGCCCGTTTCAGAAGCAGCATTCTTCACCCAGATTTGGTCCCTGGCCATGGGAATCTTTGGTGCTGCCGCAAGGCCACGGGCAAGCCACCTGCAGCGACATCCTTTGGGGAGCTCAGTTTTCTAAGGATCCCGGAAACGGTTGCTGCTCCTTGAACCATCCAATGGTTGTGGTATTGGCGCTGCATTTCAAGAGGGACCTGCTTGTGGAATCAAAACTCCATGTCCAAGAAATAAATTGACAAGAAATGTCTGGAAATTCCTTGCCATTCCTTGCCAACTTTGGAACCCGTTTCGCTTTTGCGTAAGAAACTCTGGATGAAGCAAGTCTGGTGAGATATCTACTTGTCATCCGCGATTTCCTTTACTTGCGATGGGCAAAAATCACCAAAAATCCTCTTTTGAAGTCTGTTGGGCCTGTTGGGGTTGGAAGTTCCGGCTTTCACTTAGGGAAACAAACCAATGAGATCCAATGAGCAACCCGGAGCAACCGGTTGCCCCCGGTGCACCGTGAGCACGATCCAATTGGCTGCCAGGGGATGGTAATCCGTCAAGGCGAAGCCAGGCTGATCGCGATAGTGCTGAAACCTGCGAAAAAACCGAGTGATGGATACATCGAGGATGGTTTGTAAATATGAAAAATATGAAAACAAGCCATCAATTATACACACATATAAATAATATATATATATATGGTTTAATATATATATATATGGTTTGTAAACCATTTCATAATGATGTATCAATGCATATCTTGAAATAGTTCATTGTTTCTATGGTTTACCATTGATGCTATTGAGTAACCATACGGTCAACTCCCAACATTTGCCCCAACGCTATCGTCCCCCCCAATGTGAGCGGGCTGGCAAATGGTGGGCCAAGGAACTCCACGCCATAGAGCAACAGATGGTCGTAGCCCTGGCGCTTGGCGAAGAACGGCGACGTGGCCAACTGTTGGACGGTCATGGCAGCACAGCGCAACGCCTGAAACAGCACTGGCAGTGGCACAAAACCACATGAATATTTAGCTGAAATCATGGGAATTGCATCGCAACTCAACAATGAAGATTTCTAGGTAGAAGAGCATTTCCGATTGGGATTCAATTCGGTCATTGATTCGTTAGTATGGTGTCCACATCTCACCCATAAATCATGACATCAACATAAATAGAAAATAGGAATCAAAACGTCGAAACCCCTCAGGTCATGATGGGATTGTGTCCCAGCTACAACCCCCTTACATAGCTCACAAGACTTTGAGAGGTCTGCAACCCACGAAGTAGATTCACCTTTACCACGGAAAGAACATCTAGCACATGGCGCAAGCTGTGGGAATTTCCAGCGGTTTCACCCATTCAGTACATTGAACCAAGCCAAAAACATGGGAATGTGCAGAATGCAGAGATGGGAAGCCACACTTTTCCAGGCACTTCCCCAATTTCTTCCCCAATTTCTCAACGTGTGTTTTTCGATTGTGCAGATATGTGCAGATATGTGCAGATTGCCACTGCACGATTTTACCAACCAATGATCCCACGGCCGAAAATCCAACATGTCTGGCCTCCAGATCGCCGATCCAGAAGAGGACTGAGAAAAAGGCGGGGATGTAAAACATGTCTGCCTGGTGGTGACGAAAACACATCTGGGTTTGAACCGCTTTGAAGCCTGAACTTCATTGACTTAGTTTCAATGATCAAGGTGAGTACACTTAGCCAACATGCTCCACAGGAAGATTCAAATGAATTATTTGAATTTACATCAAGAATGCATAGGGGACAGGCTTTACTTTACCATTGCCGTGAGGTTTTTTTCGGGTGAATCATCACCGTTCCCAAAAAAACATGACGTGTTTCTTCAGATAGGGATTGTTGAAAATCTTGGGACCATTTGGGACTCAATTTCCGGGGGATCTCGGGATTCCATGAGGATCTTGGGCCTTTCTTTGAGAAATCTAAGCAGCAAGATATACCAAGATATAGTGAGAACAAGTCACCTGAATTGTCTAAAAAAGGGAACATTGGGAACATTGGGAACAGTTTCACTTCAGTCATGTCAACAGGAAATTGCCAGTTGCAAATTCAACACGTGACAAAATTGGACAAAATCGTCCCAGAGTCAAATAGGCCATATTAATCAATCTTCAACGATTACAAACCAGTAAATCTTCAAGGCGATACTGGGTTTAGCGGCATTGCTCAAGTGCTGCAAACTAAATCAGAGACATAAACCATCCCTGCAAAACAGATGATTAAGACATTCTGCGCATCCTGTCAACCCATCCTAGACAATGCGGGCAGGGTAACGGGTTTGGCTGTACTTAAGTCCAACTTGAGCAAAATTCTAGATTTCACCTACATCTTAGTCATCCTTCGTTTCTAAATACTTCTTTCAAACTTCTTTCTCCATGGGTCATTAAATGTCCCCATTGAACATCACCCAACGAAAATCGCTATATGGTCAATGCCATGGCTACTATTTCAGGTGATGTCCAATATTCCCAAAATGGGACAGTTATTTTGGTTAATAACCATTAATTAACACCAAATTAACACCATTAATAACCATTAATTAACCATTAATTAACCATTAATAACCCATTTCAATTGGATCTCGTTCTTTTTCCAGGCCTCGTCGGCTTTGGTGGTCACCGTGAAGCTGCGACCTTCGATGATCTGCTGATGCCTCGTGGCGCATTGGCGATCTGCGACGATGTGAACAAGTGCCTTAATTGGACATCCCCAAATGCTGGATGTAGGGGATAGTATGGGATAGTATGGGATAGTATGGGATAGTATGGGATAGTACAACACTTGAAATCAGCTAATATGACTCATATGATATCATATGACCATCAATCTATTAGAGACCAGTGGAAGTTAATTGACATTGATATTAGCAACACATGTTCCGGATATAGTCACATGATTGTAGCAACAAAAAGGCATACAACTATCCAATCAACAAAGCCTGGATGAGGTGGTGAACAAACGACCCAACAACCAGACTACGGAAAGTCAGACCACGTAAACAACCTCCCACTTGAATATGTTGGGCCCGCAATGGTTTGTTGCTTTGTTGGTGGATCAATTTCACATTCGACAAAGACTAACCACCAATGTATCAATGATCATCAGAATCATCAGAATCAGCATGATCATCAGCATGATCAGTGGTTTCACCAGTGGTTTCACCACAGCTGTCCAAGAGGCAATGGTCGCAGTTGCGCCACCATCTTTCGAAGGTACAAGGCGTTGGCCTCACAGCGTCGCACCAAGACACAATGTGCATCGTGTGTGCTCACGATGCCAATGCAAAACGGTGGAACATGCGTGTATCTTTGATGCAAATCCTTGACATAGACTCATAGTATCTCATAGTCGACTCATAGTTTTCCTTTTTTTAAAGAACTAGTCAAACTATCCATTGTTGGCAATGAACACAATGAACACATCAGATGCTGAAACTTTGTGATTTCAAACTCACTTTGCGCCACAAGGTCACAAGTACAACATCGAGGACCGTCCACTGGACCAAAATGTGGTGTACCTAGTGACCTGGCGTTGGAGCTGTCTTGAATAAGTGCAAGAAGGGTAGTCCCAAACACTTTCTACATAGCAATCCGAGAATGCCTGAAATACGTGTGACCTTAGTCTACCAAATGTATAAAAATCATCAGTAGAATCATACTAATAATACATCATAATGCCACCAATATTGCATGATATCCATTGATATCCACTATCTTGATGATCTTATCAGGAACCCTTGCCACCACCTCTTGATCCAAGGGCAATGGCTTTCCATCGTCGCCTGCGGGCAGTTTGAGCTATCCATCCCAATTGGCCAAAAACCACTTTGATTGCTGAGATCGAAGGACGGTTTCAACGAAAACGAATACAGTTTCCCTAGGTCCAGGGAAACATCACCAGGAAGGGGCTTGTTGAAAAAGACACATGACAGCTATATATATATAAATCATGGTCAAATAATGTATTATCATGTCATATTTGCAAACTGATCTCATGATTTGATGTTCTTGGTGTCATCGAAAACAAAACTTCCAACCTATCCCTTTGACATCTTCAAAGCCGCGATTTCCGAAACGAGACACTATGACATCACTATGAGACACTCAGTGCAGACCATATTGACCCAACACACCTTCCGGCTGTGCCTGGCAGAACATCTAGTGACTGGATTCCTCGGAGATAGAAATCAAGACTTGATAAATTCAATAAGCCTTGAATAGAAACTGCAAGCAGAACAACCTGGGGATTCACCTGGATTCACCTGTGGTAACCGGTGACCGCCATGATGGCACGATGGCCAGGTGCGGCAACAAGGGAGGATGGAGGAAGAGGAGGATGAATACCCCTTGTCCGAGGTCCCTGATGTTTTCCACCGCTATAAACACCCTACCCTAGATGAGCATAAGAATGCATAAGAAGTCATTCTGCAGCCAGAAGCATTTTGGTTCCAAAGCAGGTTATAAGTGTGATGGCAGCCTATCGCCGGGCTGGGATCTAAAGTTTTCAAGGGTTAACCGTGTCCTATCCTTCATCCAAAACACCCCACCAAACTAACAGAAGTGCATGAAAAACATGATTTTGTGTAGGGGATCGTTGTTTTTTTTCCAGGAGATTGTCGTTCTGGGGTTCTAACTTCTACGCTTGCAATGTCGGAAGTCTTTCCGGAAATTCCAGAGCTGCTCAAAGCCGAGGAAAACTTCCGTCAAGAGCGCTTTCACCATGAATACAGATGGAATATGATGGAATCTATTCAAAGGATTTTGAAGGGATGACTATTTTTTTCTGAAATTCCCCACAAACCAGGCATTTTCGATCGAAGATCAGTGCCAAGAGTCCAGCACATGGTGGCACTTGATGTATGAAGAGCTTCCTGTCAGAGAACCAGGGAACAACTGGGGACTGAAAGGACAGGAGTCTGTCACAAGTAACAATCACCTAGGAATTTAGATGATCTATGATGATCTAGTCACATTTTGGTGTCCCAGCCCCACCAAGCCTCGTGGTGGCCGAAAAACCCCCGGTGGCGGCACCGGTTTCACCATGCTTCGCTGCCGGCCCAATATTGTTGGCTCACGGGTAAACTGCCTTGGACCGTGGAATGTTTCGCTCGGCTGAGTTTTTTGAGTTCATGTTTTGGGTGACCCACAGCTTTCCCAACTTTGTGTGGTTCGATGTGGCTTGATCCATGCTTGGGCTGAAATATCCGACGCATCCTCAACTCATTTTCATTCTTGGTGGTTTGGCGGAGTGGTTGCTTTCCTTTTTGACTCAAGCAGGCAAGCAAGTTACGCTGCGGACGTGTACGAACGGCTTGCAACATGCATTCTGACGTGAACATTATGACCACTGATGACCTGCTTCGTCCATGGACACTGGTATTCGTGATGCAATGGTTGGATGTGATCTTCCGATCTTCCCCCAAACAGGAAATTGAATCGTGGTTGGATGACGAGGAACACCTCTTTTGGAAGCAACCCCAATCGGTTCAAACATCCTTGGAGTCTTGGTATCGATGATTGTGAAACATCAGCAACGTATTGAATTGATGTTGAAAAGAATCCTGAATCTAGATTTTCGAGAGACAATGAAAATAAACATCAAACATCGTCAAACATCATCAAGCATCATCAAACATCATCAAACATCATCAAACATCATCTTTAAACCTAGATTTGATCATCCCCGACCTCAAATTCTCGTTTTGGTTTTTGGATGTTTTGGGTTTTCGACATCGGGAAAACCTGGGTGAAGTCCCTGAAGTCACCGTCCTGACTCCAAGTAGCCCGCAACTCCTCCTAACGGAAGGGGCTTACATGGTGCTTTACATTATATATATACATACACCATATATATATACATATATATATATACACCACATATATATATATATACCATGTATGGTGTTTCAAAAGAAAACCCCATGGCTGCCCATGATTGCCCAATCATTTATGAATCAGAATGGCTGGAAGATACTCTTGTTTTGGTTTCATAACCTCCTTACGTTTCACACAAAAACACATCATGGCTCTTGCTCTGATGCAGGATGCCTGGAATATCTGATGGTGTTCAGATACTCCTTTTTGGAAGTGAATCGAGGCACCAAACTTGTGTTGGCCTAGTGTCTTTGCAGAGGAAACAACTTACAAATGGCAAAAAGTTCAAAAACATGCGCACAACCGGCACAACCATCCATCATTTTGCTTTGAGTGTTGAACCCTGTATTTCCAGCCAGTCATCGTGAAAGAGCATACTCACCCAACGAATCCAGCATTTATTTTGGACAATGTCTACAATCACATGACATTTTGGTTGGCCTTGGCCATTCCTAAGTGTCAGCCAATTTCACCAAGACGTCAACAGGATCAAGTGGAGCAAACTATGGCAACATCACAAGGTCAGTCAGGCTACAAACTTTCGGGTCGAATCTTTGCAACATCCCCAGTTTTTGATGGACCGTGGGGAAATCGTCGCCATGCAGCCATTCCAGGCCTTTTTGTTGCTGGCCTGAGCCATCTCGAGGATCCTGTGCACAGTTTGGGAGGTTTTAAGCATGGAAAATGGGGAGGAATTTTCACATGTCAAATAAGGGTGGACAAAAAATTGGATCCTAACAGTACCTGTAAAGAGAAGATAAAGGAATGGCATGGAATGACTCAAATACATCATTTGGCAAGATATGGGGAAGCAGTTGTGATGCCGATTTTCTTCAAGCGAAATAGACCATGAAGCAATGGATTGTCGGGTGGTTGGCGGTGCCAATTCACCACAAAGAGAGCAAAACACTTGGAATCACCTTCCCGGTCAAGTGACGGAAAGGAACCGCCGAAAAGTGAATTGCCGGTCCTGTAACCCCTACATTTTTTCTTATGTCCCTCGTATTGCTGCTGCTTCTTGTTGAACATAGCTCTTTTTCAGACGTGCATGAAGGGAAGATGTATGGTTTCAACCCCAACGTATTTGATGGTAAATTCCCTGGGTTCCTGTAATTATTCCCTCAAACCAACCCAGCCACCCCCTTTATTAATATCTATCCATATTTAGGTCATATTATCATTATGATGATGATCATTATTATTACTATTGATTAGTATCATTATCATCCCAATTTAATGCTGGCTGTTGCTGATAATACATATATATATAGATATTTATGTATGTGTATATATATAATATAGTATATATGTATAGTAAATATATAGATATTATATATCAATTAATATCTACTTATTTCTGCTCAAACGACATCTCCCGTCATGACCTCCGACAGTCGTTGCCCTCCTTTGAGGATCGGGACACTGACAGCCTCGGTGCCCAAATGCCGCCCGACACATCCCAAACAAAGAAAGCACTGAAATGTAAAGATGTAGTAGAAGAAAACATGATATAAATGATATACCATGAATATAGTCTATGTAGTAGTTTATAGTAGCTCAATCACCTTTTCTTTTGAGATGTTTGGCTTTGACACCGTGGATAGATATCTGTGTAAGCCCAGAAAACTGGTCACATCTGGTCACAATCGGGCTTCGCTCCTAGCAGATTTCCTGCATTCAGGAGATCCATCTTTGAGGGCGGGGAGTATCCGCATCATGTGTGTCAGTTGGTGTCAGTTGGATTCACCTTGATCTTTCGAAAACACAAAAAACACAATTGAGTGGAAATTCCTAGCCATTTTCGATCTGTTACTGCTCATCAACTCATTTTTGGAAAGGACACAATCGAAGCTGGTGGATAAGAACTCAAAACAGAGACGACAACCACACACGAAAAAGGGGCCGGGACCATGCAAGGCTACTCCGTCGTGAGTCCGCGGTGTCGCGGCGCTGTGGGAGGCTGGGCAGCGACGTGGACTTCTTCAACCACCTGGAGAGACTGTGCTCGATTCTGCTGTTAGATGTGCTAGATCTGTTTGAAAAACAACATAAACTTTTTTAATGTTGAGTCTGTTGGGTGTCTAAAGGGAGGAAGTACCATCAAGGATCAACTGTGGCGATGACACAATAAATGACCCATACGTTGCCATACGACCTTGGGAGACATCGAATCTGCCTGATCAAACATGATCAAACCGTAGCTTGAAGCAGTTCTGCACGGCATAAACACAGGAAAGATTCGCGACTGTGAGCTCAGAAAACAACTTTGGGCAAACAGAAACATCCATTTGAAACATCGGACATTTTGTGGTGAATTTCAAATGCACAGGCAGGCTGGATGGTTCTACTCAGTCTGCGCTTCCTTCATTAAAAAAAATGCCCAAAAATACAAGGGCGCCTGAAACTAAAAACAATTCAGTTCCATACACAAGAACGTTTTGTTGTCTACACCCCCAGACCCACAATTACTAAGTTCGAGGCAGGTATTGTATCGTAAACCAGAATACATGGAGATCTAATTCATATCAAACACCTTGCCATTCTGTGATCAATGCTTCCAACTTGGAAGAATGAACATTTCACGGGTCGCCTTGAAAGTTCTAATGGTAAACCACAGCATTTTCGATGCATCATCCACTGATATATTCTGCTATTGATCTGCCTACCTTTGCAACACCAAACGTGGTTGCAAAACATGTTCGCCCTTGTTTTCTCGTCCCAGGATTGTTGGCTATGCATCCCTTTATGCACTGGTTTCGTGTGAATTGTATGTATGTATGTATGTACGTACGTACGTCCGTCCGTAGGTAGGTAGGTATGTATGTATGTATCTATGTATGTATCTATGTATGTATCTATATATGTATCTATGTATGTATCTATGTATGTATCTATGTCTGTCTGTATGTCTGTCTGTCTGTATGTAATGTAATGTAATGTGATGTGATGTGATGTGATGTGATGTAATGTAATGTAATGTATGTAATGTAATGTAATGTAATGTAAGTAATGTAATGTAATGTTATGTTATGTATGTAATGTATGTAATGTATGTATGGTATGGTATGGAATGGTATGGTATGGTATGGATGTATGTATGTATGAATGTATGTATGTAATGTATGTATGTAATGTATGTAATGTATGTATGTACTGTATGTATGTACTGTAATGTATGTATGTATTGCAATGTATGTATGTAATGTATGTATGTACTGTAATGTAATGTAATGCAATGCAATGTAATGTAAATGTAATGTAGTGTATGTATGTAATGTATGTATGGTATGTATGTTATGTGTGGCATGTATGTTATGCATGTAATTTATGCTATGTAATGTAATATAGTGTAATGTAATGTAATGTATGGTATGTATGTTATGCATGGTATGTATGTTATGTATGTAATTTATGTTATGTAATGAAATAAAATGTAATGTAATGTAACTGTATGTAACTGTATGTAACTGTATGTAACTGTATGTATTTATGTATGCATGCATGCATGTATGGATGTATGTACGTGTGTATGCGTGTATGTGTGTATACATGTATATATAAATATACATATATATATATATATGGATACATACGTATATCATCGGATATTTCCATTGGGTTGAAGTTGGATCTCTGTCTATTATTTCGTCAAGGAGCCATTCCTTCAGGGTCTCAGGATTTTTCTGAGTCCTGAGCGTCATGCTGCCGAAGTCACATCCATGATTCAGGAATGGAATTGTCTCCCATCAATGGGCGTATCAGCCTAACTTCCATCCGATTTCGTCGGTACTTTACAGGATTTTCACCCTCAAAGCCGCTTCCATATGATATATATATATACGCACTGGTATATATATATATACACATATTACGATTTATGTGGTAATATGTGATACAGATGTAAAATGATGTATGCATAAGACATACATAATTTTGCATCGATGACATCTCTGACCACAAGCCTTTCCGGCGCATGCCAAGCCGCGCAGAGGGCTTCAAGGTGGTGATGAAGGGAGGAGCTTTTTGCGTCACTTCTCGACTTCGATCCTTGATATGTTGAGTGAATCGGATATGGGCCATGGATTCACCAAGCAGGAAAACTTCTGTGGCTTGAGCAGCCAGGGGTTTATCATCGGAAACCCGGGTGTTGGTTCCAGGAGCTAGAATCCAAACGCTGAAGCATCCATATGGACAAATATCCTAGCAGTTGACCGGACCTTCAATTTCTTAGCACAGCCCACAATCCCTTCCCGCCAAGCGGCGTCTAATCTCGGCAACGCATAAGGCAATGGCTGCGGATGTGCAGAATACACCTGCCGCAAAAGCTCCATGGAAACAGGATGGTGGTGGCTATCGCGAACCATCCGCTGGAAAATGGCAACTCAACAGCTTCCAAGGTTCCACGCTGAGTTGCGGTTCTGTTCCGGTTTTTGGGTGCCAAAAACCATGCACCACTGACCCAGAGATTGAAACCCAGTAGTCAATGCTCTTTGGAATTGTTCAAAACACAGTCAAGCCATGTCAAGCCATTTTCCAAAGAATCATTGGACACTGTTTGTCACTGCATAGTTTGGGAACTTTGTGCTGCCGGCGCCTCCAAGACTCGATGGAGCAAGGGAATGAAGCCTCCCGATGGGTTGCTATGGGGTTGCTATGGGGTTGCAACATGGTTTGCTGGCCGGTGAATAGATTGAATAGTAAAACATAGTAGATCTATAGTGAATATTCATGAATCTAGTGATGATTTGCAGGGAAAATAGTGAAGATTTTGTGAACATTTTGGTGCTTCACTCGGGGTTTCTCCTCGACCTGAATCCGATTGCTGCGGGATATCAGGACAAGTGACACCATCGAGCGCTAAATTACCACAGGTTCCCAACAGGGCAGAGTGGTATGGATGCATCGACCAAAATGATCAGCTATAGAGAAAACTACAAGTATATGAACAGCTTGAAGAGTTCCCTGCACAAAAGACACCACCAAAAAACTGACACTAGATCCAAGGAATGAAACATGAACCAATAATTTCTGAAGTATGAAAGGATCCAAAGCCCAAACATGTCCCAAGACTGTTTGTTTTTCCCACCACAACAGTTCCACCTGAGGAAAAGAGCTGCTGGCAGCAAGATGAACTGGACACCAATTCTGCCAGCGCACTCAACACCTGGGATGGAGTTCAAACGATGGCCAGGATAGCTGGTTAAGGATGGTTGAAGAATCTCAAACGTCAGACTGGGAACATAATCCCAGGAAGATTTGAACAATCTTGAAGGATCTTGAACGCTTAAACATCAAATATGAAAGATCGATATCCCATTTGATGGTTTCGAGCTGAGACCTTTATCCCATTGCATCTACTGGAATGGGATGGGAAATTACCGCATCTTTCTCAGAGAATCCTTCCATTTTACCAGAAACCGTTCAAGATGAGAGGATATGAGAGGTTTCTTGATGCTTCAGACACCAAAGCACGGCTTGGGAAACTTCAACAAGCGTAACATGAGAAATTAACAAGTGACATGGTGGACATGGTGAATCAGGATTCTCATGGATTCTCCCAACAGCAACACCATTTCCATTTCGAAATTTCATCCCCTGGTAAAATCTCTTTGACATCACTGAGTTGCCAACACCCCACACAAGCGCATGCTCGTGTCCTTGGCAATGCATTGTGAGGGTTGCTAGGAACGCGTTGTCACGGTCGTCATGGTCGTAATGGTTGTCATGATGACAGCAACGACCACGTGGACGACCAGGAGGACATTCATCTTTCATCACCATCACAATGTCATGAAAAAAACCTGAGACACCCATTTCACAACAGCATGTTTCCGGGAAATTCCTGTTTTTTTAAAGGTATTTTCAATGATTTTCAGCAGCGAAGCCAGGCAAGTTAGGTCATACCCGGTCACCGGTCGTTCACACCATGGCAGGTACATTTATCACCAGGTTTTCTGCCGTGCAATTTCGACCAAAAACATCTGATACGTGGAACCAAAAAACAACCTGACATATATTGACATATCATAATTATCATAAACTTTGTTGACACCGTTTGAAACTCATTTTTAAACATCTCGCCCAGCTTCAGGGCAACAGAACCCGTAGCTCGCTGCCAAGCATCGTCGTGTGGCACCATCTAAGGCCTTGAAGAGAAGCTCAACCGCTTGCCTTGGAGTGGTGGATACCCTCTGTTGATATAAACGTGGAACGTTAGCCATTGTATGCCATTGTAGATGGTTTACCATCGTTTACCTGTTTTTAGAATGGCCATTGTCCATGCTTGTCCGCTTTCTCTGCCGGCAATGTTGTTAGGAAAATGATCAGCAACTGTATCAAAGGTTGGCTATCTACCCTACCTTAACTACCCCCTCCCTCCCCCCCCTCAAAATAATTTCCAAAATTATTTTCAGGGGGTTGATAGTGTCTTCGGTTGTTATACGAAACAACCCTCTTTAGGATAAAATATTTTCTTACGATAGACCCCCCCCCCTTCATCGACGGTGGTGAACCTTCGTAAAAATTATTTCAACCCCTGGGGAGTTAATTATTTTGCCCCCCTCCGGAGACTCCAATCTTTACATATGTATACTTTGGGACCCCCCCCTACCCGACATGATCGCCTTTGCAGGTGTACCGGGGATATTCCATCCCTTCAAGAAAAACGCGGGGATGTCAACCAGGTTTTGGAATATGTTTAAAGAAAACATGTTGTTGAATAATTTTCCTAAGCAGTGGGCCTACGGATGTGCATATTGGAATATGCGAGTTATAATCTAAGCCTTCAATATACCCTGGAATAACTATGTGTTGAAATAATTTCATATAAATTTTAAATGGTTGAACAAAAAAATATTAAAAAAAATCCCCTTGGGGATTCCCGCAAAATGATGTTCAACCATCATCTTCATCACTGGCTCTTTCCTACATACTTCCCCACATTTCTCTCACATTCCCTTCATTTCCTTCCAAAGAACACTCGGTGGGAATGAGTGTGAAAGGGAAAGCATTCTGTGTTTATAGTTTTTTTTTTCAGCTGGCAGCTGCTCACTTTGATTTTTGATGAGTGCAGGGTATCTCCAGTACCCCTAGAATAATTTCTCCCCTTGGGAAATACCACAAAATAGTATTCAACCTGGCCCTTTCCTGTAGTGATTTTCCTAACCTGTCATATGTCCTCTTATTTCTCCCATATTCCCTTCATTTCCCTCCAAAGAGCTCTTTCTTGGGAAGCGTTCGGTTTTGATAGATTGTTCAATTGTTTCCAGTTTATGGGCGAGTCGGATGGTTCTGGCAGCTGCTCACTTTGAATTTTGGGAAGTGCAAGGCATCTCCAATACCCCTAGAATAATTTCTTCTCTTGGGAAATCGCACAAAATGGTATTCAACTTAGCTCTTTGCTATAGTGTTTTTTCTAGCCTTTCATGTTTTTCCCTCTTTCTCCCATATTCCCTTCATTTCCCTCCAAAGAACTCTTTTTTGGGAAGCGTTCGGTTTTGATAGGTTTTTCATTTTTTCCAGTTTCTGGGCGAGTTGGATGGTCCTGGCAGCTGCTCACTTTGGTTTTTGAGGAGTGCAAGGTATCTCCAATACCCCTAAAATAATTTCTCCCCGTGGGAAATACCACAAAATAGTATTCAACCTGGCCCTTTCCTGTAGTGATTTTCCTAACCTGTCATATGTCCTCTTATTTCTCCCATATTCCCTTCATTTCCCTCCAAAGAGCTCTTTCTTGGGAAGCGTTCGGTTTTGATAGGTTTTTCATTTGTTTCCAGTTTATGGGCGAGTTGGATGGTTCTGGCAGCTTCCCACTTTGATTTTTGAGGAATGCAGGGCATCTCCAAGATCCTTTGAATAATTTCTTAAAGAACGAATTGGTTTCGAGTTGCAAGTTTTGATGCGTTCTTGCTGCAACTTAAAATTGAGGGGAGATTCTGACATGACTACCAGGGAGCACACATGAGACATGATGTTGAATTTATTTGCGTTGTAGGATTCGCAACGCATCAATCCTAAAAACAAAAAGCAACCTAAAAAAATAATAAGCCACTTTTGCAAGTCCCACATTGCGCAAGATGGGATATCGCATTGTTCTACATCGTTTCCTCCGAAAGTTACAGCACTGCCATCACTGCGAAGAAGTACTGTGTGAACACAGCCTGCAGAAACTTGAGTGTACGACATTCCTTCATCCAAAGGTGGAATATGCCATCGGATCAAAACAAGGTCAAACACCAAAATTATTTTGAAATATTTTTTTTGCTGTGAGAGTGTTTTCGTCAAATTTATTTTGAGGGGGGGGGGTAACCCATCAAAATAATTTCCAACCAGAAATTATTTTGGTGATGGTTAGAGTCTATAAATTTATACATCCAACATGTTAGATTTTTGAAATTATTTTGAAAAAATATTTTGGAGGGTAACCCCCCTGAAATAATTTCATTAAGGTAGGAGGGATGGTTGGTTTTTTGTTAGGAAAATGATCAACCAAATGTATCAAAAGGTTGTATAGCTTTACATCACCAACATACCGGAAAACATTTTGTTGGGAGAACGGTAAACTCTATTGATATAACCAACGACTTTATCCTGGGATGTTGTTGGGCGGGCTGGCTATTGTGCTCAAGCGACTCAAGCAGGGTCTGCGGCTTCTAATGTCATAGCAGTTTTGGTATGTTATTGGTATGTCATTCCCAAGGAATGCCCACATTCTCTAAATTGTCTGTTGACAAAGCATCAATCTTTATTGAATTGGCCATAGCCGGACCAATTTTAACGACGAGGAGCTCAGATTTGGCGTTGTGCCGGGTCATTTTGGCCAACATGCCCATCCTGGCTGGTTTTTAATGGAACAGAAACCATGGGTTGAGAAAAGAAACGCGGGTTCCGGGGGTTTCCTGGATGTACAAGAATCCATTTTGAAGCAATTCTCTGAAAAGAACATCTCGTGATAGCAAGTTGATGATTGGCCTCTTGAAGGTGAGATACATAACCGATTGGCACCCATCCTGAACAGTTGACTTACCAAACGATTTTCTGGACATGGGCCATTTTGTGCTGTGCAGGCTGGTCGAGTTCAGAGGGTACAGAACACACTTTTGAATCCTCTTGCCATCAGAAACACTACGGGACCACAAATGAACGACTGCTTGCCACTCTCCTGCAGGCAGAACGCCCATCAAACGGTTAGGTTGTGTGTGGCCCATGTCCAGCAAAACGGCACAAGTAGCACCAATATCTTCCCGACTCGCGAGGATATCGTTCCCTTGCGTTGTTTCACTGGACGGAAAAGGGAAGATACTCTGGGTGACGGATGCCAGAGTGGGCCCCCACACTCAAAACATGAACATGAAATCAACATGTTTCTACGCCTTCCAAATATAATTGGTTATGGGATGGTCGAAACTCGAAGCGCTGGCGGTGAGAACCAAAAAGCTGCTGGTAATTTTGTATGTTCATTCAATTTAATTCCCTATAATTCCCTCATCAATCCATGGTTCAAAAAAAGGTTCCATAGGTATTGACCCATCCTCTCGGCCATGACTTCGCACCTGGAATTCTTTTCAGCTTTGGCTGTGAAGAAGCTCATGGCCTGAGGGAGGAGTGGCCATTGGGATTCACACCATGGTCACCATACCATTCTATTTTCGGATCACTTGGATCACTCCTGAGAACACTAATGCACTATGGAACACGGCCATCCGTATCCCGAAATTTGTCAAGAGCCATGCTGAGGACATGGGGCAATGGGCTGCGCTGATCACCTGATCACCTTCGCACTGAGAAGCCAACCATCTTCCGCTGACCACGTTTTTTTGCCACCTGCAAGGAGCACGGCAGTCGCGGTCCAGATTTTGGATTTCTCCTGTGGCAATCATAACGGAATCTGATCATCTTGGTTTTTCGTCCCATGCTAAAAGTTCAATTTTAAGCTGGGTATATAAAAACCAATGGCCAAAGAGCTAAAATCTAGTGTATGGATGGCAATGGATAGCATAAGAATCTACCATAATCTACCTGCATTCAGTAAAATTGCTCGCCGAGCCCTGCAAAATCTGCAAAACTCCAACCTCAGCATCACCAAGTAAGACGACCTCTGCAAGGATAAGGCACAGGACCACCTGCAAGGATGGGATGATTTGAGCATCGGAAACTTTTAATCCATGATAATTTCAATGATAATCCATGATATTTTGCCATCAGGTTTCTGATTGAAGGTCCGATTTGCCGAAAACTGCCTCGGGTTTCTGGGGATCAACGGGCGTGGGCGCTCACAGCAATCTCCCGGGAAACCACGGATCATATTGACATCGCCCAACATGACCCTGATTTTGTGCTTCATGTACACTGCCATCCAACATCATCCAACCTGGTAGCATCTCTGATTCCTGGCATCTCTGATTTGTAGATCATTATACAATTGAAAACAGTTTCAAATAGTTTCATATAGTTGCCGTATCATTTTCATCTACTTTTCCAGAAAGGATTGGTCCAGCAATATCCGGCCCTTCCTGCAACTCAGGATGAAAGGGTGTCGGCAGCTGTACCACTGCCTGAGCTTGAGAGGAGCACCTCTGAACATCGGAACCATAGGTGGAAGCCATGAAGCCCCGAAGCCCATGGATGAACCATGGATTAACCATGGATTGGAAAGAGTCCAATGGAAAGATCCCAGATCCGGATATTCCGGATTGAGTTTTTTTTGCGTTCTCTTTCCTCTCCACACTGTGAGCATCGGCAGGGTTTTAAGGGTCTCAGTTTGTAGAGATTGTGCCCTGAGAAGGAAAGATTCGAAAGCCAATGATCTATTGCAATCTTTGTTCTTTTTTGTTCTTTTAGATGAAATGGCTGGCTTTGTTGGCGATATAGAATGATCTGTTTCTTTAGAGGTCATATCTCACATCTCCATCGGACACCCTCAGACAATTCTGCTGGAACCCAAACGAACCCATTTTCTAGCAGACACCAGCCGGTCACCAGCCTATTCTTCGGATCAAGTCTGCTTTTTGCTGCTGGTCTTTAGCATCTTCCCGGTTTTCCCAGACAAATCCAAGTTTTTGACCTATTTTATCTGAATCCCAATTTCTTCCACCCCCAAAAAAAAACGAAGCCCTTGGAGCTGACAATGGCACCTGTTCGTCTCCGCACAGGACCAGCTGAAACGCATCCACCTGCGCGCATACACAGATTTTGGTGCCATAAACAGAAACGCCAAATCCCGACATTAAAAAATCCTTGTTAGAAAAAGGACTTTTCTAAAAAAAAAGGATAGAACTTTTTCTAAAAACGGAACCGACTTTCTATCCTTTTTTAGAAAAAGTTCTTGAACTCCGTGTATGAGCGCCCGCTTGAGTCGACTGAGGCTCCAAACTCCTCCCAGCTGAAGGAACTTTTGCGACACCTGGGAAAAACGGGGGGGATCTGGGGTCCCCCTGGAAAATCCAAAGCGTCCAAGATGGTTTTCTGATGATTTTCTGGTGGTTTTCTGATGGTTTTCTGGACGTTCTGGAGCACGAGCTTTCTCGCTTCCAGATGCTTCCAGGTGATCCAGGATGTCAAAACATGTCAAAACATGAACAAAACCAAACTGAACCGGATCGAATTGAACAGATCGGACAGATTCTCATTTTTGAACTGCCCGTTCTGACAATTCCAACAGGCTTGATGTGACATAGACATCACAGACGATGTTTGAGTTCACTACATTCTGCTCGATCTCATTGTTGCCTATTTCAACACTTTGATTCGTCTACACCATGTTGTGCTTACGCTAGATTTTGCACATACTCTGAATTCCCTTGTATTTGTCAATAATTCAATCCAACAAGTGTCTTGACATGTCTTGACCTTGGCTTCATAGTGCATTTCCATACATTTCCATCTTTCACCAGAACCACGTGGCGATTCCCAGAGCACCTTGGTGTTGTTGCGCATCTCCCGCAGAAGGTTGGTGGCCAAGGACGACAACGTCTGGCGGTTGAACAAAGGGGTCGTCATACGGGTGTTGTGGGGTGAGATTATACCCAGTAATCAACACCAGATGGTGAGATTATACGTCACCCGGTTGTATGGCAATACCCAGTACACGAATGGACAAATTCATGGCAACAACTGCCAACAATGGGGTAGTGGTTCAGAATGTTTGATGGTGGTTGCTCCGTCCCATCCCAGGCCAAGTCATTTGAAGGAGAACATCACAATATTTTCGAACACCACACAATCAGATTGGAATGTGAGCCATGAAGGCGGGGACGGAATTTGGAAGCGTACGGTGATGGTTCCTTGATACATGCGCATGTGGGACACGGCTTCTTGAACTTTGACCGCCAAAATGCCGCTCTTTTCCAAACATGTTTCTTCCTGTCGCCGGTTTCCCCCAGTCTGCACATATTTCTGGGTAAATTATAATATTTCACTACCCTGAATAGTTCGGCCATTTTGGGATGATTCCCCTTACTAACTATGATTATAGTGAGGGAGAACAGTGAGGTCGTTATAATTTACCCAGATATTTATATATAGTTATATATATATACCATCTGGTTATTTATAACATAGCCATGGAAAATCACCATGTTTAATAGGTAAACCTCCATCAACTTTCAGTCAACCCTGGGTTCCCTTACCGCTTCTGTGTAGGGGCAGCGATCCTTGGAAATTTGGACCCAGTGGACGCTGTAGCAGTGAAACACACAGCCCAAAAAAAACGGATGTGACCCGGATGTGCACATATTTATGAATATACTAATACAAGTACATAGTAATATTTCTAGTATATCATGTATATAACTGGGTATACATCTTAGAATACGCAGCTCTCACACCAGAGCCATCTGAATAACGCGCTCCAAGTGTCGTTTCCCTTCTTCAGCTGGTCCAGGAGCCAAGGAATCTGTCGGCAGGAAATTCCTATGACCAACCAATTGATATCCATGACTTTTGGTTCCTGGAGATCAGTTGAAAACAGAACACAAGTTGACACATCGATCATTTCTGAATGGTGGGGTCCTGTCTGACAGGCTCTGACAGGCGATATTCGTGGGCTCTTTTTGGCGGTTACCGCGCTCGCAGAAGTTGGGGCTTTGCACCGCGGCCGACCAAGCGCCCAAGCGCCAACGCATCTTGGCAACGAAAAACATGTCGTATGTAGTCATGGTATGTCATGGTATGTCATGGTCCCAGGTGTTTGGTGTAGAGCTTAAACATTGTGACATCTTGTGACCATCATTTCCTGTGGAAAGGGAACTTTCGAAGCAATCCCTCGGCCAACAGCGATGGTGAGACGTCGGTTTCAAGTTGGGCTGGGTCCCATCGGATGACCCAAATCGCCTCTTGGCGAAAATTTGAAGCACACAGAAGACGAAACGGTCACTTTGGTCACTTTGGTCACTTTGGTCACTTTGGTCACTTTGCGTTTGCAATCTTTAAAGGTTTCGTAAGGTTCCGGAGGTGGTTTGTAGATTGATAGTATTCGATCCGTTACAGTACTCGAGCCATGTGAAGATGGGAACCAGCGGATCAGGACCTTGAAACTAGGGCAGCACCAGCGTGTCAAAGCGTCAAACCATAGGCCACTCCATGACCGACTGGGTGTTATGATGTGTTATTGATGTGTTATTGATGTGTTATTGATGTGTTATGTCCATTTTATGCCTGTGATGTTCACCTGTTCACCGCTTTGCTGGATGCAAGGATCTGTGCAGCGGCAGCGTCACAAGATGATCAAAACTCGGGGCAAGTTCTTTCTTCACCAAGAAGTAGTCACAAACACATGGACTCAATGGACTTTATTCACTTTTCACAACATTTCCTTCTTGCTTCAAATTGGGAAGGGGTGGGGTCTGGGGAGTACCCTCTGGTAATTTAACATAACTATGGAAAATCACCATTATTAATGGGAAAATCCACTATAAATGGCCATTTTCAATAGCTATGTTAGTTTACCAGAGGGTACTTTATTAAAATTTATGTATGCTGTCAATGCTGGGTCGAGCCGCAGCCACATGAGATCTCCTTGGGTGGTCCTAAAAAACCAGAAACTGACAGCAGCTTTGATGTATAGAACTATTATAGAACATCATATCCCAGATAGATATGATAGATATGATAGATATGATAGATATGATGTATGACATGCCAAGATCCTGGGTGAGAGAATTCCAATCATCTCATGACCCGAACTGCAAGCGGTGCACTTGAGAAAACTGAATCATGTGTGCCGAGTCGTTCAGCCCTAAATAAGCAGAAAACAGATTGGTGCTTCCTGAAACTAGGGAAGCCTCAAATCCAGCTCAGTTTAAGTCTAAAGACCTTTATAATCCTTTATAGCTATAGACACTTTTCACACTTTAGACACTTTTACTGGTTGAACAGGTTGTCCCTTCCTTGTTTTCGGGATTTGCTGAGGCTATCGACACAGGTTTGATAACTCCAGGTCACAAGGATCAGGCTGGCGCATCCGTAGTGGGTGTGTCCTGGCCAACTTCCAGGGGCAGGAAACCAATGACTACAATGACTACATACCATCCAAATCCATCCAATCAGTTTGCGATTTCCTCCACTTTTCTTACCCAATCAGGAATGGAAGCATGAACATTGAACACCACCAGTTTTTGGATTCATCTTCCAACTGGCAACAATGATGGTGTTGACATATTCGTTTCATAGGGTTTTTACAACGATGTTATCCCGGATGCTTATCATCAACTAAGGGTGCACGCTCTATCCCTGCCGGACAAACACACTGGTTGGTGAACACTTTTATCTAATCATCCACAACGATAAAATGCCAAAAATGCCATAAATCCTTCTATTATTCCAATGAAACTGGACACAACTCATGCTAAAAATAACCATATTTTAAACATTCCACAACCCACAATCATCGCTTCCGATGACGCCCACAACTGAATTCCTGGTCTCTGATCAAACTTTTGGGATCACCATTGGATTCTGGCCACTTTTCACCCATGACTGTGTAATTCCACTTCGACTTCTTGCCATATCTCCATATAATCTCCAAAAAAACACAGACATATTTCACATATATTTCATTAATATATGGGGCATATCTCACATCTTTGGTGAAAAAAACACACACAACAACCACATACAACCACTTTCCCCGTGTTTTTCCCATGGTTTTCCCAGGTTTTTTGGTCCTCTGGGGGGGGAATGACTTGATGGACCTTCGGCTTGGCGGACTTCAGCAACTCGACTAAGGCCTCTTGACCTGGCGAGATTTTTCATGGAGAAATCCATGGTGAAGTCATGGGAGAAATCCATGGATAAATCCATGAATAAATTTCATGGATACCATGGGATACTCCTAGGAAAAAATCATGGCTAAATGATTTAAATGGTTAAAAGAATGGTAATGGTATGGGTGATTTTTTCATATCATACTAGGTGGTTTTCTGGAATTATAACGGGTACAGTCAATATATGATAGAATGATAGTCCTATAATGGGTAATGGGAGAATAGTTGGTGTGATTTAGAGTCCGAACATGGAATATCTAAGTTGGGAGAATCCAAGAAAATCAAATACAATCATTCTGATTAAGGAGTGATACTATTAATATCTATTAATACCTTGGAACATACTTACTTGTTGATCATTAATTAATAATACCTATAGGTATGGTATACTATTGGTGAGTATACTATTAATATCTTGGATCATTAATTGGTAAGTATATGATAATACTCGAATTCGTGATCATGGAAGATCCGTATAGCTTGGACTATCTCCGGTTGCCAGTCACTGTCACTCTCCATGGCTTAGCGGGTGGCCAATTGGGGCTCGACTACCAATAAATCACAAAGACATGAAAAACATATCCCAGGTTTCCCACAAGCAACAATAAATAGTAAAGACCAGTGATATATCAATGATGAACAGAATATGGAAGACAAAGCCCTGAAACCGGAAACCTGTGTCTATCCAACATCCGTAAATCCTGGTGATTTTCCATCAGATCCACTCGATAAAAAGCGGACCTTGCTGCTGAGCCAGTTGAAGCGGCGTGTATCGACGTTCGCTCCAAGTGGCGCTCGGATCGGCCTGACATTGTCAGATTTTGCAGACCTTCATGGCAATGGAACATCAACCAAGGTTGTGTTCTGAACTCACCAGTTCGTGTCACGCACTTTTGCATCTCACCTATTTCATAGAAATTCCCTTTCAAACTTATATTGACTATCTGCCGTGTTTGCTATGGTTCATTTCTTTTTTTCGATGTAATTTTGAGGTTTCTGGCAGACCAGCTTTGTCGGGAATGAGAGGGGCCCCACTGGTTGTTGGTCCCACTGGTCCGGTGCAACATCGATGATATCAGCATCCGAATTTCGACATAGACACCCTAATTTGTGATCATCATTTGGATGATTTCCCAATGTGATTTCCCATTTTGATATATTTTGATGCATTTTTCATGTTTATATATGTTTATATAATTTATATGTTTCTAGTTCCGGATGCTCAGTGAAGCCATCGTTGGGGCATTTTTGTGCACCGTCGAATTCCAAGAGCCATCGTTGGGTGTGCCGCTAGGTGGCCGCTAGACGGCTTCGTTGGCGTCGCCAGGTTCTAGGATCCCCCACCTCGTGCTCCAAAAGGAGCTTGGCAATCTCCAAAGATCCATTTAGTGCCTGCGTCCATGGAGGGGGACATCTACACCCTTGCGCCGCTCGAAATCTTCGAATTTCTGGCCAGTTCAAGGAACCAAACTCAAACCCAATGGCTAGCAGAGATTATCCAACGTTTGCTCAACTTCCCCACAATGGAGCGTTGGATATGCAGATCTGATTCATATTACACACGTTTAGTTCACTTAGTTCACCTGCTCATAGCTTTCTATTGCGTTACACTGACGTGAAAACATACCGTTGCTGTGTCCCGGTCCCGTTGCCCCGTTGCAAAACGGTCCCGTTGCGGCCACGCCATTCGCCATGCTTCGCCCAGGCACTGCAAAATGCAGCGCGGTGCCGCGGTTGCCCAGTGCCAGGTTCATCTCGGCCAGTGAGGCCGTGCCGTTCCGTACTTTGCCCATCCTGGAGCGCTGGTGGCAGCTGGTGGCGCTGATCTAATGAGGATCTGATGTTTTTACAAAATGGGGGAATGATCATAATGATCTAATGATGAGTTTCTGGTTTTGTGAATATTTTGGGTTTTGTTCAACGGAATATTTTTGAATAGCAAACTGGATCCAGTTCAAGGGGATATACCTAAACATCGTTGCAAGAAACGGTGGAATTGACCACAAAAGACGCAGCTGGCTAACCTCAAAATGTGGGCTTGGAAGGATGCATGTTAGTTACCCTGAATATTTAGCAAACATGTTTTTCTTCCACCAAACAATTCTGATGAGAGCCACATCAAAGCGTGGAGCATCATGGAACTCGTTTTTTTTTGCCCAAGAATTTGTGTGGGGTGAATTGGCCAACCATAAATTGAAATATCACCTAGGATGAGGATATGATATGATAGTCTAAACCGTCCCCATTTCATGTGGTATATAAGCACATTTGCTACCATGAGATGTTATGAGTAACTCCCAAAGTTGGTTGCTGGTTACCTGAAGGAATCAAATCATCACCACAAACAGTTCAGGCTACCATTGGAACGATAAATCTTGAATTTGCCAATTGGTGATTCATTGGGGAGTTGTGGTTCTGCTTACGGGATCCTTGCCATGAACCGAGTGAACCGAGTGAACCGAGTGAACCGAGCATCCAGTGGTCACAGAGCGAAAGTGCCCTGTTGCCAATGGGTTCGAAGCTGATGTTTGGATTGGCGCGTGCCTGCCACATCGGCGTGTGCACACTGAGGTAAACTGGTTCCAGATGGACGCAAGGCCCTAAGAATGGGTTTGGAAGTTGACTTTCGGACAGGTTGAAGTGGAGGTAGAAGAGGCGGGGTCTAACATTCCTTGCTCTCCACTTGATGCTACGCTGTATCTTCCTGTACTTAATGCTACCTTATGAACTTCTGCACTTGATGCCCCATAGCACTTGAGGATCTCTACCTGTCGGATGCTCCACGTGGAGCATCATCCCATGCACCGATCGCGCCTGCAGGAGGAACTGCGTATGGGCCGGATTGGTGCCATATTGAGGATTAAAGCAAAGAACCTTGGCGACCCAGCTACCCAGCTCGGCAGGCTTCCGATCCCTCGATCCCTCAAGATGTAGCACTATATTGGATGGCTCAAACCACCGAAGCCTCAAAAGATAAATTCCTTTGAATTCCTTCCTGATCCTTGCTTTGCCCGTGACTTTGAGGTTCTGTTCTTCCATTGGGCGAATCCACGAGACTTCGGCTCCAAAGAAGTTTGTAGAGGACTCCGTCTTGACAGACCTATTCAAAATGGAAGGTAAGGATCCCATCACAAAATTCAGTGTAGAACACCAGCCGGAAATCAATTCAATCGAACATGTTCGCCGGTTCCGCTGTGCCACCGCACGGCACAGCCAATGTTGGTGGCAACATCCGGGTCTGATCGCATCTGCAGCAACATCCTGGCTCCATCAGAAGTTGGATTCAGCCCTGCTTTTTAGGAGGTCGACCTGAAACTAAACCAATCACCAGTCATCCAATCTTCGCTCCCCCGGCAACGGCCCCGTTGCGGCACAACGGCGGCACCTGGTGACCTCGGGGTTCTCCGAAATGGAGGCCACGTGCAATGCACGGCCACCGAAGAAATTTTGTCTCAACAAATCTGAGGGACCTAGCGCTGAGCTGCTGGAAGTTGAAACAGAAATTCAACTGATAGAAGTGATCCTTATTCAACTGATATAAGTAATATATATATAAGTAATATAAGTGATCCTTTTTTTGTATTCAGTTTGTGAATTTCTTGAACCATGTCTCAAAACCTGGATATCCAAGATTGGCTTGGAAGGGTTCTTCCTAATATTTTCTAGTCATATGGGGATGCTGTTATAGGTTTATGTGTATGCAGACCCACTTACTGCCCAATTATGACATGATAGTTGATGACTGGGGATACATGGACCGATCATTGCATTCCGATTTCAAGTTGATTTCGGGCCTCAATCTGGGCTTGGTTGAAAGTGGCCACTTAATAGACATGTTGAAGTGGGAAAAGAAATCGATCGAGTTCCATCCTGTGGATCATGCGGTATGACAAAAAATACGCAACAATCAAACAATACACGTATGTTATATACATATATATATATACATACATATATATATATACATACATATATATATATACATATACACATTATTCAAAGATGCACAGGTGAAAGTCCTGTCATCCCCAACCCTTCTTGCAAGTCGGACCACCTGCGCACAACAGCGGTACCACTTCGTGGTTGCCGAAGCGCGCGGCGGTCATCATCGCATTGCCTTAGTGGCTTCGGCGGCGCTTTTTTGTTGCACTTCTGCAAATCGCATGGCTCATTTCATGGGATAATCACCTATATATATATATGTCATATATATATATATATGTCATATATATATATATATATCACATATCATATTAATTAATCTATTTATATCTATTTACCGTTGGAATACCGTGGAATTACTGCATTTGGGTAGAAAATAGGTAGGAAAACTGTTGAAGCGCTGATCTCATGTGGTGAACAGTTGGAACAGGCCGAGGTTGGCACTTCCCAACTTGTCCTTCGGGACGTGCATATCAGCTTTCAATTGTAGAAGCAATTTTACTGTTGGCCTGGAGGCTGCGTCTTCGGCCCGTGGTGGCGAAAAAAATGATTCCAATGATCCAGGATGATCCAGTAAAGTCAAGAGCTCAATCACTGTCAAAATTTCGATGTTGGACATATTTCACACCGATGGATGCCCAAGAACCATACCATACTATCCCCTATTTCCCCATAACCGCACCAATCCATTTTCCAGGCACTACAGGTCACGAGGGGTGCCAAATGCAAAACATCTCTGCAACAAATGAACACCCACGGACCAAAACGCATGACTTTTGTGCCAACAAAGAGTGTAATTGCTGAGCATGATCCTGTGGTGGGGCTGGTGGCAACAAAACCCATGGTGATTGCACCAGTTACATCACGATTCAGAAAATTCACGATCCAATCCATACAATCCAATCCCTGCAATCCCTGAGACCAAACTGACCAAACTCCAAAGCACCTCGTGGAGAGGGCCGCAGCCAGTGATAGGGCGGTGTGATGCCCATCCTACAGTTGAGGATGGCCCCAATGATCTCAACACCTGTGTATAATCATGCAGGTTTTTGCCCCGAGGAACCAAATCCTATGTCAATGAGAGTATACCACAACGTAACGGAAACTTGAAACTTCCGATCATCCTTTGTGTTTATATCCATGGTTTAGAGCCATGGGCCATCCATCTAAACAGAGCTACATCTACATCCATCACTACATCGTTTTTTTTTTTTTCGAAACTTAGAGAAACTCGGAGAAATTCCACCAGCCAGTGCTTCAGTGCTTTTTCGAGGTTCCAGTTGTGCATCTTTGATGTCCGACTGCATGACCTCATTGGGATCTGCCTGCCGAGGGCGAAAGCGGCTCCGTCGCACGACAAATTTTTGGCCCATCGAGTTCTCCGACGGAAAAGTCAATCCCTACTAAGATAGTTATATATATATATAATATATATATAATATATATATAATATATATATATATATATTGTACATATACATATACATATATATATATATATTATAAACTTTGGGGACGACTATATGATATTGTATGTATATAGTTACATTCTTTTTCAGACACACCTAAATGGTTTTTGTGGGCTGTCCTTAGGTCCCAGTACCAACTGCGTTGATTTCTGGAACGGTTTGTGGTCCTGTTATTGGCCTATGTGATGTCGTCAACCATGACTAAACTTACACGTTGAGCGTGCATCGCGGGTAAAGTGATCATACAAGATCCTGCCAGTGCCCACCACGTAGCCTATTCTGCTCATTGGGTGTGCCACCGAACCGAACCGAAACGTCCGCAACAAAAACCGAAAGAGCCGAAAGCGTCTGGAACCAAACCGAATGCTTGCTGTCTTAATTAACTTAATTAACTTGCTGCACTTGCCATTGATTTATCAAGAGCCCATTGGTGGCTTCGACCTTGCATTGTTCTGGGGAGGAAAAAAAGGGGCTGCGCAGTAAAGCAAGCGCCTGGGATTCGATCAGCTCGGTGATCACCCTCAGGTTCCCTTCAATACCTAGCAGGACTCCCAGGACTCAGTTGGAGATGCACCAAATCATCCAACTGAGTCAGTTGATTCTGCTGGTGACTTTGCCAATTTTCTTCACGCCACCATACGCCACCAACAGAATATGTTCACTGGCGATTCAAAAACCTTCACCCATGAGACATTTTTACAGCTTACATAAATCCGTAATTGGATATAAATGTGACTGTGCTGTCACAAAAATCATGGAAGGTAAGGAAGGTAAAATTAAAGTAAGGAAGTCTCAGGAAAAGACCAGGTGGGCATTTCACATTACAAAAACGATTCGAACAATCTATTCACTCCATATCCAGTCAAGCTGCTGGCCAGCATCAGTGGGCTCAGTCCGCCTTGTTCCTGGGGTGGGCTTGAGAACTGCCCCTCCAAGCTGGATGTGTGTGGATTGTGATCCAGGTAACTGTCATAATCGCAAAGATACACAGTGACAGGGCTTTCCCCTTCTTGATCACTACATGCCATGAGATCCATGAGCCTATATCTTCTATACATCTTCATATATCTATCTATCTATCTATCTCTCTATCTCTCTATCTCTCTATCTATCTATCTATCTATCTATCTATCTATCTTATCTATCTAATCTAATCTAATCTAACCTAATCTAATCTAATCTTATCTTGTCTTATCTTATCTATCTGTCTATCTGTCTATCTATCTATCTATCTATCTTATCTATCTAATCAATCTAATCTAATCTAATCTAATCTAACCTAATCTAATCTAATCTAATCTAATCTATCTATCTATCTATCTATCTTATCTATCTAATCTAATCTAATCTAACCTAATCTAATCTTATCTTGTCTTATCTTATCTATCTGTCTATCTATCTATCTATCTATGTATGTATCTATCTATCCATCTATCCATCTATCTATCTATCTATCTATCTATCTATCTATCTATCTACTATATCAGCCCATGGTTTATGGTCATGAAGCCAGATCGGATCCGTGGGCATTGGGGCATTTTCCCAAAGCTCAATGGCCGAAAGGCAAAGTGATGCAGCTCGCTCTCCATGTTGTAACGCTGAAGGAAGCTGGCTACATCTTCCTGCAAATGGAGGAAAATGGAGGATGGGAAGTCGACGGGTATATCAAACATGGAGCTCTCCGATCCGGGAATGTCCTGATCACAAGAAAGCTTGACGTAATGTGTGCTTGACCAATGATGCCTGGTGGTAGGGTGAACACCCTCTTTTGATTTGTGTGAGGACCGTGAAATATGCTGCTGACGTCAAACGTGGGCACCCAAAACTTGCCCGACCAAATGGGGACTCCAGAGTTGGGGACAATTCCTGGAGGTGTCTACCCTCTGGTAAACGTTTACATAGCTATTGAAAATGGCCCAGTCTTTATAGTGGATTTACCCATATTAATAGCATGCTGGATCTTTCCAGTTCGTTTTTTGTTCATGTTAACCAGGCCGGGTAATATTTTCTGGTTTATATATGAACCATAGACTGATAACCCATAGTATATCATAGATTGTCTAATATTACCAGAGGGTAATATCCCATATAAATCCCATATATTGTCGAATATTTCAGGATCTTTTTCTCTTCGTGATGTTTGTGATCCCATCCCGGAATCGCCTGAGACTCCATTGGAGGATGGCCCTGGCCACGTGGGCCCAGCGCCTTGTAGAAACGCCACCTGGGCATGTCACCTGGGCAGTGACCGGGAAGGGTGGGAAGAACATGGAACTAGGGTGAACTACGCACTAAGATTCGGATGAAACATGATGAAACATGATGAAACCAGGAATTCACGGAATTCACGAAGCATTCTGGATGCATTCTGGATAAGCAATATTAAGCAATGATGAAGAATGTCCTACTTTTTGATTCCAAATTGTGAGTCATTAAATAACTCTCGACTCTCACCATGTATTTTTTTGGGAACAGCTCCCTGGTCAATTGCTGCAGAAACTCTGGGTCAACAGCTGCCCACAAATGGTTGATCACCTATGTCATGATCGTCATGTCATATCCATAGATTATCCATAGATTATCCATAGATTATCCAGAGCGAATCACTTTCTGTGACTGGTGAAATCCTGGTGAAATCCTGGTGAAATCATGGTGAAATCAGTTCCCTTCGTTGATGCAAGGGACGCTTCGTCCAGAGCGACTGACACTTGAGTTGCAACAGCTCGTTGGTGAGTTGCTTCACTTTGGGTCGATCAGCCTGAAAAAAACATTGAGATCGTTCGGGATCGCGAACCGGACCGGATCATCCGTGCCACAGATAAAATGGGGATATCCAGCATACTCCAGCTGGATCATCCCAAGGATCACACTTTAGTCGTTAAAACCCATCGATTTTGATGTTTTTGAATATGTTTGATGGGTGATTTGATATAAATTTCAACTTCCGTTCACTTGAAGAATCTTCTTGAAAGGATTCAACAGGAACCATTCCCGCGAAGCATTTGGCAAGTTACTTGGCAAACAAGACATGGCAATGGATCTCGAAATATCTCATTCTTAGGGGACATGGATGGGGACATGGATGGGGACATGGACATGGATGGAGAATCTATTAACAAGTCATTACAAGTCATTTTGATGTTCACCGGCAGGTTCAACACATCCCATGGATCCCGTGGAGCCACGGAAAAGATCCCGTGGAAAATTCGGTGCCGTGCCTCGACGGTAAAGTCTCCCTCACCTGGCCAGGCCCTAACCCATTCGTTGCCGTTGGACACCAGCACTGAGGTCGGAGAACAAATGAACTCGGCAGGCGGCACCGGCACCGAATGGCAGTGGGAACCAGGTGGGAACCAGGTGGGAACCAGGTGGGAACCAGGTGGGAATCATAAATCATGATTCAATGATCAATCATGATAGATCTGGGATTTCACTGAAATTCATATTGAACATGAGAAGATCAGTATATCTATCTGACATATTCTGAAATGATATATGGCTACTGACCTATAGTTTCCAAACATGTGAGGTGAGAAGTCCAAATCCGCTTTGAGGAAACATCTGGGCAAGTTTATCCAAGGACAAAATGTGTGAACAGTGTTGAACTGTACGGCTTTCACCTTTCCATCGAGTTGGGAGATACTGAATACTCATCGCACATGATGGCTGCAATCCTTCACATACAATGACCCAAATCAACAGGTTTCCTAAATGGAATTCAGCTCGTTCCAATAACACATAATTCAGCAATCATGTAGACACCATCTGTACCAGAGTAAATATGTGAATGGATGTGAATGGTTTTTTTTGGGCACATGCATCGCCCATGCTTCATCCGGGCTGCCAGGAGCAGCTTCTCATTGCGGGAGAGCACGGCAGCGGTGCGCTCGGCACGGCACCAACCTGTGTTGTTTTGCAACACACGTGGTGCCATTGGATGAAAGCTGGGAGATTTTAGATGTATCTTGGATGAGTTTTGAATGGACTTGGGGATAGCCTCGGGACATTTGTTACTCAATTTACTCAATCCAGTTTTGGGAAAACTGACTCTGCAAGTGACATGGTGACATCTGCATCTGCTCTGGCACTGCACCTCGCATGCCCCAGGTGCTGCGACCCATTGTGGCACCGGTGTCCACATGGGTGATGGACGGTGTCAGCACAAAGACCTGGTGACGGTGCTGGCTTTGGCGGGCCAAACGCATCAAAGCCATAGATGTTTAATGTTTTTGGAAATATGATATCATTTTGGTATATATAGATATACTGATATACATATTCATTATATTATATATATACACGTATTTATATGTAATTATATATATACACACACCAGTACATTGATATGGATATCATATAGGATAGATGTTGTAAGCTGAGTGAACTGCTGGTGAACCTTGCACAAACGGCTTCGGGTTTTAGGAATCCAAGCTGCGCCGATGGGAGCCAAAATGATTCAACGAGCCGCCTTCAAATGAGAAACCGTCTTAGTGTTGGGAGTGTACCAGAAACTTCGAAGACAAAGAGTCCCACTCAGAAGTCTGGCTGTCAAGTGTTTATCTGACTTATCGAGATGCAGTCGAGAAATGGACCCGGAAACTGCACCACTGCACCATCAGTTCCTGGATGTTCCCAAGCAATCTATGTGCATCATTGAAGATGATATATCTCCCGATATCTCCCAGATACCCTCCATTCACAGAATGAAAAACCATCGCTTTGGGATCGATCCAGACAGCCACATAGACCCGCCCCCCGGTTTGCCAAAGGACAAAATCTGCAACGTTGCAATACCTCAGGAGTGCTACCCTTCCGAACCCAAGATTTGATGAATCTGTCACCACTAAGGAAACGCCAGTGTCGGACTCAAAAATATATTTGAGTACCCGGCCTGGTAAACGTTAACAAAAAACTATGGCAATGGAAAATCACCATGCTTTTAATGGGAAAACTCACTATTTCTATGGCAGTTTGAGTGCTCCCAAAGTAGAGGGTTTCATGACGTGTCCAACTGAGCAGGTTCTGAATGCCAGGAGGCATTGTGACAGGATAGAACTCATAGTGGCGCTAGCTGCACTTTCTTTCACAACGATGGATAATGTGGAACACCAAAAGATAAATAATCGTTTGGTGTAATGTAGCACATGGCCAATGAGGAATGGTTTATTCTAGGGTGGCTGCCACACTTCCAATCACTGAGACACTCATCCACTTGATTCCTGTCTTCTGTATGTTTCAGATTGAAAGACTGTTGAAATGGACTCTCCCTTCTTTGCAGCACCATGCACTGGTTGAAACGTGCCATTGGTAATGAGTCAGAACCCTACCCTTGGTGAACACATCGAAATAGCCAGACGTTCCCCACAAACGTCCTTTATTTGCAACATCCCATTCCGAGCAACGCAGGGATGCTATTCACTGCCGCCTGCAACTCGGAAGCGCCCGAATCATAGGCACGGTCATCCTCGATCGCCACCAGCACAGCATGGAGGTTTCATCAAATGAGGAGCCTGTAATATCTGTAATTAGGAGCCTGCTTCATGGGAATCTCCATCCTTGGAAGCTGCCAAGATCTGCCAAGATCTGCCAAGCGGCAATCTGAGGGCAGCCGAAATAGTCATACCACACGTCCCAGTCCAAAACGCTTTTCTGCTCCTGACATCCAACTTATCGCTGGGTATCATGGGTTCTGGTTGGTTTCATCCCCATTTCTTGTGAAATATCATGCCCAGGCGACAGTAACCAATCGAATACCCCTGAAAGAAGTCAATGTTCAGTAGCATATGATGGGCATATATAGGCATATGACTCAAATGACACAAAAAAACATGGAAATGGCAAGCTATGAACCATGTCGATCGACTAAACACGACCAAACTTACTAACAACTTCTAACCCAGATTCAAGAACCTTATGTAACCTTATGATTCTTACTCATTTTTCGAATGTTACAAACACATCTCACCTAAGTCACCAAAGTCACCTAAGTCACCTAAGGCAGTTTCTTCCCGTGGTCGTAACAGTCGTAACAGCCGTAGCCTCGATGCTGGGCAAGGTGTGTTTGGGGCCGCCGTTCAACTCAGACAACTCGCTGCTTGGATCCTGAAAAAAATCACGCCATGTAAGTCATGGTGCCATGGTGCCATGGTGCCCTGAAGCAGATGTAACACTGCCGGTATCTGAAGTATCTGAAGTATCGGAACCTCTTGTCAGACAAGCATCTCGGATCTGTTTCTGTTTCGTTTGACCATACTACACGTGTTTACAGTCACAGCTGCACAGCTCGTTGTTGAACCACTTGATAGCTGAAGCATCCCGGTTTTGGTCATCCCCAAAACCAAAACCTCTTTCGCACATCATTTTTTTATAAACTTTATGGCCATATATGGGGATTTTCATAAAAGGGGGTACCCCCAAAATAGATGGTTTATAATGGACAATCTTATCTATAACTTTTTCACTTTCACTTTCATGGCATCAAGGGGTCTCGCCCTGCAGCCTTGTAGATTCTATAAATGGATGATTTGGGGGTACCCATTTTAGGAATCCTCCATGTGGTCACTAAAACACATTAAGATCCCATTCCCCTCCTTGGACACTGAGCAGTTCCCGTTGGACATCTCTACTAAGGCCTGGAGGTCGCCCGAATATGGCCAAGAGGGACCCGAAATGGACCCAGGGCTGACTTTTAATTCTGAGATGATATGCACAATGATATGCACTATGGAATCTCTTTTCATTTTGCCATTTTCAAACTTGTGAACACCAAAGGAAAAAAACATAGGGCCGAAGCTTAAATACGGACTTAACATAGTGACATAGGCATACATAGACTATATACCCACCATTGGTCGCGGGCCTCATGGAGTTTCACAAAATAAAGGTGTTTCGCTTCTCGACCAGATACCAACTATTCGATTGGAGTCATGCCATGCTGATGCATAAGAAGCTTGTGATTCAATGAACCACCTTTTCCATTTTGCTTACTTTTTCCATCTTTTTCCCACCAAAGCAACAAGTTCGATTTCTGGAACGGAGTTGACTCAGCTGTGCATCTCCGGGGAAACAATTGGAAACATAGATCTGCCATCCCGCCTTTTGAAGGACGGAAAATTGTTCGAACTTGGGATCTGGATGTCTCCGTCCAGCCCATTGATGTGAGATCAACATCACCTGGCTGCCATGGCGGGCGAGTTGAGAATTTGAGAATCGGACACTTTTAATTTTTAGCCACACTTTTCTCATCAGCAACATGTCAGCTGTCAACAAAAATCCAGGATTGCAGGACAGGGAACCACAGGGAAGCCCTTACAGCGCCTTGTTGGGGTGACCACTTCTCCATTGGATCAAATGTCCTGCTTCCAACATGTCCTGCATTCAGCGAGTGTTCGGTGAATCGCCCCTGGATTTCCGATTTCTCGGCTCTGTGTCTCTGTCCCTTCTGTGTGAATCAAATCAGGTTGCAAATCAGGGTGCATGCAGTGCATGTTTCAGATGTTTCAGGGTCTGCTCATGCAATATGATCATTGTCGCAGTCCATGATTCGGTTTGACATCACCTGACATCGGGGAATTGCACTGCATGAAGCCAGCTGTTGGAACTTCAAAATCCCCAGGAAGTACCTTTCTGCCTTTCTGAATCTTCTATCAAAGGATCTAAAGACAGGAAATCCTGTCTGAAATCCGCTCCAACAAGTCTTGGGAAAATCGATCGGTTGATCTCTCGGCATCGTCATCAAATCCCTAGGCATAGCCGGCAGGTCTCAACCGGGTCTCGCAGTCTCCCGTCCTTGTGCGGTTTCAAAGGTGGTTTCAGCGTGATTAAAACCTCAGTCGACCGCAGTGGGAGTTCAAGTTGGGGACTGATCTTGAAACCAACATAAACCAACTGGCTAACTGGCCATAACTGGCCACATTTTTACGTAAAACGTACAGAGTGGATGGACACCTCGAATTTCTAACAATCAACTTGCAGCTGGAGATGGCTGAAGGTCCAACAAATTGTATGATATGACAATGATAACGTCTATGTAAATCTGGTACTAAATCCAACCTGCCGTTTTTTGGGAAGCTATCAGGGCATCAGCATCGTGGCAAAGTAGCCAGGCGCGGCTATTTGTATCGTGACAAGTCATGATCCCCAATTCCTGGAGGAATCTGGACATCTCACAACTTCCGAACAGTTTCCGTAGTCAAAATGTGTAAACATGATAAAATAATGATAAAATGATCGCCCAGTTTTATGGATTATATATGGATTATGATGGATTATGGATTTTTCAGGTTCTGCGATTCTGGTGCGCCGAAGAGCTCTAGCTGGCATCAGCCACATAGGGAACTCCATTGGAAGATCCTCTACCACTGGCTGTGCATTGGGCCTCCGAAGCTGAACTTGGACACAACATGACACAACCAATGGGGAAAAAGGTAACAAGTTCATCCGATATCCTGCACATGGTCACCTTGACAGCTAAAAAGATCTAACTCAAAGTGGACACCAGAATATCGGTGCCATGCACCGATGCTTGGACATTGCTGGATACCAAATGGGATACCAAATGGGATACCTGTTCTCAGACTGAAATCACTGGTGATTAAACAGGTTGCAGGAGTACAATAGAGTACAATTCCCTGGCGATTCAGCGTGCCTTGGCACGTTGCTTTTTTCTAGGCCGGTGTCGCAAACGCAGCACTTGTTCCCCATGGCCACCAAATGGCCACCAGATGGCCACCAAATTATGGCTACCAGTGGAACCGGTGGGGCAAAGCTCCCACCGAAAAAAAATCCACAGTGGCCACCGGCAGCGGAGAATGGGGTCGTTCACGTCGTTTTCGTGGGTGGTGTGTGGATGAATTTGAGTCATGGATTTTCACATGGGCGGTGAACTGGTGGGGGGAACTGAATTTTTAATTTATCAGCCACAGCCTTGAAGAACTGAGTGTGATCAAATGATTGGGTCTGCACATGATCGCAAGCGTAGTTTGTTGCATCCCCATGTTAACACTCCAGGATAGGTCGTGCAGCCCCCCTGAGCCAGCGGCGCGGCAGTATATGGTGGCAGAGGTTTCACCCATATCTGACACATACTTATCTGCCGTACTGGCCGTACTGGTGTGCGTTGAAATATGTGAGGGTTCGAAAAACCGGAGACCGGCAGGTGCTTCTACCTGAAAGGATGTAGCTGCTGGCTGTCCTGTGGATTTTGGGTGATGGGGAACTCTGTGTGTAGCTACAGTCCTTGGCCTCAGGGCAGGTTACGTTGCTTTGCATCTTACATTTGTTCATGATGTGAAAAAGACAATGCATGGAAGTTGATCTGACTGCTCCCCCGTGGTCACTGGTCATTTATCCTCGGGATATTTGATCGCCAGCCAACTTGAGTATATGAACCATCCCTGACTCCCGGCACCAAATTGTGTTGGCGATCTCGACGATCGCTTTTAGGGGATGTTTTTATCGGTGGATCATTGCATGCTCCTAACCCTTTTTTGGGTGTACTCACTGCATGCATCTACAGCCTGTTTTTGCTTAAACCGTCATTATGGCTGCTTTTACCCGGATTCATTAATGGCAAAAAGCATCCAAAATTCACGTACCCCAAAAAAATATCCATTACTGGATCCATTTACAACTCAAGAAGGGATTCTCTATGTACCCAACTATACTAACTATACCCATTGGACCAGTATCATATCTGCAGAACAGGTTGAGTTTATGACATTGGATCCCTATGGCCCTATGGATCCACTGTGGTCTCACCTTCTCTGCGATCTTCCCGCGCTCACCCTCCAACTTGCCCTGTGACGTCACAGTCAACGCTGGATCCGCTGGGTCTGATGTGTTGGGAGGTGAAGAAATGTGAGATGTGAGATGTGAAAAGACCTGAAGATGACACTGAGAACACACACTTGTAAGATATAGATGTAAGATATAGATAGATGAAACATCTATCGGGATAGACTCGATAGACTTAGTGGAAATGGATGCGTATTTTAAGGGTTTTCGTCACAAAGTAACCCCTTTGTGAGTTGGAACGGAGACCTCATCACCTCACCATCTCACTGCATTGAGAATTCCTACAGAAACCAGTTGTTGTTAGCCGCTGTTAGGCAAAAAGAAGGAATATCCGGCAACTTCCTCCCCTGAACCAAGTCTGGAAACTGTTCTTTTTTTGGTGCTCCAGGGTTTTTGATGTCTATCTGGAAAGTTGTTCAACTCTTCATGCAGGAATGGTCATCCTGCCTTCAAACAGGATTTCTTAGTCTGTAACGTTGTGCATGTATATCTGCAAGCATGCATCATGTATATAAACATATATACAGTGTATATATATATATGTACATACAGTATAAGTAATATACATATGAAACACGCACTGGAGACATATTCTATGCCTGTACTGGGATGGAACAAACAACCGTAGAACATATACACATTACTGAAATCTACACCGCAACTATAGCTGCACACATAGTTTAACATAAACTTACATTTGCATCTAGTCTTGTTCGACCATGGCCTCCAAATTCTGTAGCAGTTGACGAAAATCTCCTGAGCCGGATTTCATGGTAACCATTGATTTCATGGTCTACAGATTCCTCCAGTCGGACTTCGATCCATGGAGACGTAGGCATGGTATGTACATGTAGACACAACAAGAAGTACAATGAAGTACATGAACATTTCCCACATTTAAGGTTGTCTTGCAAACATGTACATAGAATATGTATGTATAAAAGTCACAATCACATACATATATAGACTACATATACACTACATACACACTACATATACACTACATACACACTACATACACACTACATATACACTACATATACACTACATATACACTACATATACACTGCATATATATATATACACATACACATGACATAACATATATACACACACATATATATACACTACATACATGTATGTACATGTATATATATATATATACATGACAATTACGTATACTTATATGATGATATGGATACATACGCACAGACACACACACATACATATGTGTATATATATATATTGGTATGTATATATATAAATGCACTAGCACATATGTATACATATATATATACACATACCTACACACACACACGTGCATATATCTAATAAGCATGCCAGCAATGTATATGTGCGCAGCACACAAACACAATTGCTTGACCGTGCTCACTCCCCATGAACACAGAGCTTTCATCCAGAACCAAAACCCATCGCCGTGCAGTAGAGCATCCAAAGTCCACTTCGCCTTCCAAATAGCCACTGGCCTCTCTTCGGCACAGTCAGTTTGAGCATGAAGGTAACTGGCTTGCGAAAAACATAGAACCACAAATGAAATCAAAAGCCAATCGGGTTGGGAGTTGGACAATGGCTCAGTAGAGAGAACCGTTGACCATTTGGCTTTGCGATGACGACGTTTGTGATATCAAGACTGAAGGGGAGGGTATGACATGGTATGACCCAGATAAGCAAAACCTAGATCCCAGCTCCAACAATCTTGCCAGATTGAAGGGAGATACACACAGTCGCGTCAAATGGGTTTGTACACAGGGTGCATTTTCCACCATGGTTTCCATGGTTTGAACACATTTTTCACACAAAAATGGGGAATTTTGGGGTATGTTTCCAGACGCAAATTACAGCCTCCCCCTTTTTCACTTTTCGTGAGTTGGGGCCCACTGGGCCGAGAGCGGAACGATGGCTGCGGGAAAGTTTGGGTGTGCGACCAAAGTGTCAGTGACACTGTGCACAGAGAGATGGCTGCAGCCGAAAAAGACTGGCTGATTTCGATTGATTTGGTGGCTTCGAAACTTGCCAATGATGACATCAATGATGACATCAATGATGACATCAATGATCTATCATCAACAAAAACAGATAACGGTTGAGGCAGCCATGCAAAGACATGCTTGTTGGAAGGGTTCATGGTCACATTCGGAATGGAACCTCACAGAAATGTGTGAAGCCACCAACTGGAAACAAGGGCATCTGTACGGCTGCTTGAGTCGTCCGCAGTTAGATTGCATCTACCTGGCTATCCAAGGCCAATAATGAGTTGCAGAGTACTATGGTTACTATGAGACCATAAATGAAAAGTGGCCTTGGGTACCAATGGACTCATTTTAAACATGTGAAGCTTACTTGATTTGAAGAGAACTCGGGGAAGATACCGAGTACTGCACTGAAAAAAAACTATTTCTAGGAGCTACAAATCCATCTTCTTCATTCCTATTCACCTTTTTCTTCCTTTGCATCCAAGTCTCGCCTGATTTGAGTTGTGACGATCTCAAGCCATGTGATAAACTCTCCAGTGCTCATAAAGGGTAGCCAATGGGACGGCAGAGGAATTCGATATTCGATATATTTCGATATTAGGATTTCACAGGAGTTACCACTGATGTTTATCAGCAACGTGCACAATCCAATGATGGTAGACCGATCATTCCAAAGAGGCCTCAGAGACTAGTCAGTTGGTATCATCCCTGTACCAACAGAATTTGGTGCATGTGGATATATTCAATTAAGCAATATTAAGCAATTAAGCAATCAATATCCACTAATATCCACTAATATCCACTAACATTATATATATCGCTATATGAAGCTGTAGCTGTATGCTGCTGGTCCCACTGCCAGTCTTGCACGCAGTGCCAGGTTCCGTGGACGCCGGGATATGGTGAATGGACCTTTGTCAAGGGGAATGTGCAATGACAATCAATGACGTCCATGCATGTGTACATATAAATACACATAATATGTATATGTACATACATATACATATAATATACACATATATATATAATTATATGGTATACACACAGAATCACACATATATATATATTTATGGTACATATATATATATGTACACACTTGCGTATGTTTCAGGGTTTGTGCTGAGGTTGATATCCCGCGCTCGAGGATCCTGCAGGACGCAGAGATACATCTGCAAGCAAGATGTGTTGAAATCCAGCGCAGTTGACTTTGCGTTGAAAGGTCGAATTGCAACTCGCATCTGCAGTGGCAATATGCCTTAGATTTGGCTGTTGAGTGTTTCCTGATGTTTCCTGGAAACGACTTGAACTAGCAGACTAGCACCAATCCACATCTACCTTAAAACCTTCCAGATGCTTCCAGGTTGTAGATGTCGATTTCAGAAGTTAACTTTGTCAAAATCCGTTGTTAGGGATACCACCATACGCCACCAAATTCAAGCCGCGCGAAGGATCTGCTGGGATACCTGCATAACATGCTTACGGAATCACCAGGAGTTTTTAGCTGGGGAGGCAAATGAATTCTCCTTGATATCAGGACACACTCGCTGGAGTTTTCCTGGTGGTTTGATAGCTGACACAGCATGACACAGCCATTTCTCCACCACAGATGCAGCTGTCGACCTGCAACATGCGTGCGTGAACAGCAGAAAACTCTGATAGGTGTGAAGTATCTGGGATATCCATGGAATTCCATGGATATCCTCTCACTGATTTATGGATTGTATTCTTTTTGTCTCGGTGAACCATGGTGAACCAATAGGATCTGACCATGGAACCATGGACTTCATGGGCTGCTACGGTCTCAGTGATTACCTATGACTATTGGTGAGAGGGCACATGCGTCAAATTCTGAAGCATCTTGGAGAACTCCCATTTCCCAGATATCTTTTTCTATTTATTTCTATTTCCAAGACC